TCCAAATTCATTTTAAATATTAATTTCTCTGTTGCATTCTTGTTGTCAAAGGAACGAAATGGTTTTTCATCAAGCTAAACAAATATTTTTTTTATCCAAATAATTGTTTACCCAAATAATTGATCATCCGTGCAAGATTTCTTTATTATTCAAGTTTAGGCTGATTTTTTAATTGAAATTTTAAATATAAATTTCACGTTTCAAAGCGAGTAAATTAACAGTTTTAAAAAGATTTCACTCTTTAATAAGATCTTAAATTATAAATAAGATTTATGGGAATGATTCTACAATTCAATCGATCATTCCATGAATTTCTTCGTAATTCCATTTTTTCAATCTATCAGAGATTGTCATACAAAATTTAAGGATATAATTATTATAATAAATAACGAAAAACCAAAAAATCATTCATTGCAATTTGTCGTGATGCACGATTATAGCAAAATTATTGTGAATAACTGATTGATATGAAATAGAAGCAGCTACAATTTCTGAAGTAACGTATTTTTGACATCGAAAAAATATTTCTTTGTCAGACAAGTGCATAGTTAATAAGTGTCTTCATAATCAGTGCCGTAAATACATCTATTTGCAACATTATATTTCAGTTGAAGTTTCTTCTTTTAAGAATTTGAAAAATTTACATACACTTTACGAGAGAATATCTTTTCTAGACTCAAAACCAAATGTCTCAATTTAATTGATTGTGTCATAATATTAATTTTTATTAATCTGATTTTCAATCACTTATCAACGTGTAGAGACTTCATCTTAGACTTACTAGTGGACACGTGAGAAAGAAAAGTTTTCATTTTTACCCATTTATTTAAAACACATTTATTTTTAGCAAATAGTTTTCGGAATTAATCAATTATCTTTTAAGCGGCTGAGGGTCGAGCATCTCCTTGTACGATGCAATGTGTTTCACATGCCAATGAACTTGGGAAAATATTTTCGTTGCCACCACAGCCTAGGTAGTTAAGAACTTCACAGAAACCAGTTACAAAGTCATAGAAGTAATAAACCGTGGGATCAGAAGGTCCTGTTGAATCGGCACATGGGAAGCCAACGTCAGGGAGAATATCGCAGTTGCTGTCTGCATTGACAATTTGTTGCACAAATTTTGAATAATCTTCCATTATATTAGGTATTACAACTTATACTTACATGGATCGCTACCGCAGTTAATGCTTGCAATCAATGCACTCATAAAGAACAAAACAATGTAAAATTTCATTTCACAAAACTTTTTTATTCCTTCACTTGATTAATGGTTGAATGCAGGTAACAATAACTTTAATTAAGTTTTTTACGACACTCTTTTATACCCTAATAAATCGCGAAAGTTTAAGCATCAGTTATCACGAATTTTCATGACTGGAAATAATTTGCCACAAGCCATGAAAATCATTCGCGATGTGCAATGATTGTCAACGATTATCGTGAAACTTTTCTAATGGATTATTGGCATCAAGTAACGGCAAGTAGAATGAATTCCTGGCAACTTGAAAGTCATGTACTTTTAACGTCATCAATTGAACTTTCACTTGGTTTTTTATTTTACATAATTACCAAGTTTAATTAATCTTCGTGATATAATTTTTCCCTTATTTTGAAATTTCTTTAAAAATTAACTGGAAGTCGTCATCAAAATATTTGCTGTTTTATACAAATAAATTACCGTAAATATCACAAAATATGAATTCAAATTTCTCGATCACTTTAAATACTTATTCAAGGAATCGTAACCATTTTGTTAATTCATTTTTATTTCAACGGTAACACTGCAATGATGAATGTTTTGTATTCCATGAGAAATAAAGCATAAAAATATAAAACCCATAGCATTGAAACTGCAACCGTACTATAAAAGAATTGAGAAATTTTATGCTGCGATCGTTCGAGTGCCACTTGAGCTTTTCATTCTCCGCTAAAACGACGAATGAATGGGCAAGTGAGAGAGATATGGAAGGAAAGGGGAATTGAAATTGACGGCATATGTAGCAACCAGCATGCAATATGGAATGATTTTCACCAATCTTTTATGTATTTTTCAAAAAGTTTGAGGCTCGTTCGGAAATGGTGACAATAAATATTAAAATTGAAATTCAGAAAATTTATTTTCACGTGTAAAACTTCATTTCGAGATCCCTTCTGAAAACTTAAATTCTTTAGAACTTCCATCGTATTTAACTAAAAGTTGTAAGTTGTCGTTAGGTCATTGACTATAAATCAACAAAAGTCAGTCAGTTCCTAATGAGCCACTCGAATAAAAATTGAACATGAATAAAGCCTTAAGGACTTCATACACAATAAAACCATGAACAAATAAATTGCATTATTAATAAAAAAAATCCGTTAAATTTCGTCATTCCAACGATTTTTCTCTTCAATTTTATTATTTTCCTTTTTTCTTATCTTGGACGACATTAATTTATTTTCATTTTGTGATTGAATAATGTATAAGAAAGTGAATTTTTCAATTTATGTTCTAGCTTAACTTTTTGAAATTTCCTAAGTATTTAAGAAATGAACATTATTTAAAAACATTTTATTCGCCACTGTAACTTCCACCATAACGATTGGAAGATGAGTTATCAGAATTGTTGTTGGATGAGTTGAATCTCTGATAACCACCGCGATTTGCTTGTTGGCCAGAGTAACCACCTCTTTGATTTTGGAAGCCTCCACGTTGTGATTTCCATTGTTGATATCCTCCAGACGTGTTGCTTTGTTGTTGAGGTCGATAAGAGGCTGAAGAAGTTGCGTTACTCTGATATGAATTCCTTTGTTGTTGTTGTTGTTGATATCCATCACGTTGCTGATAGTTGTTAGCTGGAGGTCTAACGTTATTGTACCTTCTTTGATTATCTTGCCTTCCTTGTTGTCCTTGTCTGTTATCAAATCGTTGTTGCTGATATCCGAAACCTTGTCGGTTCTGTTGATATGAATTTCCACTTTGACCCTGTGAGTTGTTTCGGTCTGTAAAATTAGAAAAGGAAACTTTCTTAAATATCATCATCGAAAACTATTAAATATTGTTCAACAATATGGTAAATTAGCATCGTTTAAGCTCCCCAATCAGACCACAAACGGAAGTCTTCATGCATACGAGAGCTCTTAAAAGCTACAACGAGTTTCTTGCATTTTTACAGTTTGTGCCATTGTAGGTTGAATTATCAAGCAGTTTTACTAGCGAAAAGAACAGCAAAGAATTTCCCATCTAAAGCTGTAAAGTGTTCTTCAAAACATAGGAAAACCAAATAAATTGCATTTAAAATAAGTATGAACACGGAAAAAAGCATTAATTAGCGTTCATTTCTAGCAAAATACTTCCTTTCTTAAATAATTCAAAAGCAAAATATACTATTTGAAATATAAAATGGAAACATATTTTTAAAGAGCACAAATCACCATTTTTTTATTTCTTTCAATGCGTTTTATCCTCGCGCCAGATGTTGAATTGATGATCTAAAGAAAGTAACGAATGCTTTATGGGGTGGATGAATTTCAGACAGGAAGCAATTAAATGGTAGACATCGATCGGACTTGAATTTAATGGCATTGAAAATACAAAGGATACAAAATGTTTCTTTATTAGATCGAAGGAATTTGAAGAAAGTGGCTTTAATCGTGGGGGAAGCAATTCCACTTGAATAACTTGTGTACATCACGCGGTCCAGCATAAATATGTTGAAACGTTACGTACGTAATGGCCAACGTTATTACTTCATTACGTAGCGCAAGTACCTTTGCGTTAACATTTCTTCAAATTTTTATTAAAAATTTAATTCAATCTTTAAAACTTTAAAAATGAATTTCGTGTTAAGGAAATTTCGTTGACAACAAAATTTTGCATTTTATTCTCAAGAATATTTTTGAACGTGCTCTAGTGTATGATTTCAGACAACATCGCATTCATCTAAATGCATCAAGCTGAACAATAAAATGAGAAAATAGAATAAAAATGATGATGAACGCTGCTTCTTCATTCCAGTTCACTTGATTCTTTTCTCTATTTTTTTTTCTATTCATTATTCATTCTCCTGTTCCAACATGATGAAGATGTGACATTTTCCATTCATTTGCTTTTAAAAAAATATGAAAGTCCCTAATTAACAAGATCACAATGAAGCTTGTGAAATACAAAATCCAATGATTATTAAAGGACTCGAAAAAATCAGAAATTAATTTAATTGCATCATCCACTTAAAAGATTTCTTTATGTGATATTTTTTACAAAGATTAAAGTTAGTCGGAGCGACACAAAAGTATCGAAGAATTAAATCTCGAATCATTACACAATTCTTTTACACATAAAAAAGCAAAACAAAATATTGTTGTTGAAGATATTGTAACAAAAAAAAAGAAGAAGATAATCCACTCGTAATCCTCCTAAAGATGAGACTCTCAAGTGCATGCAAACATCTCCCGAATGACTTTTTAATTGATTTTTCATGGTTATCATTAAAACGCTCATTTTTTATATCATTCCTTTGCCTCTCACGCCCTCCGCCCTTCCTTTAAACAAGATCGCAATTATGTTGAATCAAATAAACAACTTATAAGATAAAGAGAATTGAAAGGATGCAAACATTTGCTTAGGCACGTGTCGGGAGTTTTCAACGAAATCTTTGTATAAATTTTACTCACATCTGAAGACGAGGGAAATTTATTAAAATGATTTTTAAGCTATAATGCATACATACACACACAAGCGTGTTTTAGTGTTTCGCAATCAAAAAATAATTATCCTCATCAAATCGATAAAAGTGAAAAAAAAGTTGGGAAAATAAAAATCATAATCGTTTGCTTTCGAAGAGAAATGCAAGTGACGCATGTAATTGGGACAACAATGTGATGTGCCATAACGACATGTCAAAATTGATCATAAACAGAAGTGATTTTCCGGACGCTTTTGTTTAATGGAAAATATGTTGTTATCTCTTGGATGTCATCATCACAGCATAATTTCTATTTATTTATGTTTAATATCATTCACTTGGTGTTGAAATAAAAACTTAACTCTTCTTCATAGCGTTTTAAATAATGAAAATGATCTCAAATATTGCTGAATTTTAAAATTTTCTGTCTCGGTTTTATAAGCTAAAGTATGCTTATTTTTGGCATATTTTTATCATCAACTTCATCCTGTTTTGATAGTAGATATTTGTTTACTTAAATGTAGTTAAAAAGCTTCAACCTCAGTGTCAGAACAGAATGTTTCATATCAAAACGCTTTCTTACCTAATTCTTTTAGTTTCCATTGAAACAATTTTTGGAATTGTTGGCGGAAGACATGCAGCAGTTCCACCTTACGATGATCCAGTTGTCTTCGTGAATCATGTTGGAAGAATAGCAAGAGTTGAGGGATATCAAAATCCATCGACTGGTCTTTACACATTTCGTGGAATAAAATATGCCGATCCACCGATCAGAGAGAATCGATTTATGAGACCACGAATGAAACGTTTATCGGGCGATATTGATGGACGGAAGAATGCACCGCCATGTCCACAACCAGATTTTTATGGTAATCAAAATTCATTCTATTGAAAAATTTCATAAATTTAAACTTTTCAGATGAGAATAAAATAATTGGAGATGAAGATTGTTTAGCTTTAAATATTTTTACACCACAAATGCCAGACGAAAGTACCGGATTGCCAGTTTTGTTGTGGATTCATGGCGGTGGTTATCGATATGGATCAGCAGCACAATTCGGAGCTGAACCATTAGTACAAAACAAAGTAATCTTCGTTCCAATTCAATATCGTTTAGGGACACTTGGAATTCTTGGCGATGGAAGAAGAGAGTTTAGTGGAAATGTTGGAATGTTTGACATGTACGCAGCTCTTCAATGGATTAAACAATACATTTCGTTTTTCGGCGGTGACCCTCAACAAATAAAAGTCATCGGACATGGATCTGGAGCTTCAAGTGCAATGCATCTTTCATCATCGCCAATCTCAAGGAATTCTCTAAATGGAGTTGTTTCAATGTCAGGAAGTTCCTTAAGTCAATACTCTTACGATGAAAATGCCGAAATATCAACTGAAGAAATCGCAAAAGTTCACCAATGTCCACATGCAAATGAAATTGAATTGTTGAAGTGTTTGAAAAAGAAGTCAACGGAAGAAATTATAAAACAAGATTCAAAATTACAATTTGAGAGATTGATGGAGAAGAATATGATAAAAGCGATGAATGGAATGTTGTCATTTTCCCCCAACATTGAACCTCCAGATGATCAAAGAGGTTTGCCAGGGGTAATCACGGATAATCCAGAAGACAGTTTAAAGAAAGAATCTCACGACAAAATGCCACTTTTAATAGGCGTCACCAAACATGAAACAGCAAATGGAATAGACGTTAATGAAATTAACAGAGTCTTCAAATCAGCGACGGGATTTTTGAAAGAATCAGTGGCAACTTTAAAGATTCGAAATCTTGTTAATGTTCCTAAACATTTAGCGGGATTAGCTGGCACACTTGGTAAGAACTTCCATTAACAATTCAAGAAAATTTAAATTTTCGTTTATAAATTGTTTAGGCCTTCCAACATTGGAAGAATATTTGACAGTTCCTGATGGAATTCATCCCGAGAAGCTTTTAGGTAAACTCGTCGAGACCACCACCGACGTTTTTTTCAATGTTCCATCAATCATGGCAGCTGATCTTTGGGGCAAAAGGTCAAAAGCATTCTTCTATCAATTTGAGCACGTTGGAGATTCAGAATCGAGTGGAAAACTTCTCTTAAAGCCTTTGCCTTTAGTGTCGAAGAGACAAAGCCCAAATATGGTGGCACATGGTGATGACTTGGGATATCTTTTTGATATTCACGATGTTTTCGGCAATCGAATTAACGCAACAACAATAAAGTCAACTCGTGACATCAGAGCAAGACAAAACTTTATCGAAATGATCGTTAAATTTTCTTACATCAACTCAACATTGTCGGAATTTAAACTCAACAATCAAATTTTGATTCCATTTAGTACCGACGCAAGTCATTTCATTAAAGTTTCGGATAAATTTTCAATCGATAAAGATTTTCGTTTCTGTCAATTGACAATGTTAGGATGTCCACTTAAAGCGATACAAAAAGTTTCTTGTCATTTCTTATCAGAAGGATTAAGAATTGCTAAGAAAATTGTTTCAGCGCCAAAGAAACTTCTCTCAAAAGTTAAAAAACTTTGGTAAATGATTTATGTTAGAAATATTTTATGGAAGAAAGAAATGTTTAATAAATATTGAAAACTCACCACTTCCTTTATCAGCGAATCTATTTGAAGTATAATGATTAACAGTTCTTGCCCCTGCATCGCCAACACTTGCAAACTGTGTTCGATTATGATTGAAGCCAATAACAGGACGGTAATGTGGATTTCCTTGATCAACGCCTTGTTTCAATACCTTCGGTGGATCGATTGCTGTTGGAAGTTTGCGAGCAGGGAAAATGAAACTTTCGGGATACTTCGGATCGCGATATCTGACATTAATTACCGAATTATCAGTAATGTCATGAAGTCCCATGATGAGAGTTGGAAATGTTCCACCTTCGGGGATATTTTCATCAGACAAAAGCACCAAACCTTGCATTCCTTCGATCGATATCGGAAATTCTATATCGAAATCTGTCTCTGTCTCGTAAAACTTTTTCAACAATTGATAACCACGCGATCCACGTCCCAAATACAATCTGTCGTCACCAAGTTTATTTCTTTTATTCTCTTCCAATGTCAATTCCTTTCTGTATGGTTCAACAGCTTTAAACAATCTCTTTTCGTCAACAAATGGCAACAACGCGACACCTTGCCATGCAAACTTTTTTCCATTCAAATCAATGTTAAAGTCATCGGGATAAAAATCAATAATTGGAGATTTTGGATCAAGCATTAACTTTGCGAATGGGAGTGGAACGTGTTGACGACTAGCAGCTGGAAAAACTCCCATCAATTGTTCTAAGGGCTTAAATGGAGTCCCTTTGCTAAACTTCTTACTTAATCCTCTGATGTTAGTGAAGTCAGAAGCAAATGGTGCATAGTGGTATGGAAAGTACCATTCCCATGATGCACATCCTTGATAGTAATATTGCAACACCCAGCATAGCCCTTTGACGTACTCCAAAGCGACCGAATAACGAAATTGCAAATTATCAGGCATAACATCAAACTTTGATTCGTAATAACGATCTTTGAATCCATCTTCCCATAATCGTACTTCATCATGTGCTTGGTCGTCTTCTTCTTCCACGGAAGCTGGCTGATCTTCTGCCTTCCGTTTAACTCCTTGTCTTCCTTCATTGTTTGCTGTTGTTGATGAATGAAGCATCGATTCAAATGCTGCATTACTATTTCCAGCTTTTGCATCTGTGTGCATCATTGCCGCTCTACTGATCCTTAAAATATCATCTTTCGGATTGACAATAGCGGCTGGTGCTACTCCACGTCCAAGTGGTGTCGGTGCAAATTGTGTATTTTGCATGAGATTAAAATTCGGTCGTTGTTGTCGTTCCGACTTCATTCGCTTATTTCTTGCCTTCATTCGTTCTTCATTCTTCTGACGATCACGGAAAATTTCATCTTCGACATGTCCCAAATCACGCATGATCATCTCAACTCGCTCTAAAGAAACATCGCCGGAATCAGTCAAATAACCGCCAGTCTTATAAACGCATTTCTTGTAAAGTGTGATTAATCGATCAATTGCATTCTCACGAATTTCCAATGAAGGAAGATGTGGAAGGAAATCGTTACCAACGAAGAAACACATAAACACCCAATCGTCAATGACACGCTCAAAATCGTAAGGAAAAGGAAGATTCGGCATGTCCAGTTCTCTTGACAAATATTCCTTAAGCACATTTAATCTTACAAAAATGAATTGCGTTTCTTTACCAAACTCTTTTTCCGGTTGAGTATGAAATTCAATTTCTAAACCCGTGCAGTCTTTCATTTCGTGACCAATTTGTTGGCAAATATCACAGGGACGTGGCTTGTTCGGAAGAAATTCTTCACGTATGATGGTGAAATTTGGTTCGTGAGTTGCTAATCCAAGCATAATCAAATCGGCATCAGCTCCACATAGTACATGTTGAGTGTTGGGATCGTGATCAGGTTGCGCTCGTTGTCGTCGAATGTAATCCATGATTTTATGTTCGCCTTCACCAGGAACATTCGCGTCTGATAAAATTACTTTAACATTACGCCACCCTGGATTGTTATTCAATCTATCGTAGACATAATACTGAAGACAACGACTCAGTCTTTCCATGAACGGAGTTCCCGGTGTGATGCAATTTGAGTCAAAATGATCTCCTTTTGGTTTTTCCGGAGGTAAAATAGCTCCTTTCATTTTAAGTTCTTCTCGAATTCTTGAAATTTCTGCTGCTTTTTCAGCTGCTTCTTTTGATGCTCGAAACCTACGAGATCTTTGTTGATTCATCTTAGCGCGAGGTGCTGCAAGGTAAATTTTCATGATAGAATGGAACATTATTCTCAATTTTTTTTATAAATTTCTTACCAACTCCATCAATTGCCATATAAAGAAGCTTACGAGGACGAACAATCGAGAACAGGCGATCAATACACTCAAATATAGCAATCATCATCTCATCTTCATTCCTTGGAGGCGGCTTATCTTCCGGATGTGTACAAGGATGAATTATCCCGTTCATATCTAAGTAAAGATTGTCAAACTCAATATCATTTGGATTTGGAAGTGTTGCATCTTCATAGATGTTTTTGCCGGTCGTTTCATCTACATTCTATGTGACAAATAAAAAGAAATTAATATCGAGCATTTTGGAGAAACGAAAATTTTATTATTTTACCTTTTTTTCAACGCATTCAATGATAACACTTGGATATTTTCTTGATAGCCATCTGAAGAATGCTGGAACTCCCATTTTACAAAGTTATATACTTTTATTTTAACTGTTATTCAATAAAATGTTTCTATAGAATTTTGTTTTTTGAAAGGAAGGGAGTAAAGCTGCGCAATTGAAAATATTTTAATTTCGAAAAGTTTTAAGCGCGAAATTTTAATTTTTTTCGTTACAAATAATATGCGGATTAGATTAATTTAATTAAACAATTGAATTTTGTGTTTTTCTTCGATAAATTCACATATTTATTTCATTATTATTTCATTTCATCACAAGCAGAGAGGATTATTCTATTGATTACCTTAGATCCAGTCCATTAACGTTCAATCTGGGATTGAAATGCAATGAAACAAAAATAAGAAATTATTAATAAAAATTTGCCTTAATTTAAGCAGTTCGATTTGAGAAGAAACCGACCAGCGTTAAAAGCGGAATCATGATAACGAACAAACTTGTCATCAGAATCAAGCCAACGGTTGAATACCAGCTGAAGTAGCTTGAATATTGTATTCTGAAAATATTTTCAAGTGAATTTAAATCAATAAATGATCGAGTTTAATCAATAATTAACATACCGACAGTACCAGCAGAACACTAAAGTTACTGATACAAGAATCATTCCAATAATATAAATGAACAATGTTCCATTCCATTCTAAAGGATTGGTTGAATTTAAGATTCCTCCATTGTTGGTGTTTCTCGTCACTGGTGACATTTGATTCGACACTGGAGTCATAACATTTTTCTTTTGAAGAATAAGACAATGAACTACAGCTTCGGAAAATAATCCACATTGTGATAGAGATTTTCTATCATCTTCCAATATTTGACCATTAAATATTAGTTTGATGAGCTTAGACTCAAGTTCGACTTGAAATTGGCGCCTAGAACAAATAAAATAATGAGAAACCTCAAAGAATATTTCTTTAAATTTCTTACCTTTTAAAACTTCCAATCGTTTCATTTAAGTACGCGTTCACTGTCTTAATTTCATCATTCAAATATTTCAACTTAATCAAAATCTTGTCTTCTTCTCTTTGTTGATTATTATCAGAAGAATTCGAAGCAGATGAAGTCGATGGTTGGGATTCATGAACGATACGTTTTCTTAATCTACATTCAGCTGCTCTACTACTACTACTTGATGGTATATCACGATCCATTTCACGTATTATAAGCTCTTCTTCAGTTATTTCTGTATCAGAAATTCTAAGATCTCCATCGGTTTCATCTTGTGATACATTGTTCTGGTTATTGAAAGATTCTGATGCTTCAACAAAGATAGAATCTGTCATGTTCTCAACGGAGTTGGTAAGATTTTCTTCTGTTGTACTCCCTGTAGCTGTAGAAATATTGGAAATTACTGAAGAACTTCTACGTACTGTTAAATAAATATTCATAAATATTTATAAACTTAAAATAGAACTAGGTAGATGCGTCACATTTGTTGTTTTCTTACCAAAATTACTGATCGGGAACTGACTTGAAGTTGTGAACTCAATTTCACGAACCTGTGTAGATTTCCATACGAAATAAAAAAGTGCAACAATAAATGATAGAAGAATGATGTGAATTGATCTAAGGCTTTCATCTTCGCTGTCAAAGAGAACCATTTTCTGGTTCATTTGCTGATGTTTGCTTTATATTAAAAATCAAAATAAACAGAAGGAAAAAAAACGTCAAATAAACTTTTTGATATTTAATGAAGTTCGAAATCAGTTTTTAATTATTTGCTTACTCGTCTGACAATGTGGTGTTTGCTTTTTTAGGAAAGTTAATAAACTGAATATGATTGTCGATAGTTTTCAATATTTTTTTATTTTTGACGAAATAATATTTTCTTCGACGATGCCAAACTACACGAATATCTCCTCGCATACCCCTCTATGTTTAATCCGGACCTTTAATTTCGAAAATATCGCATATCGTGATAAGAGAAAAAATATGAAAAACTCATTTAATTTAATTAATAAGCTAGCTAGTTTTCTCATAATATGCTTAGTGTTTGCTTCAGTTAATGCTTTGTTTGAAGATCAAATTGGAAAATTTGATTGGTAAGTGACAATCATCAATAAAAGTAAAAACTAAATTTTGATCTATTTTTAGGCGACAGCGTTATATAGGAAAAATTAAATTCGCTCAATTTGATCCAGTAACAGCTGATAGAGCATTTGTAGTGACAGAAGAGAATGTTCTTGCAACTTTGTCTAGTAGAAATGGCGATATTCTGTGGCGTAGGATATTGGAAACTGATGAATCACGAGGCTTAGTAAGATTTCTGTATGTCAACAAAGATTCGAAGAGTGTTATGAGAAGAACGGGAGAGGAAGCTGATGTTTTTGGTTTAATCACTGTATCTGGACATAATCCAGTATTATTTCGTGGCTGGGGTGTGAATACAGGAAATTTATTATGGGAATGGTCGATAATTCCAACTTCAGAAAATTCAAAAGATTCGCAGTTCTTCTTTAATGAAGGAAATATTTATCATATTGTTCCAGTCTGGAATTCACATATTGAAATCACAGAATATGTCGCTAATACAGGTCAACAAAAGACAGCAACAAGTAGCAAAATTACTGCCGGTTGGATCACTAAAGACAAATGTTTGTTGACTGGAAACAGTTTCGTTTGCTTAGTGAAGGATCAACTTCTTGTTCTGGATCTTCTCGCTAATCAAAATAATGTTAGAACTAAAGCATTGGATTCCCCAGCAAATGACATTAAATTAATTCTTGGTCAAGATGGATTCATTCAAGTTGGACGTCAAGTGATTTCTTTAAGTGACCTTCGTGTGGTGTTCGAGAACAGAAAACTCGTAAATGTTTTCATGGACAACAGTTTAATTCAACTTGTGAAGGAAAATAACGAAATTAAAATCAAAATGGATGAGCAAGAGTTGACAACACTTGCAGATTTACCAGAAACAATTGACAATAATTTGAATATTTTATGTGTCAAGTGCAAGCCAAAGAAGGATAACATCGGGCAACTTGCTTGTCGTTTCCTGCTTTCAACCGATGACGGTGCAATCGTCTTGGTACAACAAAGCAAGATCAAATGGATAAGAGAAGAAGCTTTAACGCGAATCGATTCTGTGGAACTTCTTGACTTGACGCTTTCCGATGCTCAAGGTGCGATTGAAGAAGAACTCAACAACCAAGACGGTGAGAAACATTTTTAACAAAATTATTTTAATGAAAATGAGGAAATTTCTTAATCATTTCAAATTTATCTTCTTCCAAATGCGTCGAACAGAGGAGAAACATTGTATGTCAAATTTAATGTTTGTTATGTGTGTTGAATTTGAATTTTTCGCAAGCTAAACTGAATCTTTTAATTGAATTTTATTCAAGATTCTGACGTTGTTGCATAGTTAAGTAACTAAATAAGATGTAAATTTGATCTCATTATTGATTTGTAAGAAAGTTATGTCGAACATGTAATAAGACACTGATGACAATCGTTAAAGAAATGCGATAAATGAAGTTCAACTAATTAGTAAAATGACGTAGTCACACTAATTAAATGACTTGAGACTCATCAATAACAATTAAAAGAATTGAATAACGAAATAAAACACTTGGGAAGATGTTATTGAAACCGTAACATGAGACTCTACCAACCTAATTCAAAGTTTAGCTTGCGAATAATTTGATCTTCTTTTTTTCCATTTTTTACACTGCTTCACGTGTTTTAATTTCAGTTTGCACGTTTCTGCTTCGTGTTCTTCTATTTCATTTGTTATTTTTGTGTTCAGTAAATGATATCATCATCGATTTGCTAACAAATAATTTTCTTATGTTGTTTTTTTATCTGGTCGCTTCGCTCAGCTGATATTTGGAGTTCATTGTACCGTCGACTTCACAGTCAATATGGGATGGTGAAAAATATTGTTCTACATGTTCTTGGATTGGGACCACCTCCGTCTTTCTCAGAACGTGCTGGTCTTGTTCGCGATGATTTTGGACTTCATAAGATGATGGTGATTGTAACAGAATCAGGAAAGATGTTTGGCATTGACAGCGTTTCAGGCAAACAACATTGGGTTCGAATTCTGCCAAACTTTACAAGATTTCCAAATGATCAAAGTATGAAAGTTCTCGTTCAACGAACTTCAAAATATTATCCATTGTCAGCACAGTGCGCTGTTATTGCAAGAGATAAGGAAACTGGTAATGGAATCTTGTACGAGTTCAATCCAATCTCAGGTCAACCAATCAACGGTGGCATTAAAAAGCTTGGATATAAAATCCAACAAGTTTCATTGCTACACAAGAGCGGTGAAAACTTTTTACGTGCAATTTTGTTCATCGATGATAAAAACGGCGTTCATGTGCAACCGGAAACTTCACTTGCAATGGTTGATGGATTTTTCTTTTATGTTGCTAATAAGAATACCGGCGATGTTACTGGCTATCAGATTCAGTTCGAAAACAATGTAAGTGCTGACCATGAACACTTTAAATGATTTCTAAACGATGATTTGTTGTTACAGGAAGCGACTTCGTTACCAATATGGTCTTTGAATCTTGGCGGAACTGATAATGAGCAAAAGATTACAGCAATTGCAGCGAAGAATACAATTGAAAGAGTTCACTCACAAGGACGTGTTTTAGCTGATCGTTCTGTTCTTTACAAGTACATAAATCCAAATTTAATTGCAATAACAACTGAGGGACCCGACGCTGTTCATAAAAGTAAATTTCTCGTTAAATGTTTTCTTTAATATTCAAAACAAAATGAAATTTTCTTTCCAGACATCTTAAATGTTTATCTTGTTGACGTTGTTAGCGGCAGCATCGTCTTTTCTATTAACCATCGTCGTGTCAAAGGACCCGTCAAAATCGTTCATTCAGAAAATTGGCTCGTCTACACATTTTATAATGAAAAGATTCGTCGAAACGAAATCAGTGAGTTCAAATGAATTTTATTCAGAGATGGAAATTTCTTTCTATTCGTTAGCTTAGAATTGAATTAGGTACTTCTTATTTGGCTTCTTAAACAAATATGTTTGTCACATTTTTCCGTGTTCAATGCTACAATTAGTCCGTTCGCAGCGCACGTGTTGTGATTAGGCTGCTAACTACGGAACTAACGTCAAGGTTCACTCGATGATTCTCACAAAAATCTTCAACTCCTCGTTATTGATTGTATTCGCATAATCTCTTCCTTCTATTTTTGGAGGCTCATTCGTGACCGAAGATGTTTTGTTTTTCAATGATAACAAGAAAAAATGTTCCCGTAGTCGTAAATTATTGCGCGCCAAATAAACATTAAAAAACATTTCCACACGACGTCGTTGATAAATTAAATAGAAAAAAAAAGCAACGAAATCAGCTGATAAAATATTTTTTCGTTCTTTTCATTTTTCTATTCTCCACAAAAACAGCATCGATCGAATTATATGAGGGCAAAACACAAACAAATAGCACGGTTTGGAGTTCATTGAATTCAACTCCATTACCGCTTGTCGAACGTCAGACATTCATTATATCAAGTAGCGTCGCAGCATTACGTGAAACGATAACAGAGAAAGGAATAACGAACAAACATGTGTTGAGTGAGTGAATTTGATTGATTGAAACATTTCATAACACGAAGGTGAATACTTCTTATCTTTATATTATCAGTTGGAATGCATTCAGGAGCTGTAAGTGAGATGTCATGGGCTTTGTTGGATCCAAGAAGACATTCAATGATTTCGCCCGAGAAGCAACGAGAAGAAGGAATAATTCCTTACATCCCTGAATTACCATTGCAGCATGAAAGTATTATCAACTACAATCAAACTGTTTCAAAGATCAGTGGAATTTACACAGCACCAAGTGGATTGGAGAGCACTTGTTTGGTTCTAGTCTATGGTCTTGATTTGTTCGTGACACGAGTATCACCATCAAAGACATTTGACTTATTAAAAGAAGATTTTGATTACTTCTTGATCTCAACTGTCCTAATTGGACTCACATCAGCATCTTATATAGTCAAGCATTTAGCCGCAAAGAAAGCAATTAAGCAAGCATGGAAATGAGGTTAATAATTTAAATGAATGGTGGAAGTATCAGGTAGCTGCAAATCATTGATTATTTAATTAGAACTTTGCAATAAAGACAAAATTTGAAAATAGAAGTTTTTTTTATTGATTATGGTTGTTAATAAATAATGATCAGATTTTGAAAGTTCAAAATTTCTATTTCAGGCATTTTTAAGACCAAAAATGGACCCATATTTGGACAACATTAAACCAATTTTTAAAGAGACATAATAGCAACTTGTTGCAATTGTTTACTGTCTGATCTCAGAGTAAATTCAAGCCAATCGCAATCGTAAAAGATTTTTATTGCTCAAAGGGTGAAATTAAAAATGGATGTAGAACACAGACTCTTGGCCATTTATAATTTATAATTTAAATGTTTCTTTGTGCGATCATTTAGTTCTCTTGAATTTCTCCTCGTCACGTTTCACTGCACGCATTGATTAAATGCAATTTGTAGTTTTCACTTTTACCTTGTTGTTCACGCTACAAACTAATGTACAAACAATATTTGTGATAATCTATACTCATAAACAAACAACATCAGTGAAACATCCCGCGCATAACCGAAACAAGCAAATAAAAATGTTGATAAATCTAAAAATAATCAACTCGATGAACATTATGTGTGTGTTTGTTGGCTGTCTCTTCTTTTTTTGTGCTTCATACTTATGATGATTTCAGATTCGCATTTTTGTTGTCGTTTCGCGTCATGTTAAGCAAGAAATTTTCATTTTTTTTCTCCTCGCTTATTGACCTTGACCAAAGAAGCTTGAAAAGAAATAAGCAAGCAAGCGATTGTAGAAATCTTTTATAAATGATAAACAAACAACAGCCCGGCAAAATGTTTAAGTTCAGCTTTGCCATCTGTCACTGAAAGTTCCTATAAAACGATTAAATGAAGGGAGTATGAAGGACGGAAGAATGTTTGGGGTTCGTTGTCACATAAAACAGCTGTCCTTCAGCTGAGATTCTTCAGACATCTGATTTAGAGAGCAATTGGAGGTGATCAAGTTTCTTATTTTAATTCTCTTTTTACTTGTTGTTCGCTTTATTTCTATTCAAGTACATTTGGCGTACGTGCAAAAAGAAAGAAACTAAAGTAGATAATCGATACATAGTCGAATGTTCAAGAACAAAGAGTGAGAAGAGAAACAGGTTTTAAGCGCTCATTCTTTGCTTTAATCCTGAATTCACAATTCTCGATCTAAACTTATCAATATGACTACAATTGAAACTTAAACTTGAAGCTGAAAATATGTAATTAAAACATTCACTGAAATCTGAAAAAAAAGAGATAATTAATTATAAACACTTTGTATCTAACTGAAAAATGAAAACTAGAACTAATAAATTCAATACAATTTCAGTTACTTTGTATGCGTAGTAAATTTCTCTGTTCTGTTTATTGAATGGATTTCTTTCTCATCAATTATCATTTCACTTCAAAAAACAAAAAAAATGTTCACAATTTTCATCTTTTCGTAATGGATAGTTAAAAATAAGTTAAAGTTAATCTAATTATTCTTTTAATTATGTGGGGGATTTAATCTTCTGTTTAATGTTTAAACTATAAATACATCAATTCGCTCTTACAGAAACTTTTTTTTCACATTTATGGTTTTTTATGATTTTTTTTTGTTGTGGATTAAGGAACAAGAAGAAGAAAGTCTAGATGAGTTCGAGTCATGCAGGTTTTGTGCTTAAAATACCAACTTTTAATAAAAGACAGGATGGTAAGAATGAATTGACCGTAATGAAAATTGAAATGAAATTTGATCGCATACTGGCTTATTTTTTGACATTTGCTGGATCGTTTGCAGGTTCAAACTTTTCGAAACTTTCTTCCTTTCCGGACATCCACTTTACATTTTATTTATTTCACATTCATGTTCTAAAACTATTATTCCTTATAGAAAGATTCAACACTCTTGATGGTTTGAGTGGATAATTTTTGTAGTTCAAAGATGTTCTCGATTTTTCTTGAAGATTCTTCTAAATGTTTTTGTTTTTATGTTGGTGATTTTGGTGTCATAAATCTTCTGAGTGATTGAATGATTTTTGAATTATAAAAGGAAGTTGTTAGATAATCCCTTGAAATATTTGAAGATTGTTGGATTTGATCGTTTTAAAAATATATTCTTTTCAAATATTACGCGTGTGTTACTCAAATGTTCGCGTTAATGAGAGAAATTCTTCTTATTTCAGGATTTCCTTTCATGATTTATTTTCTTCTCTTTTGTTTTTTATTTATTTTTTAAATTTTAAAGATCACAATATTCGCTTGTTTTTAATTTTTTAGTTTATTTATCTTCTTCGTAAAGTTTATTTTCATCTTTTTATAAATAATAACTTTCATTCGTTATTTGCTTGAGGAAAGAAAAGAAGTTGAAAAAAATTTACTTTTCAGTGTTTTTTTTTATTTTGCAAACTTTTGCTGTGCAAATAAAAGAGGCTCAAATAACAATGACGTCACGTTTTCTTTTTTAATTTCCATTTTAAACATTTTCCAATGTTTCTTCTCTTCTATCACAGTTTGAAAAGAAAAATCACAATTGATTGGTAAATGAAAGCTTTTAATATGTGACTAAAAGAGATTTTTATGATCGCGCTCATCATTGTTGAATTCACCCCATGCGAACGGCAATAATATGAAAAACCGGTTTCACTATTCTCCTACTTTATTCTTTTAATTGAGTTCCAATCACCATCGAATGCAAATTGCATAAGTCAGAGAAGAAATGAAGAAAAAAAAGATTGCAACATGAATCACCATTGAGAGTAAAACATCAATTTTGATTTAATTGCAAATATTGTTTTACAGTTTGATTTCCTCAGCCATTCATACATTTCCTTTTCTTTCGATATATAAATTGATTTTTATCTTTAAGATTTCTCCAAGATATCTTCTATGCCACAATAATATTAAAAAAATCCATCTTGATATCTTTCTCATGCATTCATTTAATGTGGAAATCATGTTGTCAATCGTTTTCATACTCAAATGAAAATGCACAAAAAGTATCAAATGAAAATAAACAGTTTAGAAGAGTACGAGAAACTTGATAATTTTCTAGTAAATTATTGAAATGAAAAAAGAATTTCTGGCTTGTTAAATTGAAATCGTCAGATAACGAAATGAAATTGGATGTTTGTTATAAAATGACATCAACGCTTGTTGAAAATAAACAAAAACCTTAATTGGCTGTTTATGTCAATGACTGAATGTTTATTCTTTTGAATTTCTTGCTAAGCTATTGTATAACTTTTTTTTCATTCTGTGTCCGCTTAGTGGGAGTTGAAAGATTAAAATAATCGCTCTCGAGGCTTCCTAATTATTTGCCGAATCGAATTACAATAGCAACAACAATTTTGCATTGACAAATTCGAATCAGCAAGTTAATTTGAAAACAGTGAATTTGGGGCTTTCCTTGATCTCATTTCCAATTTCTATTCACCGCATCACCGTCACTCAGACTAAATTTTTTTACACGCGTACTTCTTATCAGCAAGTCGCGTTTTTAATGACTCAAACGACGAGTAAATAACGGTCAAAGCCAAAAACAGATTTTTTTCTTTGCCGCTTGACGATAAGAAGTTGCAAAGCCCCAAATTACTGCCACCGACAATTAAATAGGGAACAATAAGTAACGACAAAAAGTTTCTTTCTCAAAATCTACTCACATTATCACTTAAAATATTTTCTAAACATTCAAACGTCATCGTGAGTTGGACAAATTTAAACTTTTTGCTACCACTGATAATCCCCACTATATGTTCTATTGTAACTCTTAATGAATTTAATTGATGTGTATTGTTTGTATTAAAAGTTATTGTAATCAACATCAACTAGTTTACTGGCTCTAAATGATTCGAATAAAAAAGAAGACTTGGAAAAACAAAGAACGGAACTTTCATGTTTTGTTTTGTTTGCTTCATGATGCGGGGAACGATTAAATAGAAAAAGCCGTTAAGTTAACTTTACTTGAAGACAATTTTTGACGAGATTTTTGTTTTATTATAATAACTATTTTATGTATAAGTTAATTTAGTGATTCTCGAGAAAGAACAAGAAGCGCTCTCCCATCGGCAAACACAGCCCGAATGGAAATAAAAGTGCGCATGATTTGATTTAACGTGCAATGATTTTACATTTGATTTTGCTGTACGACAACATGCATTTTTTTTAGTTTTTTTTGTGTTGTTTTGCTCCACTTTCTCACAAATATTTAACTTACACGGCTAAGACGTTATGATTTTTTTCATCAAAAGATTTTTGTACTTTTTTCTTTTTCTTTTTTTAAATTATTTGATTTTTTTGTGTTTTTGTTTTTATGAAACTAGAAGTAGAATTAATTTTTTTTGCTTAGATTTTTAATCTTTTTATGAATTTTTTTATCTTTTTTTCGAGACAATTGAACGAGTAAAGAATCTTGAGAAATATTCTCAAGACAAATTGTTCATTTCAATGTCTTCTGTCGACTTTTTTTTCTTCTTTAATTTATTTTCCTTCTCTCTCTCTCAAAAGAAGAGGAAAATTTGATACCAAAAATGAAAAATAATCTTAAAGAAAACTTGTTGAAAATTAAAAGTAATAAAAAAGAAAAGATTTCTCATAATGTGTGGCTTGATTTTACCCCACGATCATTGAGAACTTTCACGATGCATTCTCAATGTCATTAATCAAATTAAAATTGTAATTTTCTTTTACTTAAAGATGATGTTAAGCTTACGATTGATGATGAAATACTCTAACACTGTTCACAAACAGCGACCACCGGACTCGTGGGCCAATCTTCCTCGGATCCATCTTCGGAGCTGACACTTCCCGTTCTAAATCGAAGATTATTGTTGTCTTCTTCGATCGTAGGCAGGTAAGAAGTGACTTTAAGCTTATCAGTTGGACGAAGACTACGAAGAGTTCGTGATGATAATTTCCACACCAAACGTTGTTTGTATGGCATTTTTTGTTGGCCGTTGTAGTTCGAAAGAATCTTTACGACGGTGCTGTGAGTGTGGAAAAAAGTGCTGTCTGGAATCTGTTGAAAGATAAAAAACAAATGATTGATTAAAGAAAAAAAATTGTCTCGAATAACAACAAAATAAACTTACACGACACAACTTTTGCAACTGAATAGCATAATCAACCAATCCATGTATTTGATGTGCACCAGCATCGAGTTTGCTTACAGAGGCGTCCATTTGTGTACACAACATTACCAAAGCTAACTCTGAAGCTCGAATACTGGCACAACTCGCATCACATGCCAATATCTCCATTTTCTGTTCCAAATCCGATAGAATGATTGCCGATTCGTAGAACTCACTAAGTCCAAGCTCTTTGGCAGCATTACGGAAAATGTGATAAAACAAACGAATGAATGTCAAACCACTGACGGGTGGTGAACTCATTTGAACTCCTAACTTGCTCGCAATAATTTCAGCCATTCGTTCCAAGTCACGTGCAGTGCAGCGACACTGTAATGATTAAATTGATTTTTTATTTATTAATAATATGTTGGAAAAGATTTATTTCTGTATCTTTGACGTCATTTGGTGATTCGACCTGTCATGTTGTTGATGTGAAGATAAATGAAACGCAAAAACAACATAAAAAATTTGGCTAATTTTCAAAAAACAATTTTCATCTCTCTTTTCACCTGAACAAGCGTAAATTATTAAAAATACTTACTTGTGAGATGGCAACCAAATCGTCGGTATCGATAGGCAACAATCCAAGCTGCTTAATCGCTAAATGAAGTGAGCCTACAGAAATACAAGCCATATGCTTCGGACGAACTTTCATTTTAGTTAAGAAACGATCGACGAGATTGATGGCAGTGAAAAGAACGTCGTTGGGCAAATCATACCAGACTTTGAGGCATCGTAAGACGTGTGCAGCACCGTCACGTGTTCCAATGGTTATTTCTCCATCCTATAATCAAAGAAAGGAAAATAAAACAATAAAAGATAAGATTGGCGGGTTTGAACTTGAAACGGTCGATCAACTGGTTAAATCTTTTTAAAAGTACTTACATTTGATTGCAGGGGTAAAAATAAGTTTGGCTGATATTTCGGTTCCAATGTCAAGGCTTCGTGTAATTGAGAAAACAAATCTTGAGCGTTGGCACCAAATGAAGCCATTTGTGATGTGCTTTTGAGATGTTGTTGTTCAAGTTGATTATTATTATTAATATTATTATTGTTGTTGATGTTGGTAAAGTCAGAACTCATACATGATGCGTTGTTAGCATCCGGAGTTCCAAGCCGGCCCTGATGATGTTGTTGGGTGTCCATCAGCGCTTGAGTATCCATTTTACCGCTCGTACTATTGAAGTTACTTCGGCCATTCATCTGTGCAGTGGTGGTTGCGATGTTAGTGCTTGATCGAGCGACAATAGAATCGGCAGAAAAGCGGACCGACATTACGTTGAGGCTTAAGGGCTGGCCAAGGACCTGAATATTGAAGTATAATCGTATTGATTGGTTTAACCAATCGTTAATTATTTTCAATATTTTTTTATTGTTTTAACGCCACAAACTTTGTTTTTGTGGGTTTTAAGTTTTTTTCTTTTATTATTTTAAACTTTGTGTTTATTTCAACTCTCGGTTATGTGAAAAAGTTTTTTAAAACAAAAAACTAGTCGCACAACACTAAGTTGACCCTGAACAGCACACAACGATCTCACAATAAGATCTTCGTGCTTTTATTAGGATCACAAGACTACTTTGCCTTACAACAATCTTTATGTTTTCACTTCAGTACACAGCGATCTCAGTAAATTGATGTGAATGTCTCTCGTTTCTATTTATTTTTTTCTTTTCCACTAAACCAATTATCAGCTGAGATCTTCGTACTTTTAAATTGTTGTAGATAGTAGCTTTACATGCAATCTTTAAAGTGTATTTAAGTTGAATAAAGAAAAGCAACTTGAATAGATATTTACTGGACAAAAGGGCGATAATTTCCCTTTTAGAACAACGAGAGAATAAATATTTCTTATATCATCAACTAAACAAACAAATTGATAGAAAAACAATAATCTAAACAATCAAGTTCAACAATAGTTGCTTAGATTATGGGTCAACTTAAAGAGGAATAACGAGACTGAGTAAATGTTTCTTATGAAAACAATTTCTTTGTCTCTTTTGCTTTGCAATAACTTCGTACTTATCAAAAGTCTCTGAAATTATTGAATAAAATAAAAAAATGATTGATTAGCATTGATGGGAATAAATAAAGATGAAAATGAATGAAAATTGAAATTACATGATAATTTGATGAATGAAGCGACAAATGGAACGAACTTCTGTTTGTGACTTTCAATTAGCGAGTATCAGTTCGAAGCTACAACTGTGCGTTGAATAAAACAAAATAAAAAAAAACTTCATGGGGGACGCGATCATTATTATGCAAAACCATGAACGTTCAAACAAAGTAACGTTTCGCGTTTTGTTTAAAGTTTCAACGCGTTTTTCATTGAAATGTGAAAAAGAAAATTGAAATATATTCTCATACAAAAGACGCTTTAATTGAAAAACAAACTCTACGATACTGTGTCAATTAAAAGCAAATAGTATTGAACGAAACAAAAGTTGTTTAAACTTAATGTATTTTTTTTTTCTTTTACTTCTTCTTAATTTTTGTGAGCTCACAAAAATGTGATGCTACAAAACCCTAAACACGAGTAAACTTGTCGAATCGTGAAAATGACGAAATCTAAATATATATATCGTCTCATTACAATGAAGTTTCACTAAAGTTGAGTAATCGTCGCAAAATTTCATCACTTTCTACATGCGCGCGGCGTTGAAGGGCAAAAAAGTGGAATTAATCTTTATTCAGTGCTACTTTTTCAACGATATCGTAAGATATTTATTTACTGAACTTTCTACCCGGCCCAGAAATGTTTATGGCTTTGTGCCACAAGCTTTTTTGTGTTAAAAAACGAAAAAAAAAATTTCTTCTTCACAGACGCTCGCCTCAGCTGATTTGGAAGAATTAATTTTAAGTCGCATTTGGTTGCACTTGAAAACCTTTTAGAGAAAATATTTTCTTCAAAATTATCAGCGACGCATAACTGTTTAGACACATGAAAAACTTAACGGGAATTTCGCGACATTTTTGAAGAATTTTGTGATTTTTGTTTGCGAAAGATGAGAGAGATAGAAGAAGCGTAAGCGAGAAAGAAATAAAAATGGCGACTTGACAAAAAAATCTTTTTAAAACTTATTTTATGGCTATTTTCACAAAGTTTTTGTCAATTTTACAGCACAAATTGATTTATGCTACACTTTTACATGATTTAACTTTTTGATTCTTACCCGGTGCTTCCTTTTTGGAATTTTTTACTTGGATTTTAACTAACAAACAAACATTCTGCGTGTTGATACTTCTGAGGAAAATGTAAAACTGAACAGTTTTTTATATTCGAAACATTCACTACAGAGAGCGCTGGCCACACCGTTTTACTCCCTTCACCTCACCTACCAAGCAGACCGAATTAGGTTTTTCATACTTAAAGTGCGGAAAAGTAGGTACTTTCGAAGTAATAAAGTTGAAGAATGTAAAATTTTTGTCATGCAAATTGTATGACGGTTGATCATGGAAAGTTGCATTAATTGGCAATTGTATGAAGTTTACAGTTGGGTTTGAACAAAAAACTTTGTCTGTAATTTAAAATAAAAAAATCCGACCGAAACCGGTCGGAAGAAACAGCAAAAAATCGCTTTGTTTTTCATTTATTAGTCTGATAAAGCCACGTAAAAAGTTCTTCAATATATTAAAATATTTATTTNNTGATCATGGAAAGTTGCATTAATTGGCAATTGTATGAAGTTTACAGTTGGGTTTGAACAAAAAACTTTGTCTGTAATTTAAAATATTTATTTATTTAACGAAAAATCTTTGTAGTAAAAGAGTATTAAAATGTCTTATTAACTATATTTGTTCTTTTTCTGAATTTCCCCGATGTAGTTTCTATATATTTTAATTATTTAAGTTGGTTCCAAAGATTTCGTCTTCCGTTTCTTTCACATTTCGTTGAGCGTATAAATACGCCTTGATGACCGATTTTGATGAAATATTATACAATGAGTGGGTGGCTAACACTTCGTTATCTGGATTTCCTATGACTAATGGCTGGTCGTTCATACTGAAGTTTTGAGCTATTGATAATCCACTTAAGCAGTAACATGTATGGTAAAGATCTTCAGGTTTTCCGGGTTTATCAATAAGTCCGCCGTTTGGTTTTTGGCAACAGATCAAAACATATTCTTGTAAGGCTTCACGATTAAACAAAAGTTCCTCAATGCTATTCGTACCACTGACGTTATTTGAATTTTTCTCAATAAGCATTTGAATGACTTGCACTAGCGCACCTTGCCAAAAGGAATAACAACCATCAACAAGCTTATTAGTTCTACCTTGAAAGCCACCTTCATACTTCATTTGACGATTCACTGCCCATCTTAATAATGATTTAAGATTACATTTCGTCGGTATGCCGAGTAGAGCAATGGCAGCAGCTCCACAAAAACTGTAGCCGCCATGAGCTTCCAGGCCTGGTGCTCCGCCAAAGCCACCCTCATATGTTTGGCACTCAGCTATCCACTCAGCAGTTCCTTCAAAAAGTTTATTATTTGGACTTATTCCACAAAGTCTTGCCACTGTTATTGCACAATATGCTCCACGAACATCTGTTTCACCATCAACATGCATTTTGAAAGCGCCATTTGGTTCTCGAACACTCCATAAGAATTTCTTAATGCCGTTCATGTCTATTGCTGCATGTGCTTCTTCAGTTTCAATTAGACAGAGACTTAAGACAGCAGCATATGTTGGAGCCAAATGTGAAAGTTGTGACGGGCCACCACCAAATCCACCATTCGCATCTCGACAATTTATTAAAAATTGAATAATATTTGATTGAACTTCTGACGAGAATTTAAAATTGAGCAAATGTGCTGATTGCAGAATCCAATAAATGAGCCATGGTCTTGAAGAATCGAGGCATTCATAACCAGTCGAGAGACTTTTCAAAGAACGTTCAAGAAATCTTATATGCTCTCTTCGATAGAAATATGGAAGAGACGGATCCATGCTTTTCAACTGTTTAAATCTATCAAAACATTTCTCTATTAAGCCTTCAATTTTCATCTATAATTTAATAAGTTTTCATGAATTAGAAAAATAAATAAAATTTCATTGTTGACATTTGTTTGTTTACCTGTTCCAATGATGTGTCAGTTTTAACTCCTTCGTCATCAAGTTTATCTGATTTGAGTTTATCAAAATCTCTAATTTGCGCTTCCATTTTTCAACTAAATGTATCCTAATTTAAATAAAGAAAAGTATTTTAAAACTTCCTGAAAAATTTTTAAGACTGTGGGGAAAAGCTATGCTGAACATTCGAAATCCTACGCCAATCATTTCGGATATTCGGACTTCGTATAAAGTAAGACCAACAACGAAAAATTTTTCTCGGTTATCAAAAAAAAGAAAGATTAAAAAATTTACCAACAAACGACAAGTAAAACATCCAAATGAAATATTACGAAGAAAACAGTGCTGCAATGAGTGAGGATGATGATAACGTTGATATTGAAAGTGATGTAGGTGCTTCAAAATTTACTTTTAAAATTTTCCTCATTATTTCTCGTGATTCATTTGTGACTTTTTTTGTTGTCAAATATTAGGACGGAGACGACTTAAGCGCAGATGGAAAGTCACGTTCAGCTAACAACCAATATTTTTCTCAGGTAACATAAATTAATTTACAAAGTAGAATGTTGAATCTTGAAGTTTTCTTTGTCTAATCCATCAAATTTACATTTTGTCATAAAATTCCGCTACAGACGTAACATAAACTTCTATTTTCTTAAACAATTTATAAATATATTATTAGGCTGAAAAAAGAGCTCATCATAACGCATTGGAACGTAAGAGACGCGATGTAAGTATAATGAATACAATTTGTTTGGTTTTTGTTGAATCCGTTGTTTTAATCACCGATCGCAGCATATTAAAGACAGCTTTACATCACTTCGCGATTCTGTACCATCACTTCAAGGGGAAAAGGTAAATCAGAAAGTAAATATTGGTGCCAAACAACTCTTGTTGAAAATGCTAATTTTCCTAATTGTAGGCGAGTCGTGCACAAATCTTAAAGAAAGCTGCAGAATATATTCAATTCATGAGACGTAAGAACAATTCACACCAACAAGACATCGACGACTTAAAGCGACAAAACAGCGTATTGGAAGCACAAAGTAAGTTTTAATTTAATGATTTAATTAAATCAAATAATTCATTAAAATTTTCTCACACAGTTCGAACATTAGAGCGTGCACGAGCCAGTGGAAACTTCGCTGAAAGCAGCGATGTTGTTCTCGAAAGCATAAAATCTGACATCAGTTCACATGAAAGCACCGACAACGAAAATGAGATGGACAGCAGCGATTCAAGACGCAATAAGCGAATGAAAACCAGCACTTACTAAATGTGATTATTACTTTCAAAATATCTTATTAAAAAGATATCAAAATTTATTTCTACATGCTTTTTTTCAAAACACATGAACTCCTGTTAATTATGGAGACATTGTCTTGATTTTTGTGTCTAATTAATCTTGAAGAAAGAATTATTCAAAGCTATGTAAATTCTTAAACAGATCATAAAATTTAACATTTAGATAATTTGTTTGCAAATTTTTATTTTATAGTTTTTTAATGTTGAGCAAGACAAACAAAAAGAAATTGAAAGATGAAAATAAGAATTCGATTGGGCTTGAAAAATTGTAAATTTGAGATTTGATTGGAGTGAATTTCACGTCTCGCTTTGCAACTTTCTAGATCCAATCTGAGAATTCATTTATTTCAGAAATGCTCACAAATATTTTCATATAATTCTTTGTAGATATTTAAGTTTAAAAAAGATTAAGAGACAAATAAAAAATCAATCTTAATGAATTAAAATTTTAACAATCTTCTTCAACAAATCCATTACTTAAACGAACCCCGGCTGATTTCCTCTGTTTTTTGTTTTGCTTATTTTTTTGTGGCGTTTCAAATTTTGTTTGTTTATTTTTCCTTTTTATCTGCTTATTCCTTTTACTACCATCATCTGAATCGTCATTTTCCTCGATTTCTACCGTCACACAACCTGATGTTGTTAATTGTCTCACTTGGGTTTTGCTTTCATCTTCTACAACTTCGTCTTTAATTTCAGGATCAATTCCAGATTTCACCAACTCACAAATATCCAAACATAATAATCGACATCCAACATCGATTCCACAAATCATCTCCATTTCAATCTTCTCACCATTAATGACTTTCCAAAGATTTAATTCACCAGATGTTGAAGCTGTTGCAAGGAATCCGTTGACGTATTTCATTGCTTTGATTCTTGTTTCGTAGATTTCACAAATTGTTGCTTCTTCATTCTCGTCTTCCCAATTGAAGAATAAAAGTTTGCCATTTTCCATACCCACAAGAATGTCACTGTCTGATATCCAGCAAACTGATGACGGGCGTGCTTCACACTTTTTTGTAGCTATAACTTCTGCTTTTTCTGTACACCAAATCTCAACAGAATCTTTTCCTGTCAAAACGAAATAATCTCCTGAAATCGACCAAACGACAAAGTCGATTATGCTTCCAAGTGATTTATTTTTGAGACTTGTGACAAATGCTTGACGTCCATTTATAAGATTCCACGTTCTAAGTGTTAAATCACTTCCAATTGACAACGCTAACTTCCCAGATGGATGTACTGAGATGAAGTTGACTGATGATCCTTTATGAGCACGTTCAAAGACTTTATCAACTTTCCAATTATTTGTTTTTACAAAGGTCATTTTGCCGTCTGCTCCACCACTTATCAAATAACTTCCATCAGGAACAAACGTTAAAGAATTTATAGTTCCATCGTGAACATATAAATCGTCAATTGCACGACGTTTCTCCAAATCGTAAACACAAATTCTGTCATCTGCTCCACCACTTGCAACAAGCTTTCCATTTGTTGCCACAGTCCTTATAGATGATGTATGAGAATGTGTCGAGAATGTTTGAAATAAATCATATTTCCGATCGTTCTGAAAATGAGCAAATTTGTTGTTAAAAACGTGTTTAAAAATATTTTCTTGTTATATATTTACACTTCGTGATGGACGAACTCTGTATCCGAGAAGAAATTCTTCGTAAGTTCCTACAATTATTTCAAGTTCAGTTGCCATTTATTCTCATATATTTTATTAATATATAGTTTTATTCTGAAAAGCGTTTTTGTGTTTATTTACTTTCGCACTCAGAGACAAGTTTTTCGGTTAGCACACCCTTTGAAATTTAGTCCCTTCGAACTCTACGCTATCACATAAAACCGTTGATAGTCAAACAGGATTTAACAAGATTTACTCGATGATTTAAAAAAATCAAAAACAAACTTATTAAAATGCTTATTAGTGAATTAAACAACAGAGACGACGTACTGTCAGCTATAATTAAAGAATTAAATGGAGTTGGCATTAAAATACGCAATGAAAGAAAGAAAATTTCAAATGTAAAAATTCTGAAGCCGTTTTTAACAAAATTTCAAATCTTAATTTTTCTCCAACAGAATAAAAAACGAAACAGAAAAATATTCAATGTGTCACTTCATTTAATGGAACTTGATGATGGATTATTATCAAATGGATCAGTCACACAAATCCCGAAATTTGTCTTGATGGCATGCAAGAGAATCCAAGCAGAACTGGAAACTGAAGGATTGTTTCGAAAGACGGGAAGTGTGAAACAACAGAAGATTATACAAGATCATTTAGAGAAAGGAGGGATATTTGATAAAAACCATCACGTGATTGACGTTGCAAATTTACTTAAAACATTCTTCCGACAACTTCCAGAACCTTTAATTCCACCAGGACCCATTCAGGAGGCTCTCCTTCGTTGTTTATTTCATTTCAAAACTTATGAAGAAAAATGTGAAGCTTTATTAATGCTTATGCTGCTACTTCCACCAATAAGTGTTAACACTCTCGCTTACTTTCTCCAATTCTTAGAAGTTGTAGTTAAAAATTCAAAATTAAATCTCATGACTGCCGACAACTTAGTGAAAGTACTCACACCAACAATTATGCCAGTGCCATTAAACTCCCCACCGCAAAGACTGAATTCACATTTTAAAGTGATGGAACTACTTATTGAGAATGCAAATCTCCTTGGAGTTGTTCCTGATCGAATGTTAAAGAAAGAAAATTTTCCATTTACACTTCCACTAACTGAAGAACGAAAGAAGAAGAAACGACGAAGTGGCTCACTTAATCGTGTTTTTCATGGGTTCCGTAAAATTGTTGGAGCCATTGGGTCGTCTGAAAATCTTGATGTCGATTCAAATGATGATGATCCAACACTCATGACGCCAAATGTTACCAAGTCAACAAAAAAACGACGATTGGAGAAATTTGACTTAACAAGCAATAGTTCAAAGAAAAAGTAAGTTTTGAATGTTGCTTATTAGGTTTATTTAGTTTATTTCTTGATTTGTTTTTAGGAAGGACTTGATGATGACTCTCAGCGCTTTACCAGAAATTGATTCACCACCAAATGCTAAAAAGTGAGTTTTTCTTCAATTTCTTTTCGTTCAATGAATTATCATAAAATCATTTTAGTGACATTAATAAAACAAGAAAGAGTCTTGGATCGCATGATGGCAACCAACAAATCATGTCACCAAACAAAAGACGTTGGAGTATTGTTGGGAGTAAATTTTCACGAAATAACAAAAATTCAAAGCAAGCAACCGTTGAGATGACAAATAATGAAAATACTGAAGAAGTTCACACTGATGATGATTATGTGAAGATATCAAAGAGTGAATATGAAGCATTTAAAGATCGTTTGATATCAATTGAAACAAAATTAACTCATGAATTTAATGAGACGAAGTTGGACACAGTCAAAGCCGAATTTGAAGAAAATGATCAAATGAATGGACCAGAAAAGGTTCAAAACAAATATCATCAAACTTTACAGGAAATTGAAAAGTTGGAAGAGTCGGAACGCAACACAGAACATTTGGCAAGACGACTGAGTCGTGATTTGAAAATCAGACCAAATGTTGATCATGCAATTGTGCGATCACCAAGTGCTCGTAAAATTGGAAGTTTAAGACGTCGTCGTGACAGTACAACTCGCTTATTACGCAATCAGTCATGGCATTTAGGACAAACTAGTCCAAAACCAATTCTTAAGAAAAGCAGTGACGAAACGATAAGTTTAATATCATCAACGTCAAGTTTCTATCCAAAATCGAATTTAAAACGAGCAAAACCAGTTCAACGACCTTTGCCAGCACTTCCACCATCTCCTGAAAAGCAACAGGAAAAGATTATTCCAGAAAAGCCCTTAAGAAATAAAAGAAAAAGTTCAGAACAATTCTCTACACCATTAAAAATTGCGACAGTTGTCGTTAAACCAGCACCAGAAATTTGGACATCGGCAACAGATTTCTTTGATGAAAAGCAAATTAACGATGAAATGATTTTCAAAACTCCGATAAGAGTGCGAAGAATTTCAGCTGCAAAATCAACATGTAAAGATGAAGTTAAGACGCCAATGCTCCCACCTCGCACAACACCAGCAGCCAAGAAGTTCACGCCGATCAGTGCGACAACAACTCCCAAGGAATTATCAGCTTTTAATAAACATTTTGGAACTCCATTAATGTCTTCTGAAGGTCGTGAATCAATTATTGCAATTCGCAATAAAAATGCTGGAATGGTCGCACAAAAAGCTAAACTTTTCAATGGGATGTTAGACATTCAAAATTCAGCTGAAAAATCAGTGAAAATTCCTCGTGTTATTGTTAACAAAAATTTGGAAAATGTTAAAAATATGTCGTTCAATGAGAAGCGTAAAATTCCATCGAATTCAATGAAAAGTCCACGAAGAAGTCCACGATCGTCGCCAGGTGGAATTAGCAAACGTCAACAACTCAAATCCTCGCCATTATTGAAAACAATTCGTGAATGTAGTGAAAGTCAAAAAGTCAAATTATTACGACCTGAAATATTGAATGAAGTTGCTTCGCCGAAGCCTAAATCATTATCGACTACACCACGACGTAATAGTCGAACACCAAACAGTGGACGAAAGAGAAATAATCGCTTTACACCAACGAAATCACCGAGATATGTTCGAAGTATTCATTATCAAGAGACGGGTTAGATGACAACACTTTATTTGTTATAACGATGGTGGGTTAGACAGGATTTTTTTTCATTCCGCGTATTTTACTTTATAAATTCAAAAATTATTTTAAATTCCTCGAAATTAATGTCGATTTTAGTAGATTAATGATCCCAACTTAATCCCTTAAATAACAAATTTCCAATCTGTTCCCACCATCCTGACAAAGTGGACTTTCGATAAATTAATTTTCCTTTATCGAAGGTCCATTGTGACATTTGAAACATCCCATTTACTAACTTATTTTTTCTCAGGAAAATATTATAAAGTTCGTACGTTTGTAAGAAATCTCGTTTCAAAAACAAAAGCACTGTTTATGTGTTGTGGGTTTTAACACGTTTGGATGAAGAGATTTTAAGAAAAATCATAGAGGATAAGTGATAGCACATAAGAAATTGCATTTGTTACGTCGAATATGGAAGAAGCCTTAAATGAAAAAACTTATTTGATGATTTGAAATATTTTCCTCCCACTTAATTTTTTTCACTCAGATTATAACATTGAGCCATTGTTCGAAGAAAAAGATAATAAACTTTATTTTTATAAACAAAAAAGAAATTAAATTCAATCGTCTTCATCAGCAAAGAACATTTGCAGCAATTCTGGTTTGAGCAGTTGTTCACCTTCTAATCTTTGTTGATGTTTCCATCGAACTAAAGTTGGAATCACAGATAAATGACAGTCTTTATCTTTGCGGAATGGATTGTTAATATCTTTCCAAAATGTTCTGTAAATAGAAAATATTTGGTAGATTTAAATTTATTAAAGAATTTTATGTTTACCTGTCACCAACTTCAACTGTTATTAAAACAGTTCCTTCCCCATATTTGTCTAAAGCATCTTCAATGAATGGTTCAGCTTCATTGCAATCTGGACACCATGACACTCCCTGTGATCAATCATCATATGATGAAAAGAATAAACATAAATTATAGGTAATTTAGGTACTTACTTTTTCATCCTTTTTGCCGGTGAATAAAATGTTTACAACTTTCTCTTCTGCTTTAAAATCTTTAACGAATTTCATGAAATCCTCAAATCCCTCAACAAAGTGTTTATCAACCATCGTTTAAATTGTGACCAAGGAGTATTACTCAATGAAAAAGCTATTAGTAAAGATAAGATATGAAAAAGCTCCCGAATGAATGTAAGAAAAAGTGCACATCCCCATGAGTTTATTTACAAAAGTTCAAACCCCCTTGCTTTTAATACATTAAAAAACAATGGAAAACATTATTTATGGTTTAGAATATAATGCGAGATCATTAACAACGCAACAAGATGCTGAAGAAATTCGATTCTTTATCGGAACACAAATCATCAATGGCAAGAATCAAGTGCATATGGTAGAAGTTGATGAAGAAAATAATAAGTTACATGCAAAAATATTTTCACATGAATATGGCGAGATTTGGAAGCTTACAAGTTGTCCAAATGATAAACTTGTAGCGTCGGTGTAAGTAGGTTAGATTGGAAATTACCCTCGATTGCTCATAATTTTATATTTTTAGCTACACAACAAATAAAAGACCAGAAATGTTAATGCAAAGTGCAATATTTCGAATTCCTGATACTTCTGAAATGATGGATCCATCTAAAGAGTATCTTGAGTTTGCTGACGTTGAGATACTTGATACTGAAAAGTTTGGATCGGAAATTAAAACCACAGAATTTCATCCTTCAAATACGAGTCTCGCTTCAATTGTTGATGGTAAAATTTTAATATTTAACCGAACAGAATCAAAAAGTCAAGTTGTAACTGAAATTACTGGAAAGAAACTTAATGGCGGAATGTGGGCAAATGCTAATCAATTTGTAGCTCTCTTTGAAAATGGAATCAGAGCATATGATGTGCGTGATCCTAATCATATTTCATGGCAAATCGATGAAGCCCACACTCAACCTGTTCGTGACATTGACGTAAACCCCAATAAAGCATTTCACATTGCAACAGCAGGCGATGATGCGATTTTAAAAATATTTGATGTGAGAAATACAAAAGAGCCAGTGTTTCAACGACGAGATCATTTACATTGGATTTTCAGCGTAACATTCAACAAATTTCACGATCAACTGATTCTCACAAGCAGTTCAGATGGAAAAGTTCTTCTTACTTGTGCTAACTCTTGCAGTTCTGAAGCACCTTCACATCAACTTAAACAAACATTAGCAAAGGAATCGTCACCTGAAGAAGATGATGAATTTCACCCGAAGACTGACAAGACACTCAATGATGGTCTTCTTGAAACATTCGAACAACATGAAGAAAGTGTTTATTGTGTTGAATGGAGTGCAGCAGATCCTTGGCTCTTCGCTTCATTAAGTTACGATGGACGACTCATCATTTCACGCATTCCTAAAAAATATAAATATAAAATTCTTCTTTAACTTTTAACTTTTAACTCTTCCCACTTGTGTGATTCATTTTTGACAGAGCAAAAGAAGAAAATTATAAATAAAATGTATGCTTTGAAACTATAAAACCAAAATTTATTTGATATTACTCAAGCTTCGTAGATATCTCTCGAATGAGAATTATTAGGTAATTGATATTAGACTGAGAAAAAAGAAAGTTTGTAATTTAATTTGGAATTTGTACGATTTTCATCATATCGATGTTGATTTTAATGCGATTAATGAAAATGGCGACAGCTTCGTGATGTCTTTATTGGAAAAATTTAACTTCAAGAAAAGAAAATTTAACAATTTTTTAACAAATGTTTTAATGTAAACTGCAATAATTTTAATTAAAAAATGAAAATAAAATCGAAGTTATTAAAATTTTTTTTGTTGATTATTGAATGAAAATTTGAAAAAGTGACCAACTCTTATTGAAGTGAAGTCTCTCATTAAATTGTGACGATTGTATTGAAAGAATAAATAAGAAAATTGAAGTTGAGAAAGAAAATCTTTGATGAGAAAATAAAACGCTCAAAAAATATTTGAAAAGCGAATTGTAGCGAGGTGCACATGGTATCGAAGCTTCAATAATCAATTACCTACTCACTTCTGTTACTTAGATATCGTATTTAATTTTTTGTATATAAGTTACAGACAATTGTGACATCTTTGAGTTATTGAATTTTTGTTAAAGAGGAGAACTTTTGGGTTCAAAATGTATATGCAAGAAATTTATCTATCAACAAGTTGCCAAATGATTTCATTTGATCGTGAAATATTCAAATTCTGTGTTCGTGGTGATGTGAATGAAGTTGAGAAACTGTTGAAACAAAACGAGAATATTTATCAACCACATAAAGAAGTGTTTAGTATTGTTCCATTAACAGTTGCAATTGAAAGTAAAGACGAAGATCTTATCAATCTACTTCTTGATGTTTATGAACGTGATCTTGAAGCTTTGAAAGGTACAAATTTTAAGAAAGCTTTGATCGCTTTACCAGAAGACCAAAATGAAGAATTCTTGCAAACAATTGAAGACCAGCCATGTTCAGATTCCATCCCAGTTTTACTAAAGAATGACAATCAGACGATTCCCAAATGTGTTTACTTGCGTAAAAGATTGAAACACAAAGACGATTTATCATTGAAATTAGCGACAACTTTGGAAGCAAAGAATGGAACGTGTGACTTAAATTATAGCAAACTTTACAACTCATTCTGCGATTCATTTCTACAAATTGCAATTTATTATGAAATTGATGAAATAGTTGAACGTTTGGTAAATCATCCAACAGTTGACATAATGACGACGAATCTTATGACGAACCACACAACGTTGCATTACGCACTTCATGTTGGAAACATGAGAAACTTGAAACTTTTATTGTCAAAATTTAACTTTGGAAATTATTGGGAAGATCCACAAAATATTTACTATGCGATGACATCAAAGAAGGAAAGATCAATCAAATTTATAACTAACAAAATATTCGAGAGTGGAAAGACATAACAAGATTACCCTGAAAATTCTTTTCATTTCGATTATTATCATGATGAAAACGTGCCGTATGATGAGCTTAAATCAACTGAATGTTTAATTCATAACATAGCAAGAAGTCGAAATGTATTCATTTTGGACAATCCTTTGCAATTTAAGTTGAAAGATGAAGATTATCTTAAGCAAAACAGCAATGGTGATACAGTTTTGCATTTAATTTTATTAAACCAAAACTTAAAACTTCAAGCTAAGAAGAAATATTTGAGAAAATTATCAGAAGACTTCCCTGAACGTTTACTTGTTAAAAATAATTTCCAACATCTGCCTTTACATGTTGCAGCAATTACTGATACTTACGGACAACGTTTGTATCGCCATCTTCTTGATTTGACGATTGAGGCGAGTGGACATCCTGAAATTTTCTATGAAGATATGGAAGTTGCTGTGAAATGTTTAGAGATGGCAATTATGAATAATCAAGGATTGTCTGAGGAGTATTTGAGGAACTTCTTAAAGGTCGTTGAGTCACATGGCCATCGATTGCTAATCGAAATGATTAAACATAGTCAACAACTTAAAGGAATTCGATCAATTCTTTTGTTGGGGGTTTCAATAAATCCGAACCAGTTTTATGGCGGACAAAACGCATTCTTAGCAGCTGTTCGATATGACGTCTCTCATTTTTATCAATCACACAATGAAAGTTACAGCAAATTGAAATTATTATTGAACCATCATCCGATTGAAGATCCCAACGCTTGTGACGAGACTAAAACTTCTTTATTTATGTACATTGTTGGCTTCACTCGTGACAATGAACTTGTGAAGTCTTTAATTAATTTGGGAGCTGATTGTAAAGCCAGAAATTCTGAAAATCTTTCATGTCTTCACTTCGCTGCAAGAAACAAGAAAAATGAAGAAATTTTGAATATTCTTCTTCAAAATGGAGCTGATCCATCAATATTGTCTGACAAGAATGAATTAGCCATTGATTTTGCTATCAAAAATGATATTCTTCACGCTGTCAAAAGTTTGATTTCATTTGTAACAGTCGATGATTTGAAAAGAAAAAGCTTGATTCAATCTTGCACTCATTCATATTTGCCTGAAGTTTATAATTTAATTTGGAATTTGTACGATTTTCATCATATCGATGTTGATATTAATGCGATTAATGAAAATGGCGACAGCTTCGTGATGTCTTTAATGGACAAATTTAACTTCAAACAGCTTGAAACTGTTTTAAAGGAAAGATTTGATGATATCAACTTCGATTTAATTAATTCTAATGGAGAAACATTCACTCATCACTTAGTTCTTCATTCTTCTCAAATCCACGAGATTTCTCAGCTTTTTAAGGACTTTCCACTTCTAATTGATATTGTTAACAAGCAAATCAACATTGCTGACAAAGAAAATCATTTACCAATGGACAGATATTTTTTCTGTTTTCAAACTGAGTGTGTTGATGAGCTTTGTCGAAATGAATTCCTTAAATATTTAACAAAAGAAAATTTTCAACAAAACATGCACAAATTTATTGACGGCGTTCTGTCACTTCAAAACGTGATTGAATTATATCCACACATCTTTGATGAATTAAATTCTAATCAAAGTTTCGTTATTCTTGACAAATTAAGCTGCAACATTAAAGCATTTGAGATTGTAATTGAGAAGTTTTCAGATAAACTTCCCGACATTAAAGCACTTGATGGTGGAAATATTCTTCATTTCATTTGCGAGAAAAATAATTCTGAATTCATTGATTTGGTTTGTAAATCACTTTCTGAGATTTCCATAAAAAAGTTGAGTAATGAAACAAATGTGAATGGTAAGAAGCCAATTGAACTTTTAAATGAACAAAATTTAACAATTTTTTCATTAAATTTTGATTGTCGTTAAAGGCAAAAAAATGGAAAATGTCACAAGAAGAAAATCTGCAAAAAAGAGTTTATTACAATTTAATTTCTTTTTCAAAAGTTTTTATTCTATGTTTTCTCTGTTTTTGTATTCTTAAAATATTTTTTCTTTCTTTCGTACTTTCCCATCGTGTAATAAAAGATAAAACAAAAGAAAAAGAGGAAATTTCATAGGAAAGTTTGTTAATTTGATGGATAATTTTTGTTATCTTATCAATCAACTTCATTATAATCTTAAGTGCACTTTTTCTAATGTCAAAAATTATTACACTGTTCAATACGTTTATTTCGTTTTTCGTTCCTGTTTTCATCATATCTTAAACTTCATAAATTAATTCATTAATTTTCTTCTCAACTCTCATGATTGAAATCATTTTCGTTATAATTTTTGTTATTTTCTTAAATGTTTTCTTTAAGTTTTCAAAATAACTTCTCAGAATGTTAAACAGGAAATAAAATGTGTTTAGGAGAAGAAAAAGAAGAGTTTTTAATTTTTTCATCAAATAACAGCTCAAAGTAAATAATGTTGATTGCAGTATCACATTCGCATTTCTTTCAGTGGCACCAAATCATCGTCAGGCTGTTGTGGTGGCAAATAACATTTGCGAATTTGAATCGATGAAGGACGATTTTTGTTGACTTTAGAAGTAATAACGAAATCTTGAGCAGCTGAAGTTGATGGTGCTGGTGATATGAATTGAACAATTTTTTGTTCGATCTTTTCAGGTTTAAACTGTTCAACAGTCGGAAGTTTTCGTTTTATTCCACGTCTTTTAATTTGCTTTGGTTGTTGAATGTCAATTTGTGGAATATTCTGTTGATATTCAACAACAACAACGGGTGAAGCTTTGGCTGATTTTTCTTCTTTGAAGTATGATTTCAATGTTTGTTTAATAGTTACTTTCTCTCGCTTAATTTTCTCCTTTTTTGAAGCCTCTTTATTGCTGTTGACTTGTGGTTCATTCTGTTCATCTTCAACCGACATTTCACCACCAAACACAAAGAAGGAATCTTGAGATGTTGGCATTTTCGAACAATTTCGTTGCTTTCGCTTTGCGTCATTTATCGTTGTCATTGTTGTCGACGATGGCTCAACATTTGATCTAAATTTTTTTGTCTGTGACTGTTCAACTTCCGGTAACATTTTCTTCTCATTGTAGTTAATAATTTTCTTTCGTGTTCTTAAATTTCGTTTTGAGAAAAATAATTCATAGATGCCAATATCAATAATCGTCTCATCATTATCAAATCCTTTAAAGATTTCTTCAGGAACTTCATCAATGCCATTAGCTTCGTCTCCTCCTTCACTTTCTTCTTGTCTGCGTCGTTTAAGAACTTTAACCACTTTTTCCTTTTTGACATGTAAATTGATTTTCTTTTTAGGACGCCCTCGTTTTCTTGAAGCAACTTCACATTTCTCTTGTTGCACTTCAGGTATTTCAATTGCTTCAGGCTCTTTGATATCTTCAACTGAATCTTCTTCAGTTATTGGCGCTAATTCAACATGTTGATGGTCATTTTCTTCCATGTGACTGCTAAGTGATGAACCTTCATTACGATCTGACATAACAATCCCACTGCTATCATTTGATCGAACTTCATCGCGTGCTTTCTTGTCTTTTGTTGGAACATCAATTATGGAATCATTTTCAGCATCATTTAATGTACTAACCTCTGATGTCATCGTTTGATAGCCATTTCTATAAGAACTTTCATGTAAACTTATCAACCATTTGTGTTCCATAACTTCATTCAAGGTAAATCTTTCTGATTCTGATACTTTAAGCAGGCCACTAATGAGATCTTTTGCTTCATTTGATAAACTTTCCCATTGCTCGTTCTTATTGAAATTTCCACTTTTGATCTTCTCCATAAGCCGAGCACGATAATGACTTTCATCTTTTTGTTTGTTGACATTTGATGGCATAAATGGTGTATTGCCACATAACATTGTATAAAGAATGACTCCCAATGACCACATATCGTGACTTTGTTTCGTTATTCCTTTCGTCAGACTTTCAGGTGGCGCATAATCTAAAGTAAAGCACGGTGCCGTTTCTTCTGATATTTTTCGTGCGAAACCAAAATCAACAACTTTTAATTTCTCATTTTCATCGTCTTGATCATTTGTAAACATAATATTTTCAGGCTTCAAATCGCGATGAACGATTTTCTTTGAATGCATAAATAAAGTAGCTTCTAAAATTTGTTGAAAATAGTTTCGTGCTGATGATTCAGTGAAATGATTGTGATCACGTATTCGACTGAACAATTCGCCACCTTCCAGAAGCTCAAATATTATGTAACGAAACGTACTGTCTTTCATTTGATCGACAAGCTCTACGATGTTTTCATGACCTTGACATACTTCAAGTGCTTCAATTTCAGGCGATGCATCATGAAAGAGACTCATAATTTTCACAGCATAGCATTTGCCGGTTTCAATGGATGTGCAGGGCATACAAATTGAATATGTTCCGTCGCCAATCTCTTTTGCATTGTTGTCAATGCGATACATTTTGAAGAATGGCGATGATTTGTTCTGAAATTATTTTAAATATAATTAATGATTGTCAATTGAATCGAATTAGTTGATTTCTTACCTTTCTTTGAACTTCAAAAACATTCTTTCGAAGTGGCCGAATAACTGGTTCAGGTTTGTCCAAAATAACTTCCACAGGTTTGGATTTACGAAAGATTGGAGCAACGTAGGAATATCCTAAAATGAATTTCAATTATTAAAATAAACTTTTTTCATAAACAAAGAGAAATCTCACCTCGAAAGAAGTTTTTAGCATTCGGTTCAGTCAAGGGTGGTGCTTCCATTTCTTTTGGATCTTGCTTTGTAAAGTCTTCCGAGAATTGACTAACATCATCTTTACTTGAAAGTTCTGGCTTTATTGGTGCTGGATAATATAAACCCTTCTCTTCGAGCTTCTTCCAATCTAATTTTCGAAAGAAATCATGATTTTTTAAATCCATCGCATCATTTTTAGAGCCACAACGTGTATCGGGATTTTTATCAAGAAGTTTTGTTATCAAGTCTCTTGCATCTTTTCCAATCTTTAAATTAATACAAAATGATAATAAATACAAATTAATGAAATTATATTTAAAAGACTTACAGTTGCAGGGATCTTCGGTGGTTGATTTTGGATTCTTTCTGAAATAGTATTTTGACTACTGTCTTCGCCTTCTCTTGTAAATGGAGATTGTCCACTTAAAAGTTCAATCATAAGCACTCCCACACTCCACCAATCGACTCTGAGATCATGACCGATGGGACGTTGACTGACAATTTCAGGTGCCTAAGAAGGTCTCAATTAAATTTCATTCATCTAAAAAATATTTTAAAATCCTCACCATATATTCGATAGTTCCACAGAAGCTGTAAGCTCGAGCTCCGTTTAAAAGTTCTTTTGATAATCCAAAGTCTGTTATGATTATGTGACCTTTTGCATCCAAAAGAATATTCTCCAGTTTAATGTCACGATAAATTATATTACGCTGAAATTAAAATGAAGATGAAGATAAAAAAAATGTTAAGAAGTCCAAAAAGATCGTTGAAAGATCTTTAACTTACCTTATGAAGCTGTTCGAGTGCAATGATGATCTCAGCAATATAAAATAACACAACAGACTCAGTAAAATGCTCTGATTTGTACAGATGTGTGAAGAGCTCGCCACCTTGATAGAATTCCAGTACAAGATACAATTTGGTATCTGTTTGAAACGCGTAATACATTTTTGCAAGAAATGGACAATCGACGACTTTCTCAAGTACCTAAAGAAGTGAATTAAATTTTTATTGATTAATAAACGTTAAAACATCAAACTTACCTCGCGTTCTGTTCGGGTATGTTCTGTGGTCTTCTTTTTAGCAGTGACTTTAACTTTTTCAAGAACTTTCATCGCATAAAAGGCATCTTTGTCAACTCCATTTCTTTTTTTTACAAGATAAACTCTGCCATAAGCGCCAGTGCCGAGAAGTTTTAGAATTTTAAAATCGTCAGCACTGACTTTATCTTCAGGTAATAATTTAACTGCAAAATAAAAGTAATTAAAAAGTGATTAACAAGTTAAAGTTTGAACTGCATGAGAAAGAATCGATTTCTTACCATCTGAGCGTATTTTTGAAAGTTCTTCAAAGGTTGGCTCTTCATAAATCGGTTGTGTTGCACTCACAAATTCAACATCTGTGTCATTGCTTTCTCGATCATCAGAATCGTCTCTTGCAAGTTGGTGACGATCTGGTGATGAATTTTCATTGTTATTGTCATCATCGGAGTCCAAATTTATTGTTTCTATCTCATTATCCTTCATTATGTTTGAATATTCGTCGTGGAATCCACTCGAATGTTTTTTTCCTGATCGATGCATTAGAAGGATGTTTAGATGCTTCTCATAACTCAACAAATCTACAGATTCTAAGAGAAAAGTAATTTATTTTATAATTTTCCAATGATTCATGCATGTAATGGAGAAGAAAATTGATTTGAATTAAAAAAAATTTGTAAAGTTTACTCTATTGGGTCATTAGTGTAGATACAGTTAGATATTGCAATAAATCTGGAAATACTATTCAAGTTTATTTCTTGTCTTTCTTCTTCTAATAATATTTGCTGGTTCCCTCAATGAAACCTTGAATCGGTAATCACTCAAAACTTTTATCTCCTTTTTTTCTTCTCTCATCTAAATCAACATTTTTTAAATATTTTAGCTCATTGTTGAAAAAAAAAGCTTAATAAGTAACATCTTATGGAGAAATTAGACTACTTTCACTTTTAATAAATGTGAGTTGGTATTTTTTGTTTGAATAAAGATCCAGAAATTAAAATGTTTTTGGGGGAATTCCGGCACACTAGACACTAATATTCATTTAAATTTTTATGAAATCAGTTAAAAACCTGATTACGCAGCATTATTGTTGTAATTGCCACAATAATATGAAGAAACAATCGAAGTACTCACAGAAATTGTGCTGGAAATCTTCTTTTTCTTTTTTTTTCCTCTGATATTTGAAAGAAGTTTAGTTTTTTTTATTTTATAATGTTTATATCAAGAAACACTTCAATTTGTGTTTCAGTAAAGTTAAATTATAAGCATTGACCACATTTCTTTTTCAAATTTCCTGAGATTATAAATTTTTTTAATCTTCTTTTCCTCAATGGCTTTTATAAGATATTTTTTATCAGAATGTTCACTATTTTATGTTCAGTCTTCTATTTTTTCTTCTTTGATAACACTTCACTCATGCATTAAGTTTTTAATTCTGTTTTTCTTAATCCTTTCAATGGCGAAAACAGTTAAAAATTTAGAATATAATAAATATCTCAGTGATATTCAGAACAGAATTTCTTTAACTTGTTAAATAGTAAGCGTAGCTTGACCCCTTGATAGAGTACGTTCAGATAAAGTAATATTAGCTATGTAGTATGTTTGGAGACTTAAACAAATTATTTTCAAAATGAAAATATTTGTTAATCTAGTTTTCATACGAAAGTAATGAATTTTATATATTCTTTATTGCTGCAAAATAATTTCTATTATTTTGAAATAATCCTGTTTCAGTTCACTCTAATTTTAAAAAATGTTTACATGTTTTTTAAAAGTTAAAAATGCATTAATTTTTCACGCTAAATGATGTTGAAAATTGGCTTTGATAAGAATCCATTGCTGCTTGAGTTGATTCTTTCAAAGCCAAAATATCTTTCGAAATGTCTTTATAAATTAATAAAGATAAAGCATCAATTGTCTTTGGGAATGGAGATGTCGGTTTCGGAAACGAATCACCTCGCTCTCTTCAACAATCATAATCCCCATGACCAACAATTGACTTTGAAACTGCAAAACATTACAAGCAGATTCCTTGAGATACTCTGCTTTTATCCTGATGCCTGGTAATTGTCCGTGATATTGAATTATGTCACGTTCTGGAAGAATCAAACGACATGACAAACCTAGCTCGGCAATTTGGTATTTTGCTGCATATCTCAATTTTATGTTGTTCAGCTTGCGAATGGGTCTTTTGTATGTTTTTCGTTTTCTAGAAACATTTTAAAGCCGAGTTCGTCTTGAAGTGATCTTATTCCATCATTTTTAACTGTTGAATGAACTGTTTATGAGAATTTTAAGTTAAAATTTTTAAGCTATACCGTCATTTTACCTCTATTACACTCTCTACCTAAAACTCGGCTCTCCAAAGTTAGTTTCAGGTGGAGAGTGTACAATTTTCTCACCCGGACGAATTTAAAAATTCGATGTTGGCTCTTGCAGAGTGTTTAAGAACGATTCGGTGTTGCTGAGTTGCTTCTGAATGTGACGATCATTTTGTGCTTTAATTTCTGATTGCATTTTGATCTTTTCAATAGCACGACTTAAATACTTTTTCAACTCAATGATCTTTGATTGATATTTTGTGCACATTTGGCATGACGATGGTTCGGATGGATTTGAAAGTTCATCAAGTGAATCTGCTGCTTCGTTCATCAACATCAAACGACGATCATCAGAAATTTTAATTGTTCGACGTTTCTGCTGTTCTTTGACATTTTCTTTATTGGCAACTTCTTCTGCTTTCTTCTCTTCAACGTGAATTTTAATCTCATTACGAAGTGATTCCATTTCCATTTGCACAGCAGCAAGTTGAGCTTCTCCATTGACGATCTCTTCCTTTAAACGTTTCTCGACCTGTTTATGTTCATCTCTTGTTATCCAATTGAAAAGCAAATCATTTTCAATGATGTCGATTTTTTCCTGAAGCTGTGAAATTAATTTTTCACCTTTTTCTAGTTGAATTTCCAAATCAGTTCGCTTGCCAGTTTAATTGTCAAATTACTTTCCAATTCATCGCGTTCGTCAACTAAATCGTCGATAATATCTTTTGCTTCATTCATTTGTGTCGTTAACAATTCGTTTTCAGTTTCAACTTTCTTCAACTCATTTCTTATATCTTCAATTAGTTGATTTCGTCCTGAATTTAACCTTTTGTATTGAACTTTTCTCTTTGACTTGTTCCTGCAAAATGGCATTGTGATGATTGAGTTTATCAATTTCACTTCTTGCTGTCAACAAATATCTTCTTTAATTTTTCCCATTTCAACTTCCATCGTTTCAATTTGTTCATTCTTGGCATCATGAAATGATTTATTATGTCCGCAAAGTTCTCGAATACTTCNTTTCTGATGATGATGATGACAAACCTAGCTCGGCAATTTGGTATTTTGCTGCATATCTCAATTTTATGTTGTTCAGCTTGCGAATGGGTCTTTTGTATGTTTTTCGTTTTCTAGAAACATTTTAAAGCCGAGTTCGTCTTGAAGTGATCTTATTCCATCATTTTTAACTGTTGAATGAACTGTTTATGAGAATTTTAAGTTAAAATTTTTAAGCTATACCGTCATTTTACCTCTATTACACTCTCTACCTAAAACTCGGCTCTCCAAAGTTAGTTTCAGGTGGAGAGTGTACAATTTTCTCACCCGGACGAATTTGGGAGATTTTGTATGGGAGGTCAAATCCACGCAAATAAACCCCACCCAAAGATTCTTTTTTGTACCAGATTCTATTATGTATGTATAATGAACTGAACGAACTCACAAACGGTTGGAATTTAAACTTCTTATAATTTCGTACGTGAGAAAGTAAAATAATAAAAACTTTATATTTATAATAATTTATACATTCAAAATGACTGATGTGTGTGACAATGTCAGCCTCAAAGACAGTGTGCCTATAGATGATTCAATAATTTTTAAGAATATCGAACAATTCACAACAAAAAATGATTCAGCTGTGAGTGAAAATGGATTTAGTGAAGTAAATTAACTCTAGTAATTAACACAATACTCTTCCAGATAGTGGCAACGTCATCACAAATCAATCCACCAAGCATTTTAGACTTTTGCATTGTCAAACCAATTTCAAAAGGAGGTAAAATACAAATTATGAAATTATCCTTAGGTAGGAAGGCGGGAAATTTCAATTAAAATAATTTCTTTGTTTACAGCATTCGGAAAAGTGTTTCTCGGTTACAAAACTACGAAACCAAGTCAATTATATGCAATTAAGGTAACATAAAATCTTCTTTAATTGAGCAATGATCGCGTCAAGGTGAGAGTTAATTTTTTACAACTTCCAGGTCATGAAAAAGTCTGAAATGATCAACAAGAATTTAGTGTCGCAAGTCATAACCGAGCGTAATGCTCTCGCTTTATCGCAATCACCTTTTTGTGTCACACTCTTCTATTCATTGCAAAGCACATCTTCAATCTATCTTGTCATGGAATATATGATTGGTGGAGACTTAAAGTCGTTATTAGCCATGTACGGGTTTTTTGACGAGAACACATCGAGATTTTATTGCGCTGAGATATTACTAGCACTTCAATATTTACACCAACATGGAATTGTTCACAGAGATATTAAACCGTAAGAATATTCTTGTGAGCCTTGTTAATATTTAATTATAATAAAATAATTTGTTCACAGTGACAATATGCTCGTTTCATCGACTGGTCATGTGAAATTAACTGACTTTGGATTGAGCAAAATTGATTTGAGTCGTGACTTAGAGATGTCAGACTTGATAAATGGCTCTCCTAGTCTCAATGCACGAACACCAGGGCAAATATTATCGTTAACATCTCATCTTTCTTTCGGATCGAATGACAAGAAAATAGCTGAAGTAATTGAAAGGGAAATTGATGCATCAAAACTTGAAAGCACACATTTGAATGATAGTAAAATGTCTGGTGTGTCGCCTTTCTTCTCAGCTGAAGACATCAATTTATCAACCACAAGTCGACTTTCAAGAATTATTGAATCGTCATCAGGTTCAAGTTATGAGACAGCAAAAACTTCACCATCAAGTTCAGATAACTTTACATCGTCGTCAAATGAAATTCGTTTACAAATGGATTCGGACAGTGATAAAGAAAATGGATTAAAGAATCAAAGCTTCTCTATGATCCCGATTAAACGTGTTGCTTTTCGATTTCATGAAGATTCCGGCATTTCAAGTAAGAAAGATGACACTTCAGGAAACACAAACAACGATTACTCGTCAGGACATTACAATCATTCCAATTCAACAGCGTCTGACTTTTCCAGAAGCAATTGCAGTGATAAAAGTAAACACGAGTTGCATTCACCAATTCGTCCTTTCAGTCGTGCATTTAAAAGACCAGATCATCAACGTGAACTTTCAATTCCACGAAAACGAACTTTAACGCATCGAGCTGATTTCTCGATTGATGGTGGCAGTGAGTCTGGCCAACACACTGGTTTGACACAAGAAATTGAAATATGCATGGACATCAGCAACAGCGCATCAAAGAGACACAAATCTAAAGATACTTCACCAATATCGAAAGTGAAATCATCGCCTGATGGTGAGATCAGTGTAAGTGCCATAAATCCAAATGTGATTGTTTCAACGCCAGTTTCAACGCAAAAGATTACAAGAGGAAAGAACAAAAAGAAGAACATGCTGCGATTTGCTGTTCCACATTGTTCTCTTGATCGTCTACCGAAACAAGTGCAATATGTCGAGCATGATGATCCAGCAATGTCGCCGATTCAAAGAGGAAAGAATGTCAATGAAGTTACACCGAAAATGGTCAAAACGCCTTTTCGTACACCAAAATCTGTTCGCCGTGGTATTATGGAATCACATGAAAGAATTCTTGGAACTCCAGATTATCTCGCACCAGAACTTTTATTGTTGTACGTTATCTTTCATCTTTTCATTTAATTACTTTTTAATTACTTCAATTTTTTTTTTCAGACAAGGACATGGAAAAGAAGTCGACTGGTGGGCACTTGGCGTTTGTCTTTATGAATTTATGACTGGAATTCCTCCATTCAACGATGAAACACCGCAAAAGGTCTTTGAGAATATTTTAAGTCGAAGTAAGTTTTGGTTTTTATTTTAAGTTAAAAGAATTCAAAATTTTATTTGATATATTTTGAAACAGACATTGAATGGCCGATTGGTGATGAAGCACTTTCTGATGAAGCAATGGAAGCTGTTGAAGCGATGTTAACAATGTCACCAACTGCTCGTCCTTCTGCTGATGAATGTAAATTGATGAAATTCTTCAATTCAATCAACTTCGACGACATACAAAACACTGAACCTCCTTTCGTGCCAAATCCTGATGATCCTTTAGATACAGGATATTTCAATGCTAGAAATGAGATGCAACATTTAAAGTTGTCAAATTTTGAAATGAGTTAAATACAGTAAATGTGAAGATTGAAACACGTGACATTTAAATTGGAATGAAAAGTAAATTAATTCGACAATTAAAAGCAGGATTAAACTTTGTTTCATGTCACTTTTTGATAGTCTCAATATTTATGCAACTTCAATTCACTTCAACATTAAAAGCATTTCATATATTGTTTAATATTTTATAGATAAAAAAGCTTACTTAGTCACAATGTTGAAAACAAAAGACTTGATGATATTGGAAAATGTTTTTGAATAAATATCTATGATAGAAAATGAAAATTTTATTGCCATTAAATAAGAAATCATTTTTATAATAAATAAAAATTTTAAATTGAATTAAAAATTGTAATGACTGCGAGATTTGATTATAAAATTTTTCAATCTTTCTTTCTCGCATGTTTTTCTTCATTTATGCCTTCAATCTGCAAGTTCTATTTTGAATTTATAAATCGAATCCAATTCGAAATCATCACTTCTACGAGTCTACAATATTTCCAAATTGAATTTTCTTCAATCTATCATCAGATAGGTATCTAAGGAAAAAATAATCAATAAATCTAACAGTCTTTATTCTTGGTATTCTTGAGAATCGGAAGAGAATCTATAGAAAAAAATCCTTTTAAATATGTTAATGAAATCTGAAGTAGATAGTTTACGCAAGAAGATTTGAAAACAAGAGATAATTAATATTTTCAATGTCATCCTCAAGGTAGATATCTGCTAAAGTTGCAATGATCCAACATTGCTGCGCGAAGTTTCAAGCTGCTAGTAAGGAAAAAAATTATATACTAGCTAATGATATCAAATCAAAAATGGATCAAAACCACCAAAAAATGACAGCAGAAGAAGCACTTCAATTAATTATTGACGCAAATTTAACTGTCAATCAATATTTGAAGATTTGTGCAAAGATTAAACTGTGTTGTGGACTGATACTTCCTTCATATGCTGATGTTTCAAAAGAGAAGAAGAAGTGTCACCCAGAAGGCATTCTGGTAATAATGACTTTATGTTAATAATAGTATCATCAACAATAAAAAGAATAATTATTTTCAGGTGACTTCTCAGAAAGCTGAAGTTCCTGTCAACGAACTTGTGAAACATACAGCACGTCGCATCGTATCTAATATTGAAACTGACATATCAAAACATCTTGTCAACAATAACCTCTCAACACTAGATTTAGTTGCGACTTGGAAATGGGGTTTTGATGGAAGTTCCGGACACTCACAATATAATCAGGATATGAGTGATGACGTTTTTGATTCCAATTTGATTGCAGTAACAATGACACCATTACAACTTAAGACGGGCGATAATGTCTTTTGGAGAAATGACATTCAATCTTCGATTCGATATTGTCGACCTATATCACTACAGTTTGCTAAGGAACAGAAGGATTTGAATATTGAAATCAAAAATGATATCACCAAACAAATGGAGATGACAGAACCTTTGACTGTTGTTTTGTCTGATGGAAATGCAATTTCAATTTCAATGCATTGTTAGAACATACCTATATTATCTCAGTAATGCTATTATTGATTTCAGTTTTCTCTTTAATCAAAACAATCTTTTGATCGTTTTCCTTATTAGAGAAAACTAAATTATATTCATTCGTTAAAAAGAACTCAAAGAAAAAAGTAATATATTAATAAAAGATAAACATATTACAACAGGCCCACGCCGATCCGGATCGGCGATCCAATTTTGAAATTTTGGATCGCTTAACTGGATCGGCGATCCAAAAAATTCTTGGATCGCCCAACTCTGAGTGCCTTGCGTCTATACTTATTTTATTAGTTACTTTTTCAAATGTTAAGTCTCCATCCTTCGCATTGTGAAATGATGAGATACTTTCACAACATAAACTATCAATTTCAGATTTCATTATAATATAAGAAGAAATTTAATGCAGATTTTGCTTCCGATTCTCAAGAATACCAAGCAAAAAGAAAGCTAAAAATAATTATATATCTCCTTACCCATGGGAGCCACCATGTTTTCTGTAAATCTCCTTCAAACTCCTTCAATAAGAATCTTTAAAAACTTCATCAGCTATTAAATAATTTGAAGTAAAATCAGCAACAAAGTAAACTTTGAATACGAATCGTTTTTCATTTTCTGTTTTAGCAAGAAGGTAATCACTGACAATAAGAAATCCATTTCGATCTGTAAAAAGTTTGATTATTTTATTACAAATAATTTATTTTAAAGACTTTTAATCTTCATTTGTTTAAGTAAGACCTAACCTAATTTTAAAAATGAACTAACACATGTGTTGATGAATTATTGGCATCAAATGAAGATAGAACTTGTTATATACCTACCTAGGTATACCTAGTTCAGTTTCGAAATGAATTCATTCAATTACTATTTTCGTTAGTATTTTAAGAACTAGAGGGAAAAGTGAAGTGAAGAAGAAAAGGGAACAATATCAAATCAAGATGGATAACACGTCCATTTTAAATAATTTTTCTTTCTTCAATTCTTTTTTTCACAATAGCATGAGATAAAAAAAAGGTCTGACTATAAAAGTTACCAATCTTTTCCATATTTTTTTTAATTTTTAAGAAAAGCCATCCAAAAAAACCTTAAAATAATATTTTTTTCCTTACCTATTGTCAAGCATTTTGATTGCTCTACATGTTTAAAGAGATGTTAACTCTGTTAAGGTTAAATCAAAACTGAAAACTTTCTCTTATCAGGGATAATTTCACAATGATGTAACTTGTCGATTTCTTGTCGAAAATTCCTGAAACCAAATTCAAAAGTCTACAATATTCTTTTAGGAATTTTTAACTTCAAATCCTTGAAGACTTTTATTGAAAATAATTAATAATTTAAGATATAACAGATTGATGATTTTATTAAGTACATAAATATTGATATGAGATTTAATTGAGACTTCCTTTAATTCAAATTTCGATGGGCTGAAAAATTGTTTTACATGAATGTTTGTTTACATTAATTTTTCTCAAGAAAATGCAATAATTTTATGTTTATGTATGTAAATATATACTAGCTAGATAATAGAAATAAGTTTTATTATACGCTCTGACATCAGTTGAACTATCATTTGTGGTCATCTAATGACAAATCAACACTTCTAACATTTTTATATTTGTGTTTTGCTGCCCTAAGGGAAATTTCCTAATCACAACAATAATTAATTTGCTGATCTTAGATTATAGTTTAAGTTTTATATTGAATGAAAGTTAAAAATGTACAAGTTTTCATGTTTATTTTTTTCCACTACACCTAATTGAAATTGTATTAAAATTTCATGTGAATTGTATGATAAAATGCCTTTCTGTGTGAAAAAGCTTTTCTTTATTCCGTTTTTGGTGCATTAAGGTTTAAGAAGGCAATAATTTTCTTTTGAGGCATTTCGCGTGTTCATGGTTGTGCAATTTAAGATTTTGTTTAAAAACAGAAAGAATCATAACTAACATCAAACAACGAGTTTTACTGTGAATATCATTGTAGATTACTTTTCGTGAAAGGGGAAAATGATTGACCACGAGACTGGTGTAGAGACGAAATAAAAGAAACAGAAACAGCAACGAAACGTGACGCGATAAAGAAAATTCTTAAAGTAATATTTAGCATGAGAGTGAAGAAAAAAATATTGCGATTTCATGGCGAATGGAAAATTGATTTTCGCCTTAAACTTCTTAGCACTTTCTTGCTTCTTCGTCTTGTTTGGTTTCACGACTGGTCAACTTTAATAAGTCAAGAATTTTTGTGTGACGAAAAAGTAGAAAATTATTGCCACCATGTAACCGAATATACTGGCAATGAAATTTTTAACTGCAGCTGTTGATGAAAGAAAGAAGTTGGAAGTTTGTTTGTTAAGATTTGAGATTTTAATGATCTTACCATTGCAATGATTCTCAATGATATTCTCCATATATCCATTATCTTCGTCACATAAGCACAGCTTTTCTCTAATTCCACTATCTTTCGAAAGAGATCCTAGAGTTGTTTTTGTGCTATTGTTTTCACGACAAACCATGTAATCTTCACAATCTTCCGTACGACGACATTGATGACGTAATCCTTTCATTCTTGCTGAACAGATGCCGTTGTTTGGTGCTCTGAAGTCACCACAAAGACAGCGTGATTTGTAGTCGACATCCTTAACACAAGAAGTATCCACAATTCCTACACAATCCATGTTAGTGTTGCAGTCTTTACCCTTCGCTGAAAGAAAAGCAAAAACTTTGGTGATTTCTTCGATTTCGTGAAAGGAAAGCTCACACAATAATAAATATGTTAGAAAGGAAAAGTTTCCAACGAGCTTTAATTTATGTAAATGTTAATTTCATGTTCGAAAAACATTCTTTATGGCTGTGGCCTGAGCATAACAGAAATGTTAGAGAAATGCAAATCTCGAATTGTTTCTCCGTTTCTTGTTTATTTCCACCCATAATTTGACGATGAATTTTCATTGGTGAATTTGTTGAATATTTGCAATGAAGGAATGTTTTTTCGTTGATTTTCCAGTGTCGAAAGGCAGATTACTTAATTATTTATGCATTCACATAATGAATTAATGTGCAGATTTGGTTTCGCAGTGGTTGTTAAATGTCTTCGTAAAATATTCTCAATAAGAATCAGGTCAACGATACGCGTTTACTGATAAGCTTAACTTCAGGAAAATCCTAAATTATAAAAGTCGAAGCGCGACACTCGAAGCCATTAAACACGAAAAGTATATTAAAGTTTTCAACATAAAGAAAATGATTACGTTGTAAAGTCTTTTTCGACTAATTTTGATTGATGGCATGGTTAATGATAGTACAATTTTTATAAAAATTTTCCATACTTTTACGACGTATTGGATTGCGTTTTTTGTAAGGAGAAACATAACTAAGCTATTACGTTATGAACGACGCACGAATAAAACAAAAGGATCACCAAATAACAACATACATACAAGTTAGATTCATTACGTCACAGGAAGTCAAACAGCGCAAGATACTATTAGCTGTTGCCTTGAATCAAAGCGTTAAATTAGTGACCGACTGCTGGAAAATGTTATTTTCAGTCACAGGGGAAAATGTAATAAAAATAAATGCGAAACCATTATGACTCTTACATATATTAGTTAAAGTTGAAAGTTTAACGAACGGAAATTTAAAAATATTTTAGAATCGTTAGTTTCTGTTTATCAGAGTTAAATAGTTTCCGTTCTAGTTTTAATGAATGAGTCTAACATATATGAACATGTATTAACAAAAAGAAAACTATGTAATCCTTCATAAATAATAATAATAATAATATAAATAACTTATCAGACATCAAAACAGCTGCTGCTAAGTATCAAGACACGACGTCATGCTAAGACAAACCAAAACGACCACCCGTATGAGCTTGAGGTTCATAAAAAAAAAGAAAATTTATGCAAATGAAGAAAGTCATATGTACGAAGAAAATTTTCCACTTTAGAAAATGAAATAATTATAATCAACACGAGAGAAGTCGTAAATAACACTATTAAGGTGACATTAAATTACTTTTGATAAAGTTTGCAACGATATGTTGACATAGAACGAAAATATATTTTAAAATATTCATTCAGAATTTTGTCTCTTGCGTCATCAATAATTAAACTTCATCAGGAAATTTCTAAAGTTTTTATCACACAAACTTAACAACGATGTTTCATTTCATCCTTCCCTGGCAACAATGAACAGATTTATTATTTCAGACATGAATAATTCTCGAAAAATAAATTTCTTTAGCGTTTAAACTACAAAACAAACAATCAAACTTATCGTTTTAACAACGAATTTGTTAGTTTTCCTTTTCGGTACCAAAAAAAATTCTAAATTCGATTATTGATAAAACTTTCGTTTATTCTTCTTTCATACTCTAAATGGAGAAATGGAAATTTTTCACTATTCAAATATCGTAAACATAATTCATTCACCTAACATAAACGACTTCGATTCTTGAATGTTTCAAAGCACGTATGGAAAATGAATCATTGATCATTGAATAACTCGCAAGAAGAACAATTTTACAGACATTTGAACTTGAAAATGGAATTCAATTAACTATCAGTTTGAAGTGGATTTATTTGTGAATGTTTTGCGAATATCTTTGACATGTTTATAGAACAAAAACACATTTTATAGAAATCGAAAATACATTTTCGTGATAAAAAATTATTAATAAACAGTGAGATATCTAGAACAATTAAAACAATATAATGAGCCTAAATATTTATTTACGTGTTTGAGTTGGTGCGGCAGGTTGATTTTGCGGCTTATAGATTCCAAAAGTTGTTAAAGCTGTTGAACTTAATGAAAACATCACTACAAACACTGTAAAAAGCATAGTTAAACTCCCACATTGGGTAAATCTCTTCAAAGGCTTATGCATTTTAATTTAGTTTTTCCTTTTTTCTTTTCAAAACTTTTTTTAAATATTTTTTTTCCTCTATCCTTAAATCTTTGTTTAAGATATTTTGTCTCCAAAGAACATTTGAAATAAAACTTCTCAAAGAAAAATTACGCGTCTGATTTGGGTGACCTTTCACAACGTTGTGCGAAAAAAAAGAATTCTTTACAAAAAGCTTATTGGATTGAGTGGAAAGCTTTTAGTGACATGCGCATTTGAAAGCTCTGCGGAAGTTGCTTTGTTAAGAATATAAAAGTATCTCGTCTATTCTATCAATGCACTTCTTTGTCAACATTTTTATATTATTTTAATTTGTTTGAAGATTTTTATTACCATTCAATTGAATTTGATTTCATTAACGTGACTTCGAAATTGAAATGGAAATTCCAAGGAAACTTACAAGTTTCTTTGTTCTCAACACTTTAAGTTCATTATTCAAGTGATTTACGATAAAAAGTATCGCGATTCATAGTCATTCATCACTGTCAATAAGTAAACTTTCGTTATCATCACAAAGCAATATTCAAATGAAATTTACTTCAATGAAAATTGTCTGATTGACTATGATTCGCAACTGATTGTATGTGTCGAAGATTTATGGGTTGCAACAAATTTTCCTTGACCTTTGAATGAACACAAAAGTTTTATTGAAGGGATTGTAGAACGAACGATTAATTACCCTTCTCGTTTTCTTTCCTTCTTTCTTACACAAATGAAGAAGAAAGGCAAAAAACTTGAAATCGACTTAAAAACGGCGAGTTCATACATCAAGCCATAGAATTATCTTTCTTCCTTCATCGTTCTTTGAGTTTATTACTTCAACTCACGCAACGATAGCAAGGAAAATCTATAAAATATTTTTTAAATGCGACTTGCAAATCAGAACAGGAAAAGACAAGGATCATCTGTGAATGTTAAAACGATTTTCATTGTATGTCACTTCATAGGCATTTACAATGTTACGCCCGTGACTTTTGACTTTTCTTCAATTACTCTTGGTTCATTTTTTTACATTCGGTTTAAAATAGATTTTTTAATATCCTCTAGTTTAAAAATAAAAAGTTTTATTGAATAAAGGAGAGATCTTGAATGTTAAGGATATAAAGCTAAAGGTAATCATTATGGTTGTCTTTTCTCTATCATGATGAGCTCTGTCATGCCACGAATAGTAAAAACAAAAATTAATTGAAATTCCAGCTGTTTCAACCTTTTACATTTATTATTCAAGGCTATCAGAACCATCCTTTCGAAAGAAACTCCTTAAACTTTAATTCCTGCACATGCAATATTGTTGATGATGCGTGCAAACATGTAAAGAAAATGGTCAGTCATGTGAACTAATAACTCCTAATAATAACATCGAAAGTCATTAAAACTTTGAGGTAGAATTTCACTTCAACAACATCAAATCTGACCAACATTGAAATAATGCTGATAAAGATCTCGCTTAACTAAAGTTTCCTATTTCTTTCTAAGTTTTATTTATGTGAAGAAACATTTCCAGTTTTGTGTTTTCTTTCTTTATGAAATTTTCATTGTTATTTTATGTTCTCTTGTTTCTTGATTGACACTTCAATCTAATGAAACTTGATTGCTTTTTTGTGGATAAAAGATATCAAGAATATGCATAAACATGAATATGAAAGACAGCAACATAGTCTTTGCTTGCTTTTCAATATCTGATTGTAATCATGCTTTTAAATAAAGAAAGAAAAAATTTCAAAATCATTTTAGATATGTAAATGTGATTTTAACTTTGAATTTGACATGAAAAATTGCTGAGCATGCTGCTTCTGCTTATACTTTTTTAATTTATTAATGACTGCAGTCAGAATTGAAATCAGAATAGTGTTGTGAAAATTTCCTGAAATTATATTTTAATTTCTTCTTTTTATGGTAACACATCATATAATTTTTAAATTGCTTATAAAATCGAATTATAATTCGATGTGTAGTTGTAGATTTCTTGTTGTTTGTAAATTTGTTGAACATGTTCATGGGAACATTAACAAGATTTGATTGGATAAAAAAATTATTTAATATTGCAATCTTATAATGAATTACTGTGCATGTATTTAATTTGCTTCACTATACAAAGCAATTTAACGCCGTAAATTTTAACTAAATAATTCAACGATTTCGAGTAAAAAATTAGTCAACGATGGTCAAACTTGATAAGCATCACGAAAACTTATTTTAAACTGAGCTAGCACCTTCTTAAAGAAACATAGCAAAAAATTAAACATTAACATAAAAATGGCTTGTTGATTGATGCCATGCATAATTTTTAAAGTCGTAAGATTTTCTAAACAAAAATATTTTGATTGATTACATTTACTGATAGAAATAATTGAGACAAAAAAATTCATTAATTTTTGTCTGGCATTGAGAATGATTGCCCAAAATACTTTTCAATTTGTGTCATTCTCTGTTATGAGTTCATAGATTGAAACTTAAGTCAACATTTGATTATTTAAGTAACTTATTTCAGAAAACAGAACGTCGTTCATGCTATTATAAGATCCAGCATTGTTAAGTGCTTTGTATGTTCTTTTAATCCAAATGCTGCCAACAAAAGTCTTTAAAAAATTAATTTTCATCATTCTTTGATTTGTCTAACATACATCTGAGTAAATTTTTTCTCTTATCAGGAACTCGAGAGTAAGTTCATGAAAGTATCAGTTAGTTACAATTTAGGAGTGATTATTAATCTAGAAGATTTATGAGTTGCAACAAATTTTCCTTGACCTTTGAATAAGCACAAAAGTTAGGTATATTGAAGGGATTGTAGAACGAACGATCGTTTTCTTTCCTTCTTTCTTACTTACACAAATGAAGAAGAAAGGTAAAAACTTGAAATCGACTTAAAAACGGCGAGTTCATACATCAAGCCATAGAATTATCTTTCTTCCTTCATCGTTCTTTGAGTTTATTACTTCAACTCACGCAACGATAGCAAGGAAAATCTATAAAATATTTTTTAAATGCGACTTGCAAATCAGAACAGGAAAAGACAAGGATCATCTGTGAATGTTAAAACGATTTTCATTGTATGTCATTTCATAGGCATTTTCAATGTTACGCCCGTGACTTTTGACTTTTCTTCAATTACTCTTGGTTCATTTTTTTACATTCGGTTTAAAAATAAAAAGTTTTATTGAATAAAGGAGAGATCTTGAATGTTAAGGATATAAAGCTAAAGGTAATCATTATGGTTGTCTTTTCTCTATCATGATGAGCNTTTTAAATGCGACTTGCAAATCAGAACAGGAAAAGACAAGGATCATCTGTGAATGTTAAAACGATTTTCATTGTATGTCACTTCATAGGCATTTACAATGTTACTTCCGTGACTTGTGTTCAATTACTCGTAGTTTCCTTATTTATATTCTTGTTGAAAAATTATGGATTTTAAAACACAATAATCAGTATCTGTTCTAGAAACCTAAGGGTTTTCCTTCCTTTAAAACTCTTCCACATTTTATTACATTCGTTCTTAGGAACGAAAACATTATGCGAGAGTATAATAAAATTTTTACAAGCAGTTAAAATTTTTTTCTGTAAAAAATTCTAATATTTTTCTAAACACATAAAAATGTTTCGAACGAAAAAAAATCTAGAAAAGATCGTATTCTCTGCTCCAACATTCCTGAGATTTTTATGTAAGTATCAGATATTTTGTTTACAAAGATATTCTTTTCATGTTGTCATAGAATTGACTCAGGTGTGGTTACAAAAATCTAAACAATCAATTCAGAAATAGTTTGAAAAAATCGTGATACTTCGAAGTACCTTTGTGCTAGCTTTTTAATGACTCTTCATCAAATTTTTCCTTGCAGTCATGCAATTTATCGTAAATATCATGAACAAGTGCAATGATATTTCCACTTCAATTGTGTCACACTCGCTACGTTATTTTTTGTGACTTTAATGTTTTATTCAAGCACATGGAGTTATTAAAAACATTACTCAGAAAACATTACAAAACATCACACATGATTGTTTTCAATGTTTTGAAAAAAAGAGAGAAAACATTGTTTGCGGCAATTTTTTCATTTTTTTCAAACTCAAAGAAAAGTCGAAAGCGTCATTCAGAAGTGCTCTTAAATATAAATATAGTTAATGCAAGATTAAGTCTGAAAATTTCAATACTCTATCAAAATACTGAAAGAAAGCTGTGAAAAACTCTTGTAAACAAAAATATTGTTTGAAAAATGAAAAATCAGTGAATTAAAGAAAGATTGCGTGGAAAAATTATTGTTTAAAGCAAATATCAGAAAAGTCTGATTGATTTACACCACAAATATTTATAATTCTTGCCTTTGCAAGTTGTGTAAGTACGTAGTGACTTTGAATATGATTAAGTAACCACAGTTTAATAAATATTCTTAAGAATGATCTCATCGAGTGTCAAAATTTCATGGGATAAGGCCAATGACCTTGAAAGTTATAACATCCACAAACAGTGAAACAAAAAAACATTCAATTTTATTATTATTAACAATGTGTTAACAAAAGCGTGAAAAAAAGGCACTTGATGCATTTCTAAAACACTTTGTCAGTTTTCATGATATTTTTAACAAACATAAGGCAATAAACAACAACATGATCCATTACAAGTGGCTATTAAATCCCGGAACATGTTTCTTCTTATTCCATGAATCATTTCACAATGAGTTTCTTGTTTTATTTAAGAAATTTATAATATTTGTCGTCTTATCTTATCGCGATAGAGTTTTTATTACAAGTCTTGTCTGGTTTATTAAGTTTATAATGAAAATGTGTTCAGCTTTGTATTGTTTTATCGATTGACAACTTTCGACCGGCTGGAAGCCTTCAACAACGGTTCATTGCGTTTCATCTCCCCTCAAAACTTAAAAAAAATTCTCTCACACGGAAAATTTTGTTTAAATGGATTTAAATATAAAATTTTTTGTGTGTTTACATTGTGAGCTCGCTTCATTTCCCCCATTAAATTTATAGTATGTAACACTTCTCATTGGGACCTCGTTTCACAATTTATATCAATCTGTTCACAAACATATAACAAGTTGTTCCCCTAAATTCTTCACAATGTGAATCCAAGAGAACAATGTTTGATAACAATTCGTTGTTTATTCAAAACTGTCGCTCAAATGTGTAAAAATATGTTCATGTTTGAATCTTATTTCCAGATGCCCCATCGCAATTCTCAGTCAACATCCGTTGAATCTCCTACCACATCAACTAACATAGAACCTTGTGAAACGACTCCGTTGAACAAGAATAACTCAAGTGGCAATATGGAAAATCCATCACAAAGTCAAGAGCTGTCGTCGCGACCTCACATGGATGCGGTTACAAAGCGAGTGTTAATTAAAATTGCAATCGATTTCATTTTAATTTGTTGTGGTGAGTGATGAAAATAAGTTAAAAATCTTAAAATATGAAAAGTGTAAATTGTGAAAATTTTTATCGTTTAATTTAGTTGGATTTCCGATCTTATTTTACTTCCTTTACGGATCGGCATATGAACGCGGCTTCTTCTGTGATGATGAATCTCTCATGCATCCATTCCACGAGTCAACAGTCACTCACAACATTTTATATGCGATTGGCTTTGGAATTCCACTATTATCGGTTGTAATTACTGAATTGCTTCGATGGCGTCAAAGCATGGATAATGAACGCGAATTGAAGCTTTTTGGTCGTGACATACCATTTTGGGTGCAAAATGTTTACAAATACTTCGGAATTTTTCTTTTTGGTGCTGCTTGTAGTCAACTTACGACCGATATTGGAAAATACTCAATTGGACGTCTTAGACCGCATTTTCTCAGTGTATGTCAACCAATTATGCCTGACGGTACAAACTGTTCGCATCCATTGAATCAAAATCGTTACATCGAAGAATTCACGTGTGGAAATAAAGAATCGTCAGCAAGGAGAATTAAAGAAATGCGATTATCATTTCCAAGTGGTCATTCAAGTTTCTCAATGTACACAATGGTATTTGCTGCACTTTATCTTCAATGTCGAATGTCATGGAAGGGATCAAAACTGTTCAAACATTTCTTGCAATTCCTTTTCGTTTCCATTGCTTGGTATACGGCTCTTAGTCGTATCTCAGATTACAAACATCATTGTGAGTTGAATTTTTACTTATTAACATCAATCAAAAACTTTTATTTGCTGTTTTCATTCACAGGGTCCGATGTTTTATCAGGTTCACTTCAAGGACTTATCGTCTGTCTTTTAATTGTCTTTGGAATATCTGATTTGTTCAGTAAACGCATTAAGCGCAGCTTACCCATGACGAGATACGAATTAAATTCTCAAAATACCAACGGAAATAGTAATTGATTTTATTCATTTCGAAACTGAACTTTATGATAAGTTCTACCTTCATTCTATGCCAATAATTCATCAACACATCACTTAGTTTATTTTTAAAAAGGGTTCAGGTTTTATTTTAACAAACTTAGTTTTAAGATCTTAAAAAATGTCACTGCAATAATATTTTTTTAATTAAAATTTATTGATTTGAACCCTACATAGAAAACGAAAGTTTTGATTTTCATCACATGGTTTGGATTTTTCATCTGTTTAAAAAAGTTTTCACATTTCTTGATTTAGACATTTTAAATCTTATCATCATCAACTATGTGAGTGAATCATGAAACATTTCAAAGGAAATTCATATCATATTTTTTCTAATGATTCTCCAATCCGTTTCACCATCCAATCATATAACATTTTTCATCAGAATTAGCTTAAAATATTTTTTCAGTAAATTAGTTTGATTCATGTCAAGGATGTTCAAGATATTGACATCAAAATCAAATGACACTAGAAGTGACCTACTTAGTTTTGTGTCTTCGTAGAATCGAAAATTGTAACTTGACCTCTAAAACCGTCAGCAGTCTGAAAACAAATATTTTGAAGCTTTTTTAGGTCAGAAATGCAAGAAAGCTTTAACTTATCGTCACGTTTCTATTTTTTTACGTACTCAGGGGTTTGGTTCGACCCCGATTTTATTCTCACTTGTTAGTATTTACGATCAACGAATTCATTTAAAAGATAAATTAAGTTTATTTCAATTTTAAAATATTTTTAGAAGAAAACATGAAAAGTTTTTTTTTTCGCTTGTTGTGATTCCGTTCGAAGGCATAACAATCTTAAAATTTTTAGTTCCAACAAATTATTCTTTCTGCGATAACCGTTATTCAAGAGCACTACATATTTAAGCATTCTTTACATTATTATCGTGAATAAATACAGAAAAAGTTAGAACAAAGCAAAGAATTTCTATGAAAGAAAAATCAAAGTCAGTAGTTCCTGTTCTAGCATTCTTTCAACCAGGGGTCGGAAGCTTAACGATTTTTCGCAAAAAGCTTCTAAGCTTCCGCTTCGGCTTCTCAAAATTTTGAAAAAGCTTCCAAGCTTCCGCTTCGGCTTCCCAAAATTCTGAAAAAGCTTCCAAGCTTCCGCTTCGGCTTCTCAAAAAGTTGAGCTTCTTTAAGCTTCCAGCTTCCGCTACCGCTTCGGCTTCCGACCCCTGCTTTCAACATAGTTTTCTTTACTATTTTTTTAATATTACATACAAGAGTCTTTCCCTTTTTTACCTGAAACGAACTTGTAACTACCTAATTCACATTATTATTAAGCTTTCCTCCGCCTCAATTCCGATGGTATTGGGAGAGAGAAAATAATATAAAATAAACGAATTGGATCATTCACACACAACTAATGACGTCAGAGTGGCTACGTTATGACTCGATATAAGTATAATAACAGCCATTACGTTGGAAACAAATATCGATTGCCTTATATTGTCGTCACAACATTTTGCGGGGCCTTTCGTAAGCATAAATTAGTGGTAGATATTTAAAACTTATTATATCCTGACAATATCTAATAAACGAATATTATAGTTGATTAATCAATTGAGTTTCTTTCTTTGCTTTTATAACCAGAGGTAAGCTTTTCTTGTTGAGATTTAATTGTTGTAAAGTTGAAAGAAAGCTCCGTTTTTCAAACATAATTTCGGTAATTATTATTGCGTGACTATGAAGGACTTTAAGGAAAAGAAAAGTCACTGTTATAAAAACTTATCAACAATTTTGATAGTATATTAATATGTAGACATTGTTTGAAATAAGCGTCAATGTTCTGAACATTGCTAGCTGAATCGCTAGCGATTTTAAAAGATATTTGTTGGTTTCAGTAAGAAAGAGGAGGCTAATGGCATGTTATACTTACTACCTGGATAATTCAGGAAAGTAAAGCCTTCAACTCAATGCTACTCAGTAGCGAGTGTAGTTTCTTAAATCCATTCAACAGCTTTTCTACAACTACTCAATAGCTTTCGAATTTGTTCAATTAGTTGTCCAATTTGTGCATTCATTGTCGAATTTGTGCATTCATTAAATAAACGTACATAAGTTTTGTTATTTACAAATATTTTCAGATGCAAAGGAAAATTAGAAAAGTTCATTGAATGTTTGCTTCACAATTTTTATTCATTTAATAATTTAAGTAAATTACCATTTAATTACCAATATTTCCGCAAATGCGAGTATCGTGTTCTGAATATAATCTGAATAATATAAAGCGTTTAAGCATTTGGAGGTGATGGAAATAAAAATAGATGAGTTATAATTATGAGGGACAAAGTTTTGGTTTCCTAAATATAATATAGGACATTTTCATTGTAGTTTGTGACATGATATATTTTATTTATGAAATTATTGTTGGTGTTTTATTGTGGATAATCAAAAGTAGTCTACTTCATTGCCTTCATTAAGTTTTTCTGATATTCATGAAAATAACTGCGCAGTATTATTGTCTAACTAAATAGATAAATGAACATTTACCAGCAAGAAAAATAAAAAAATCTGAATTTCTGATGAAAAACAGATAGAAATTTTCAGAGAAATGAAATTAATTTATTCCTAATCAAATTCCTGAAATAAAACTAAACTGAAATAAAAGGTAAACAATATTTGAGATGAAATCAATTTATTAACATCTAGAAATTTATTTTTTTTTAACTTCATAACGAATTCAATAGTGAGTCAAAGTTTTTCCTACTCTTTATAAACATAACGAAACGGAAAATTGTAAAAACTTAAACACGTGCTTCAGTGTTGTTAATTATTTAATTACATTAGTTTTTTTGCGATTATTAAATTATGTATCAATTCATTAACAACTTGATTGCACCTATGTAATTATTGCTTTTCGAAAGCTGACAGAATTTTAACGGCACGGCTACTTTAAGGATAGTAAGCATCTCTCAAAGCGGAACCTGTTATCACAACTGCTGATGCTATTAACATCAAAGTGACGACTTTTAATGGCGACGTGCTTTTGGAAGAATCTAAAAAGCAAAATTCAATGGAAAGTTATCGAATAAATATAGAATCAATTACTTTTATCTCGCGGGCGGACACAACGGTTTTGGTTTGAATCAGGGGAATAATCGAATTTACATTTGCAGACGCCATTACGACATTCAACGGCTTCAGGATCATTAGGAAAAAAACATTCGGTAGATTTGCTGCAAACTTCATTTAACTCTGAAAATAAAAGATTATAATAAAAAAAAATATTTATAGGTTTCAATGAACCTTTTTTGTCATTGCATTGTCCGTTTTTTAAGTGAAGCGATTCGTCGCAATTGCATTTGCTCTCATTACATGTTGCTTTATCTCCTAAAAGAGGCTTACATTGATCATTCTCTGTGCACGTATCGTTGTAACTTTTAGCTAAAAGTAAATTTTTTAGTTGTAATATGCAAGAATTGTTTAAAAGTTTTCTTACCTTTTTCAAGACATTTCTCACCAACCCCGACAAAATCTTCCTTGCACTGATATTTTTCTATTGTTGATGTCACTGTTGATGTTATCTCATCAACAACTTCCAATTTACATTCAGCATTTTCAAAGGCACAATCTTCTGTTACTTCACATTCCGCTCCAAAACTTGGCTTACATTCACTTTCATTTTGTGCAACAAAGTTTTGTTTGCATTCGCATGTGTTTTTTGTCGTGCAGACGGTATTTTCAACTTTACAATTTTTATTCGTCTCACAATATTCGCCGAGACCTTCTTTTAATTCACAAAGCTCAGTCGCTGCGTTGTACCTTGCGTAATCATAGCACTGGCATCTTCTTGGTTGTAATGTTGGGCAGAAAGCAGCTCCATAAGGTGTACATTGACTGGGTTGAGTACATGACGTGTTGATACCCGAAGCAGCTAAAAAGAAAAGTTTTTTCACGTGACAATTTGAAATTACGAAATTATGCTAATGACTTACATTTTATACAACTTCGCATGTTTGGTTGGTAGAATTCGTCATTACGACAAACACACTTATTATTTCGGAAAGTTCCACTTCCACAATAAGTATTAGCATCGACATGTTCTCCAAGTTCTGCTTTACAAATTCCATCCTTGTGGTAAAATCTATCTTGACATTGACAGAAACCTCTACGGCACATTGAATATTTAAGTCCGGTGCAAGGCTTGTTTTCAGATTCGCACGAATCTCCGACTTTAAATATTCATATTAATTTAATTAAATAATCTTCATGGTCATATAAATAATTAATCTTACATTGAGTACTTTCATCATCAATGCTCGAGAATTTCTTACCGGTGTCGTCAACATTTTCTAATTTAGTGTATTTGAAATAACTTCGTATATTTCGTTTGTAAGGGAAATAATTGGATTTTTCTAATTCCGGTAGACTATCGGTGAGACTATCCAGACTTGGAGAAGTTTGAACACCCGCATTTCTCAATGACAAAGTTTGTGTGCCGACAGATGTTGTGCAAACGTAATTATTACATGATGAATCCGTTTCAACGCAATCAGCATTCACAATGCATGGTTCACCATCTGACGATTATTAAATATGCTTTAAATTTTAAAATTTTCATTCATTTTTAATAAACCTCACTTACTGAGCGATTCCCTTCGACAAACATTAGTGAATCTTTGGTAAAAACCTTCAGCGCATTGACATTTACCATCTCGACACTCTACAGAATCACGATTATAACCGAAAAAGCAATCAATTTCCTTGAAAATATGAATCTATATTAAAACACATTATTGCAATTTATCTCTCCATATTTACATCACGGCAAGGTTCGTTTAGATTAACTAATTGACGACATCGTCCACGAACATAAGTCAATCCTTCAGCACATTGACAAATTCCATTACAATTAGCGCCAGTGCTAAAAGGTTGCAAATATTTTCTATTGAATGACCTAAATTATTAAAATAAATGAAACTAAACTTACAGCATATGAGAGCATTGAATAGGATCCGAACAAACTTCACCATACAATGATTCTGCAATTTCGTATTGAAAAATTAATATTCAACTTGACTTTATTTCCTTCTCATGTCAGTTTGCAACCTTTTAAACATTCTGTGACATCCGTAGAAAAAAAGTGAATCCAGCGGGACAAGTACAATAATTACCCAAAATAGTTGAGCACGTTGAGTTTATAATTAAAGTGTTACACTCCGTGTCATCATTACATGGTATTAAAATATTAGCCTTTGTGTCTAAAATTAAAATTCACTTGATTAATTTTTTATTCTGCAGTGACGTCAAATTAAAAAAAATATGCACATACGAACAACGAGTATGAAAGAGTTAAAAAATTAAAAATATCCATCACAAAATCGATTTTTTTAATGGAAAAATTAAAATTTTAGAACTTTTAGAGAAAATTTGCAAGGAAAAGGAAAGAAGTTCTTGAGAATGAAGAACAGATGTTTGTGTCAAAGTGTCTTTAAATGGAGTGGCATTTAAAATGAATCCGAATAGTCTATTGGGGATTATTTTATCAAGCAACAATTTTATAAGATGAAAATAAATCAAGGACTCAAACCAATGATTTCATTGAAATATCTTTTAATTTTCGACCTTTAATGACACGACGTGATAAGATGGGAAATCTTAAAAATTTCATTTATTCAAACTTTTAACTTGAACTTAAACTTTTTAACTCACACTCGCTAATGACATATAGATAATGATGGAAAATTAAGTTTTCAATTCTGAATGTTAGAAAATAAACAAGTTAAATATTTTATAATGTTTTTAGTTGGAAATTCCATCATTGTTGACAATTATAAATAATTAAGATATGTATGAACATTTTTATTAGTAAATTCATTCAAAGACAGCATGAAAAGCGAGAAAATGAATTCCGTAATGGAAAACGAAACAATCAGTTCGTTTAGAATGTCTGAGTCATAAATTCCTTTTTATCAGAAAGGGAAAATCAGTTGCTTGCATATTTTCCGCTCTAAAGTTCTATTCATGGTATTCATGTTATTTGTAAATCATTCAAATGGAATTTCCTTCTTTTGTCATGCATAAAATGTTTAATTACACTGATTTGCAATTACATGCTTGTCGATGTAACATCTTAACTTTAAGTTACTTATACGTAGCATGATTAACATCGGTCATCAATACATGTAAATTTCGATTCGTTTCTTTCATTTGCTTCATTTAATTTAAATACAAAAAAGGACAACGCATGGCCATAACAAAAGTAAATGATAGAAAGCATCAAACTTGTGTGTGAGGGTAGAGAAAGGGTGAAAAAGCGGCGTGGAATAAATGTGAATTATGATTAATAATTTAATGCTTTCTACTGCTACACTTAATCATTTTTGTAGAAGTTTCCTTCATTTTAGTCGATTATGCAACACCGCATGATCTTACATAAATACATCTTGAGAAAATTCAAATGCAGAAAAATTTCCAGTATAAAACATTTAAATTTTAGATTTTGTATATTCATGGATATTTTCAATTTATTGTATGTCAAAAATAAAACTTCAACTAAAGAAAAAAAGGACAAACTCAGATTCACTTCATAATTAGAAAAAAAATTCATTTATTGTGTTTATTTAATAAATATTTTGATCTTCACTTACTACACACACAGTTTACAGTTTTATATACCTCACTGCCATCAATATTTATTAATAATTTTTCACATAGATCGATACTTTTTTTCGAGCTGCTTTACTTATGATGCAATCCACAAATTTTCCACTAATTAAACGCGTTTTATCGGTGAACAAATAATTAAGAACTCATTTGTTTTCATGTTTAAATGAAACGTTTATTCGATTGATTTATGTTTTATTACGACGCGAAAAGCTTAGCATAAAATCGGAAAAGATTTTTTCACTATGTTATGTTTTGTGGTCAAGAATTGACTGCCGACTACCTGTCCACGACAACAGACAATCAAATGACCAGACATAAGCGTGTTCAACTTTTTGAAGTATATAAAACTTCATTATCTTTTTTCCATTCGGGAAAACTATCGGAAACCATCGGAAAAATTATATTTTATGTAATAGTGTAAGTAAAAGAAATAAGGAAACTAAACATGTGAAATGAACTTATGAATGAAAATTAAAAAGAAAATATAAAGTGAGTTAATATTTGATAAAGGAAAGAGAATGATGCATAAATTATGAATAGACATAAATAAGTAAACATTTAAAGGAAATGTGAATGTCTCATTTAAAAATAAGGAAATTTAGAATAAATGCATTATGTATAGCTAAGCGAACAATTGAAACTTTTATGCATATATGTATAGGGGAAAACAACATATTCTGGCTACAATTTCAATTATAATTTGTATTTAATTTCCTAAGTTCGGAAATATGCTCATCTAAACTCATCTCACATAATCTACGACAAGAATCTTCATTAACTTTAAGATCACAAGATAAAAATTGAACATGAAAATTCTTTTTATTATTTGCTACGATGCTTTCAAGTTTTCATTCATTTCTAATAGTCCACATTGCAAGAAGGAATATCTAAAAGCTTTGAATATTTGACAGCAATAACAGCAAAATTAATTTTGAAATATATGCAGCTCCATCTATTAAGAAACTCGCCAACTCAGAATGAGGGGCCAAGCTACACAATAATCCGGTTCAATCAGTGTTCATAACGGTTCATTCTTCAACTTTTTTCGAAATCTTTCGTATTCTCGCAATATTTAGTTATTATAAATACATTCAAGCAAATAAGAACTTATTTCGGTCATTTAGTCTAAATCAATAGGTAAGTTTTAAACAAATCTTCTGAAGGTGAATTAAAAAACAAAAGTAAAATACCAGAAATTGCGTTTTAACATTCAAGGCCTAAAGCCATATTTTTTCCTTCGATTTCTTTCCGTAATTTAAATCAATTCTTCATTTGTTATCTAAACAAAGAAGCGTCTCATGATAACAAAACAAAGTTGTTTTGAAACCTCGCTAATCTACAAATCGTGGTATCTATTTGATTCATTTTTTGACGTTTTTTCTGTGTATTTTGTTTTTTTTTTGTTTTCATATTAGCTTGGGGTGAATGTTCACTATAACTCGAGAATACAAAAGATTCTTTTCATTTCACACAACTTGAATGTCTATCTATACTATTGTATTGAACGTAAAAGTATAGGCACATGCTTGTCAAATTAAAACAAAACAATCATTGGCATCACTTTTTGTTTTTTTGTTTGCAGTGTAAATCATATAAAATATCACAAACATGTATCAAAAGGTTCCAAATTGCTCTGGGAATAGTTTTGTTGGAGCAGGCGATAGCTACGATGAGTCTCAATCAGACTATGAAGAAGTGTTAGAGTTCTCGTCAGAAGGAGATGTCAATGATTTTTCAGATTTCTTATGGATGGAAAACGAGGAAGCATTCGATGATGAAGTTTATCAAAGTTTGGAAGAAGCAGAATTAATGAACGATTGTATGGAGGCAATGAACGAGTTGGAATTATTAGATGGAATTAAACAGGTGGAACAAGAGCAAATGATTATCGAGTAAGTTTAAAATGTTCGTTGTATTATGTGTATTAAAATAATTTAATTATATTTTAGAACAATTTGTAACGTCGCACAAAACTCAAGCCTCAATCCCCTTGCAAAAGAATTCGTTCCATGTTCAATCGTAGCTGTTACATCTAATTAGGTTCCTGCCCTATTTATGAAGAAATAGTTCTTGTTTTAACAATAATTATTGTTTTCGGTCTTCACAAGAATAATTTTTACTTAAATCATTTATTTTTATCTTTAAAAGAGAAGAGAAAAAAATCATTTCATTAATTCTTTCTTATCATTAATGAAGTTTAAGATAGTCATCAAATCCAGTAATGCAGCTAATGATTTGTTTGCACAAAAAAAAAAGAAATCATCAAGCATTGAATTGAACAAACATAAAAGATATTAATTACGTAATTAGTTAACAAAAAGTACTTTAATTATACTTTTAATTAGCTTCATGAATCATAAGAGAAAATTTTAATTTTGTTCAATTCCTTGCAAGTTCTTCTATTATAAGTATCATAAAGAATAATTAAAATACTTAAAATAAAATGTCAAAAAGAAGCATTTGAGAGTAATTTCTAGCCAAATGCTACGCTATCTAAGAATTTAATTTTATTAATGTAAAAAGAATTAAAAAAAACACGTGAAAAAAAAACTCAACGTCAATGTGATAAAAAAAAGTATAAAACAAAATAAGTCAATAAAAAATAAATAATTTAATTTAAAAGACTAATTCATTCGTTTGACTTGATTGAATAAAACTTTTTTGTATGATGAAACTTTCAGTAGCATCAGCAGCAACACTCGAGAATGCATTTTAAATTACCTTCTAGCAATTTACATAAAGTTTTAAGTTGATTGCCTTCAGAAGATGATACTGGTAAAGGTACACGCCGTTATCATCATTACATACCGATTAGAATCTCAACTTTGTTGGCTTCTAGCTAAATATAGGATTATGAATTGAAATATTGTAGGAATAAGCGTTGAATAATGAAAAATCTAGTAAAGATGAAAGCTTTTTCTCCCAAGGCAATTTCATCGCTGATCTTAAATATTTTCTTCTTAAAAACATTTTCATACATTTATTAAAGAGAAAAGAAGGTCGTTGCTAACTGAAGCATAAAATATTTTTATAGACAAGCAAATTTCCAATTCATGGTTTCTTTCATGGGCAGCTTTTGGATATCAAAAAATAGAAGAAAAAAAATCGAACATCTAAATTACATGTTATCATCACAAGCTTAACCGTCAATAATGAAAAAAAAGACAAAATCATCATAGATTATTTATTACTTAAAGGGAATGAGAAAAAGAAAGCATCGTCTTTATTACTTACTTACGGATCAGAAGTTTCAAGGAGTTCGACCGCTCACAGGGAAAGGAGAGGGAGGGACTTTGAATGAAGGTTTCTTTTACGTAATTTTTATTGATATAATGTAATGAAAAGTTTACTTTCTTCAGTCAAGAGCAGAAAGAAAGAAAGTGGAGGGAGAGTGTTATCAATACTTATTTCATCACTCAAGAACAAATACTCCATTCCACTTTTCCTCTCTCGCTTGTTGTGCTGTAGATATCTACATCCCAAGTTGATGCTTCACATAATTAATACAAAGAATAAAAGATGACGAAAAAAATTTCTCTTTGTACGTGTAAAATGATTCAAAAGAAGCATTTAATTTAATTTCAAAGTTCGTGTTCGTCTAACTTTAGATATTTCTATTCCTATTCCCCCGTATCATCTGTTCACGTTATTCTTGAATTCTATCAAGAGAAAAGCTATCTGAAAGTTAAATCAAATTAACATTAAACGACTCTCCAATGGAATACCTCGTTCGACACCCGGCAGATTATTATCTTCGCCTTTTCTCCATCATACCGTGAAATGGATCAACAAACAAAAGTGACGCTTGTAATGGCCAACCTTTATAACTTTTCAACATTAATCATCTGGTATAGAATGTAGACATAAGAAGCTTTTCATAGATTTATCTCGTATCATTCTGAAGTTAAACATCATTTGAGAATAAAGTCGAAGGTAAATATTTAAAGCTCAAGAGAAATCGACTGATATCTTTTCTCCTTTCTTCTTTTTTTTTGGCTTACCTCTATTCAAACCTAAAGTCATCGGAAGTGTGGTCGTTGTTTCATAAAATACATGTTTAACGAATGAACCTTTTTTACTTGACTAAATCGTTTCCTTTTGACCTTTACTAATGTACGTAATTAAATAGCTAAAGAATAATGTCAACGTCATCCTAAATCAAATAAAGCTTCTCTTTCATAATTAGTGAGATAATTAATTGTTAGTCCTTGATTAGAAGCAACTGAATCTCGTTTCGACAATCTCTCTTAAATACAATTAGCACATTTTTTTCTTTTATCTATCCACATCCATCCATTCATCAAAGCTTTATTGTTAGTTATAATTAATGTGTCTGCCATCATCATATTTTCTCACAGATTAAATACTTGAAGTCAACAAAAGTGCGTGAAAAGACAATATGTTACTTTCTTCATCAATGTCTCGACTCTTTATTACATTCCACTTTTTTTTCTTTTGATTTCAACTTGACTACAAACTTTTTATTATAACGACATTATGGGGTCAATTTCATGAGCTTATTTATAATAGTTAGAGTGTGTCAGAAAGAAAAATAAGAAAAAGGAAGCATCTGATGGATGATTTGGGTTTAGGTTTATGTGGGCAAAGGTTGTTTTCTTTTTGTAGTAACAAACAGGAAAATGATTTTTCATTTCCTTTCTTTATTTGTTTTATTTATGTGTACGATGGTGGGACGGATTAATGTTTGTTATTTTTTCCTGTATGAACTGAAATTAAAATTTTCCTTTTTTATTTATCCTACATCAACATTTGAATTTATGTATGAATTAAAGGATTTTACATTTCACTGAAACTGAAAACATGTTTAAAAGCTTCTGACAACTTTCAGACCACCATCATATGTACGTAGATAAGAATTCAAAGGTAAGCCTCAAGCGAATTCGATTTGGCTTTGAACTTATCAAATAACATTGATTTCCACTTTTGTTTCAAATAAATAAATTCTTTACTCTTTTTATTATTTTATTTAAGGAAGTGTCGACAAATGGCGTCATAAAAAGGTTCACCCTTCAAAGCTTAAAAGCTTTTATACCAAATGTTTTTCATTTCAGTCATCCATTCATGGCCGGACGCCTACAAGTACGCCTTTCAACCTACTGGTTTTATTTATTTATCCTTAACAACAACCTCTTGGTCATCGAGTGGAAAAATTCTTCTCAGAGACGATTTTGTCCTTCATAAACCAAAGCGAACCGTGAAAAGCAACAATTTATTTGAGCTTACTTAAATATAATTTCTATACGTATTAAATAACAACTTTCCTTTCGATTTAATCTCACGTCTCATTCCATAAGCTCACATCCCACACTCAATGCAAATTTTGTTTTTCCTCCATCCCTACGCTGTTGTCAATTACCGTTCGCTACACATTTTGATTGAATGTCGCTGCTTTCATTACACTCGTGTTTCCACTTGAAGTGTGCCGTTTGTCGTTCGATTCCAATTACTCTAACAAGATTTTAATGAAATTGACGTCAAGGTAAATAACATTTGATTCTGATTAATTTAAAATTCTTTTCCTTTTATTTTTTCCTCAAAGAAGTTCGTGGGAGTTTTTTTTTCTCATCATTTACTTCTTTACTTTTTAATTTATCATAAAGCGCACCAAATTCAACAACAATTAACATTCTTCTAGATTAAGATAAATTATCTACTGGTGCTTTTGTTTTGTTGGGGGATTATAAGCCACTTAAATTATATCTAAACGGACACTTTCATATCTTATCATTTCCCTGTGACACATCACAACGCTTTCCAAAAAAGAATAAGAAAAAGTTTTATGATGACAAAGAGGATAAATAAATATCAGTGTTCAGCCACAGTCATGAGCAACATTAATCTTCATCTCTATTCTTTTCTGTATAAGGTGCACCCCTCACAAAGCTTCACACCTGAATTTATATTCGAATATCTTACATCAAGTACAATTCACTTGCTTTTATTATTAATAAAATTGAAAGACTGAAATGAAGAAAATAAAATATTTTTGTTGGCGGAAATTGCCTTTCCTTTTCCTTATTCTTTCCTGATGGTCTTTTCTTTGGTTGTTTATTTTTCAGACTGTTGACAATCGCAGCTTGCAATTATGTTAAGAATGGCGTGCTTTTCAACAAAGTATTTCTTCATAAAAATTATTCTAATAAATTATTGTAACTTACATAACTGAAATATAAAATACATTTGTTACACGTCCAATATTATGTTGGTTGTCATTGTGTCTGACTAATACATTTTGTATCACATCACGACGTATTCATGATATTTATTTACGTCAGATGTAAGTAATGTTAAACGGGATTCATAAATGCTTCAAATGCAAACAGCCTGCGTCTTTTGTTACCATTGTTGAACGCTCAGATTTACGTACATATAAAATCCGTAAAGGAAGGAAAAGAGGGAAAAAATAAGGAAAAGAAAAAAGATTTATCACTTAGGCAATCTCTTCACAACTTTTTCTTCTTGTTCTTCTTTTATTCATCTTTCGATACGGTGGCGTGGGAAATATCTGTGAGCGGATCCATAACAGATTGTTGATTGCCATCCTGGCTAATGCCTCTGATTATATCTAATTCCAAAAATTCCAGCAACTAATGTCGTTCGTAGGCATCCATCGATGGGGTATGAGAATATTGTGTGCGAATAATGATGAACGAGAATGAAAATGAAGGAAAAAGAAAGAGAAATTTTCATTAGTAATATGCCTTAGTGAACACTGAACTTCGAACAAAGACGAAGACATAAAACGAATTAAAAGAAAATTACACGAGAAAGGAAGGAGAGAGGAAATTCGTTTTCGTTTCCTTTTCAGCTGACACGGCGGCAGTAGCTTCGTGTTTTTGGGGAAAAAATATAAAAAAAAATACGAAAAGGTGAAAATTGAAAGTAGACGTGAATGTGACTTGTGGTGTCGAATGGAAAATTTCAGTCAAGGTAAATTATTGAAGGAAAAATTAATTTAGAAGAGTTACGAAAGGTAAACATTTTTATTTCCCTTTCATAATATTTGAGGCTTCTTCAATAAGCCAAACAGCCTATCAAATAAAGCTTTCATAAATCAAATAAGTATTACAACCTGAATCCCTTCCGATGTAACGTAAAATTGGCATGTCATGTGCATGGGTGACCATCACGTACCATAAAGACACCAAGTTAAATTATGAAAACAGTGAAAGAATAAAAAACAAAGAAAAATGCTCATAAAAAGCTCCGTTGAGAAAAATTTATGATTTCTCGATGTAATTTATGATCATGATTATTTTATTATGTGCCTTTGCTGCTATCTGCATATCAAAGTAAGTCGAGCTTACTGAATTTTTGAGAAAGGGGATGAGACGGCATGTTTTGGCAGAAAGAAAAAGTCGAATAAAACAGAAGAAGGGACGAAGAGCGCGATATGGCGACGAAAAGTCTTCAAAAAGTAATGGCGAATCTACTTGTACAAAAAAAAAGTTTATTTTCTCTTTAAGAACAGAAATGAAAAACTTTTTCTCGAAAAAAGAAAAGTTGCTGTAGATGAAGTAGAGATGGGGAAGTAAACAATCATTCTGCACGCTCCAAAAACACAATCAGAGAAAATATAAATGTAAGGCTATTACAAAAAGCCATCAGCCGTCAACAAGACGGCAAACTTATCCAATGCGTTCTTTGCCTTTTCCAAAATATAAATAAAAAAAAGAAAGATATTTGCTTCGCTTTCATTTTGCCTTGACATCAAAAAAGCAATGAAAGAACGAATGAAGACGTGGAAAGGAAAAGAATGTTAGCCATGCATGAATGCTTTCATTTGGAAATCTGCTTTTCCCCTTCATTCAAGGTCAATGAGATGTGAACATCAGGCAAAGTATGAGAGAAGCACTTTACATTGAGATATGTACATTAAGTGGTTGTCTTCTTTGATTCTTCTATGTACCATTACGTGAATGGAACTACAACATGTGCCAACTATCGATATTGTGACAACTTTTTATATATTTATCTTGCTTATGTTTTCCTTTTTGTTTCTTCTTTTGCTTTCATTTTTTTTTCAACGCTTTTCAAGCACGAGTGGGCGGAAATTAACACAGGGATGGAATCGCATTTACAAATGAAGACAATTTAAACCACAGTTGTAAATGATAATGAATTCAATTCGATTAGCTGTCAATAACACAATTTCCATTGACAAGGGAGAAATTTCCATAACAATCGTGAAATGTCTTGTCCCTTAGAAATTGATCAATTTTTTGATCGAAACTAACAAAGTTCACACGAGTTGTCATCAACAATGAAGTGGCGAATTATCAAAGGAATAGAAAAATCTATAATAACGACTATTGAAATGAACATCGTGGGAGTGAAAATACATTCAGGAAAGTTTCTATGGAAATTGCATTTAAAAGAAACGAAGCTTATTTGACATCAGTAATGAAAATTCCCTCGAGCATTTTCGTTTTTCTTTCTCAAGTCAGAATTTTCTTTTCGTATACACCAACAACAAAGAAGAACAGGAGGTGTTATGTTGGTAAAGTTTATGAGACTCTTCAATGAAATGTATGTTTGTTTATCATTTGGTTTCATATATTTTAAGCGTTAAAAACAGCTTTGAACTGTGTGGGTGTCATGAGTGAGGTGGAGTCGCTTTTATTGAAATTTTCTTCTTCTTTTCCGATAGATATCTACCGATGCAAAATTTACATAATTTCCCAATTTAAATTGGAAGCACATCTGGAAAGATGGCGAAGCAGAGAGCTTTCTTATCAATTGTAAAAGCTTTTCGTGCAGTAATAATATTTTTTTCATATTTTGGCACGCGTTTAATGTTCCTTTGTTTACATCATTGAGTAGAAATATTCAAACGATAAGCTCGTCTGCTCACCAACATAATCTTCGCGTTTTCCTCGCTCTTTTCTCATTCCCATCATTTTTTTGTTATTTATTTTATTTGTTTACCAACCCCCCGCTATTCTTGTCTTCTAATTGAGTCACGCATGAAAAATGATGTCGAGTTTGTCGTGCTTAGAAATTTTTTGTAAATACTCACCATTAAAACGTCAGAGCTTTGATTTGACTTCACCAAAGAGTTGTTTGCTTCGATAAGACTTTTTACATTAATCAACCAATCTTTTAATTTTTCGCAATCTTTTTGAGTGACTTTGAAGAATTCTTGAAAAATTTGATGATCTTCTGGATTGTCTTTATTCAAAAGCACATTGTTCTGATAAATTGACGTAAGAAGCAAAAGTTTAAAAAGTGAATCTGCATCTTGTTTGCCGCTTGTAAAGTCACATGTCATAAGAAGCTTGAAGAATTTATCCACGTTGTACATTTTGTAGTAATGATGAGAATCTTTCTTGAAATAGTTCAAGTACAAAGCCCAGAATAATGTTAACGCCACATAAAATCCAAGTTTATTATTGATGCATATAATTGACGTGATAACATGCATGGTGTTGTTAAAATCGGCATTCAAAGTTTCATATATTATTTTTGTGATCAAGTGAACCTGTAAAAGGGTGATATAGACAAAGCGGATTATAATTGAAAAGCACGCGATGATTTTAAAATAGAAGGAAGGGAATATAAAGTAAGTTTATTTGCACTTGTAGTCACCTTGACAGGATCCGTTTCCCATTGTGCTGGCATAAGTTGAAATAGTTCATTGAGAAGTGAGAGGTCCGTTGTTGTAGTCGATTTTTCAACGAAAAGCATTTTAATGGTGAATCCCAAAAAATCGAGAATCTGACCAACTGTTTCTAGTGACTTTAATTGACCTCTTACCATTTGAATGATCTAGATTAAGTAAATAATGTGAGACGGAAATGAAATTCAAATGTTACGGGGCTTGAAAGCCTGATAATCCTTTTTATAGCAGTGATGAAGCTTTTGTGCTACGTGTAATGTGAATGTTAAACCACATAAAGCGAGGTTTTTCCCAATATTTGTTTTTCCTACATTATTTCAAAGGGGAGGGGGCAATTTACCATAAATTACAAAGCCTTCTTATGTTTAAACTTCATGCTTCTCAAAATAAATGTCTTTAAGTTTTTCTTTTATAGAATAATTTTAAATAATTTGGGAGCGGCTCTGTTCTCTTTGTTTTGCTTTTAATTTTTTGGCTTTTTTATGTTCTATGATTTATGATAGCGCCTCGTTTGTCTAACCCACTTATAGAATGATCCAGATTAATAAAAACTTTTTTCGAGAGCATTCAGGATAATTCGCATTTGGTAATAAAGTAGATAAAAGTTTTATTCAATTAATTATTGATCTCACCTCATCAAAAGTTTCTGTTCGTGAGTCTATGTTAGGCTCGTCTTTAAGCTTCTGAAATAAGTTTCGTAACTCTTTCTTAAAAGTTTCATCTCGAACACTATCAAAGTCTAAATCTACGTCATCCAAGTTTATATAACTGATTGCGAGATTAATGTTCTTAATAACGCTTTCTGAATCCATTCTCAATTAATTAAACAAACGATAAATGAAAAAAACAACTCAAGTTTTTCTGATAAAACTACGAGCGTTGAAAATTTTCCGTGCTTTTATTTCTAATGTCTTTAAAGAACTGATTGAGTTGACTTGAGAAATTTAATTCAAGAAACATAAACAAAACATGCAACATTCATAAAATCCTTTGATTTCAGCATGCGCATTCAGAATGACGAAGAATTCGAACATTGAAAGCAGAGTTGGGCGATCCAAGAATTTTTTGGATCGCCGATCCAGTTAAGCGATCCAAAATTTCAAAAGTGGATCGCCGATCCGGATCAGCGATCCACGATATTTCGCTCTAATTTGGATCGCCGATCCAGTTAAGCGATCCAAAATTTCAAAAGTGGATCCACGATCCAATATAAAAAAAAATTGCCATGCCCTTTTCTTTTAAGGGTCAGATTTGTAGAACATTTTTCTACCCCTTGTTTTTCAATGGGGCAAAACTACGATTTTCTAATAAGTTTCCTAACCCTTTGGCGAAAATTGTAGTTTTGCCCCTTCAAACACTAAGGGGTAGAAAAATGTTTTACAAATCTGACCCTTAAGAGAAAAGGGCACGGGAAAAATAGAACGTGGATCGGGTCTTCGATCCATTTTTTTCATGGATCGGCGATCCGTTCCACGATCCATTTTTTTCATGGATCGGCGATCCATTTTCACGATCCAATATTTTAATTTTTGGATCGCCGATCCGATCCATTTTTCCGATCCAAAATGTTTTGGATCGGCGATCCGAATCGGCGATCCACTTTTGGATCGGCGATCCGTATCGGAAAANGTGAGTCTATGTTAGGCTCGTCTTTAAGCTTCTGAAATAAGTTTCGTAACTCTTTCTTAAAAGTTTCATCTCGAACACTATCAAAGTCTAAATCTACGTCATCCAAGTTTATATAACTGATTGCGAGATTAATGTTCTTAATAACGCTTTCTGAATCCATTCTCAATTAATTAAACAAACGATAAATGAAAAAAACAACTCAAGTTTTTCTGATAAAACTACGAGCGTTGAAAATTTCCGTGCTTTTATTTCTAATGTCTTTAAAGAACTGATTGAATTGACTTCCAAACTTCATTCAGCAAGAAACATAAACAAAACATGCAACATTCATAAAATCCTTTGATTTCAGCATGCGCATTCAGAAGAGAAGAATATATTATTCCAGATGAAAAAATTACAAAAATAACATTCCAGGTTTATGTTATTGCGGGCAGAAAATTGCGGAACGATTTTTAAAATTTTATAACCGTTAAAAATTAAATGCGTGACAAAATATTTTGTAAATTTTAATTTTAATTATAAAATGAGATAAGAAATGAAAATATAATGTATTTAGCTTTATAATTTCTTATCTTAATCATTAAATCATGTAGAATTTAATTTTAATAACATAAAATTAAATTCTTACTTTGATATTTCTAACGGTAAAAATTTCAAAAATATCCGCAATTTTCTGGCATGGAATAATTTTTCCGCAATAATCTGGATTTGGAATAGTTTAGTTGGGAAAAATATATTCTTCTCATTCAGAATGAAGAAGAATTCGAACATTGAAACATCCAATCCTCGATTTTTACGTAATTTTGCTAGTTTTTCGAAAACATTGTTAATCATCGTCATCAATATTGTGAAAGTTGAAATTTTATTTTATAAATTACCTAGCCATGGTGGACGAAGGAACTAAGAAAACTTTACAATCTATTCCATTGCTTCAAACAAGAGCAAGTCCGAGAGACAAAGATTTATGGGTTCAAAGGCTCAAAGAGGAGTTTATGGCTTTAATTAAAGTAAAACATTTGTTTTGGTAAAAAAATAAAATTGTTTTTTAATGTTCTTATCCATCTTTAGTATGTACAGAGTAATAAAGCATCAGATTCAGATTGGTTTCGATTAGAAAGTAATAAAGAAGGAACAAAATGGTTTGGTAAATGCTGGTATGTGCACAATCTTCTAAAATATGAGTTCGACGTAGAGTTTGATGTAAGTACCTAATTTAGGAATTTTTACAAATGTATTGTAAATATTTATTATATTCAACAACTACCAGATACCAGTTGCTTATCCGACAACGGCTCCTGAAATCGCTTTACCGGAGCTTGATGGAAAAACAGCAAAAATGTATCGTGGTGGAAAAATTTGTCTTACTGAACACTTCAAACCACTTTGGTCGAGAAATGTCCCAAAGTTTGGAATAGCTCATGCAATGGCTCTTGGAGTAAGTTATAAGATCTATGATATATTCAACATTCTTCCTTAAATTTATTTTGATCTTCCTTCAATAGTTGGCACCGTGGCTGGCAGTGGAAATACCCGATATGATTGAAAAAGGTATCATCACATATAAGGAAAAGGGAGAAACATCAAGTTAATTTATTTATTTTTTAATTCAAAAATAAAGATCAATAATTTCTTGTTTTGTAAAAAATCCGATTTTTAATCAGTTTAAAAATTAACGACTTTTTGAGATTTGAAACTTGTAGTCAGTCGGCCATGAACGCTCTCAATGAGTTTTCATATTTTCGAAATCAATTTTAATTAAAAGAACTTACAAAATTCCGTAACATAATCCCGCGATGTGATCGAAAATGAAGAAATTCCACTTACGAAATCTTGTGACCTAACTTTCAAATTGCTTTATATTCCGTGTTTACAAATTTTGGTAAGAAAGTTTCACCTTATTTTGTGTTTTGTCATTGCATTTAAACAGTTTTTCTCTTAAAATAATTCTACAACACAAACATAACGTGAATATTTTTAAGTTAACGTAGTTAATTTCGTCGTGTAATCTTAATTTAGAGTGCCAACGTGGCCAATATTGCCAAGTGACAAATATAATCCCATTATCCATATCGAATAGCGATAACACGATTATCATGAATCCAAATCAAACTTCAAAGAACAAGAACCCTTTGCTCAGTTGTGCAATTACTGGAGGATTTGAAGAGTTCACAGGAAGTGGAATTGTTTTGACAGCAGCTGGTAAGTAATGAAACTTCAACTTTCTATTCTTTATGTGTCAATTTTTTATTTCTTCGTTTTGTTTTGTACTCATTCAATCGTTAATTGTGAAAATTTTCCGAAGAAAATATCAATTTAAAACAAACATAACATTATATCAAGGCAAATTTTCTTAAATTTAATTAATGGAAGTTGTTTCTTCGTTCGCATCTACGACATCCGAGTTGTCGGTTTTCAACTCATTCTCGTTAACCTCCTTCAACTCTGAATCAATGGGCTTCAACCTGTTGCCCACGATTAATGTAATCTGAAATTAGGAATCAAATTTGAAGCATTTGTAACGTGACAAAGTTATATTCTTTACGTAACGCAAGAAGGGTCTATAATGTGACAACATAATTTTATCTTTCCTACATCATTGCGTGACGTATGTAATAACCTTTTATCCAATTGACAATAATAAATAACCTTACCAGTCCCATTTCGCCATCTCTCTTGAAAGCATGGTTCGGCACGTAAATTATATCACCACCTGTTCTCAATGCCAACTGTCCTAGGAACCCCGTTTGCCTTACAACTGTTGTTGACGTTCCGTTAACAGTGTGATTTCTTTCATCAAAAATCACAAGATAAAGCTGCGTGAAGGAAACATTAATCATTTTGTTATTTTGATACAAACAATGGTGACTTTTTCAACAATCACCACTCAACTTACACGAATTCTTTTCTTCAGAAGAATCATCGAAGCAGGTTGTTGATGTTCAGTGTCATTTGGCAAGTTGTCAGTTGACAGAAATATTGCGCTATCGTATGGAATTAATTGACCCGTTCTTATGATACTGTAATATGTTTTACTTTCTTGTTGTGTTGCATTTTCTTCTCTTACTCGATCCAACGTTGACATCATAGCTCTAGTGTTGGTAAGATTGTAAGTGCTTTTAATTCCTATATATTTTTGAATGGAAAAAACGTAAACATTCAATCTTTATATAAAAATTACTAAATACCAACCTTCTGAGTCGTAAGAAACCACCATAATGTCAAGAAGTGAGTTTGGTTTCAATGCAGCTTTCCATAATTTCTTTGCTTTCGATAATGGATTTCGTTTCTTGTCAATCAACGCAGCTATCGGTGACCTCAAATGACTGTCTTCGACATAATGTCTTAATAGTTCATTGGGTCGTGTTTTATAGATTTCAATCTTTTTTGGCTTTTTCGATGTAGGCGGCTGTATGGTTGTGGGCTCTTCGCCTAAGTCAATGTTTGTTTCATTTATTTCTCCTTCGATTTCAGGTGTAATAGTTGTTTCCTCTGCGAGTGCTTCAATCGTTTCATCGTCTTTATGATCTGTTGATTGCAACAAGCTTTCCTCTCTTTTCTGATCTAATAATCTTGGCTTTATCGATTTGAAAGTAGACTTTTTCAAGCTAATTTCCGGTATGTCATCTTGAATAGGATCATTTGATATTAAAGGGACTTCCGTTAATGCTTCAATCGTCTCTGTGGGTTCTGCATTGAAAAGCTTTGTCAGTAATGAATTTACAGACGAAACTATCGGATCTTGTTGTTGTTGAGTTGAAAGAGTAGGAATAAAAATTGGTGGGATTGTTTCAGGCTTTGTTTCATAGTTAACCGTTGTCAATTCTTCAATGAAACTGTCACTGTTATCGAAGCCAACAGCAACATAATGTTCCATTAACTTTTCACTATCGTCACTTATTGTGTCGAATGAAGTTTCCGTCGCAAAAATTGACTTCGTCCATTGAGTCATCAAGAAAATAATAAATATCGATCGCATCATATTTTTGTCTTCACACTCTTTTGTTTCTCTTCACTTTGTCGTACTTTGTTGCCTTCTTGATTTTACGAAAGAATTTCTTTACTTATTACAATCTTAATTTTGTTGTGTTTTGATTGTACAATCCTGAAGAGATTTATCATCACTGTAAGAGAGAAAAGTTTCCGGGATTAGTTTAAAATTTAAAACTTGACACTAAGGCTTGTCGCCAGCAAGTTTTTTTTTTGCTTCAACCCGTTTGTGACGACTACCTAGCTTGTTTTTAAGAAACGAAAACGTTAAATATTTCTATTAGGTTTCCACCAAAAATTACTTTTCACAATAATAATATTTAAATTTTCATTCAAAAAGTTATGAAACTTTGGTTGAATGTCAAATGTTTAGTTGGTTGTAAAACAATTGAGTTTTATTTTTGTTTCTTGTAACATTTGCTATCAGATTTCTAAACTTTGTTGTCGGCGATTTGGAGTTTGAGTCCAAAGGAAATTTCTCTATAATTCACACTTTTAAGAATATTAGTCAATGATGTTGTATTTTTGTCACGGATGCTGAATTTTAATATTTGTGGATAACTTACAAACAAAACATTCAAATCATCACTTATCATCTGCTTAAAATTTCAAGAATAAATGACGAACTTTCCTGTTTTTGTTAAACTGGGATAACTGTTCGAAGTGTTAAGTGTTTGTTTTCACGGGCAAATGACTTGCGAATAGTTGCGATTGGGTAAGAAACGAAATGTTCCGAGAGAGCTCATTTGCGTTAATACTTACGATAAACATTTATTAAGCTTTTCGGGGCTTTTTTTTTCTTCTCTTTCAAATGCGTAAAGAAAAAAAGTAAATAAACCGAGCGTGAAGCCTCTTACCCAGTTGCAAAAAAAATATTCTTTTATGTAGCCACAAAAATGGCAAAGAGGGAAGCAATCGTTGACAGCAAGTGATCACTCATTCAGATTAACTTCGCTGATTAAAGTTAAGTTCAGTAATTCCCCAAAGTCTTAACCATCTTTTGTTGTTCAAATGTCTAAATAATGAAATCTTAACAGCTCATAAAAACTTGCTGACAGCATTATGCAAGTTTAGCACTCGCAAAAAGCGCTAAACATCAATAAAAGAACTTTGAGTTGTTTTTCTCCTTTTCAACATTCATCGATGTCGATAAAAACTCTTCAAAAATCGTTCCAATGACTTCTCTCTTTCAAATGTCTTTCTTCACTACACCTAACAGGGGACTTTTAATCTCTGTCGATTATATAATTTGCCGAATCGAATATAGAAACTTTATTAATTTCTTTTTCGCCGGTTGTAGTGGTTTTTTCTTTTTTTTTGAGTCGTGAAATTTCGATCTTAACTTCCTTCAAAATAATATTTTAAATTAAAAGTCAAGCGATTGAATGTGATTTTGTTTTCGCTGTTTTCTTAACTAGTTTCTTTATAAATATAAAAAAAATATTGTTTTATATTTTGTTTTCTTTTCCTCTTCAATATTGAGACCTTTTTTCTCACATCACATACTTATAAATTATCAGTTTATATGTTCCACACCGGTTTGCAAATAAAACCGATCGATTTGTTGTTGTATCAGAGTAATTTAAATAACTTAATTTTTTTTTCGGAGTGTTGGAATGAGCCACGCTGTTATTCTTGTTAATTATTTTAACTTCACTGCGTCTAATCGATATATCCACATTTACAACACACTTCATAATAAAAAAAAGCATGCAGAAGTTTGGTTATTTGATTTGAGTGGCGCGCCGCGCGATTAATCGAGAGAACAGAAGGAAAAAAAAATTAATCAAAACTGTGGTTGTGAATAAATTATTAATAAAGTTTCCTTGAGTTGTGATGAAAGATGAAACTTTGAATTATTAATACAAACACTTTAATAACATTTTTTTTCTCTCTAATTAATGTTCAGCTTTTTTTAGTACGATTCACTATGAATATTTAAACACTTTGTAAGCGTGTCAATCAAAAATTTAGAATGTTTAAACAAAGTAGACAATTTTACGCGCTCGTAAATAATGATCATAAATTATCACGTTTATTAAATAAAGGAAGGAAAGAAAGAAAAAAGAGATTTTATGCAATCGTCACTGTGTCTAGTGGTTGAAGCAGCAAAAAAATAAAAAATAAAAGCGCACAAGAAAGACAAAAAATACAGAAAAAAACTTTACTAATAGTTTCGCGATTTACCTGAACTTTGCTTCTTGCATGTTCAACATATAAAATGAAACTGAAAGCGAAGTGAGTACGAGTTGTTAAAAAAGACACAACAGAGAAATAAAAAAAAAAAATATTATGAGTTGGAAGCATGTGTTGAGCACTTTATTTGGGATGGAAAAGACAGACAAAAGCGTGTTAAGTTTCAAAGGAGAGTTTAAATGAGAATATCGAGCCTAACCAACACATCAAGCTTTTACTTCTGCTCATTTCAATTTGTTGTTTTTCGTTGTTGCTGCTTCTTATGTCTCTTTGACCACATTTTTTCGGACTCACGCGAGTCCTAGCTATTTGCTGCTTTAATTCTTTATTTTATTTTTTATTGGCATGTTCAGTAAAAGAAATAGAAATATTTAAATTATTTATTTTCATTGCTACTTCAAATTCCTGAGCGAGTGAGCTCCCTTTCGCGTTTTATTTTTCCATCCATTGTTTCGTTTCTTTTGTTTATTTAAGAGAAATTATTGGAATCTCTTAACTTTGGTTCACTCATGATTATTAAATTGGTGACGTTAATTACATTTCGGTGTACCGTTGTCATAAAGTATTCAAGCAGTTTTTCATGTTTCGCTACTGAATTTTTGCATCTCTGGCGATTACCACCCCCGTTGTGCATTATAAATATTAATTTAAAGTTATGAAGACACGAACAGACCTTTTTGAATAAATACAATGTATTTTTATTGACGTAAACAATATCTACTGAAGTCGTTTGAAGAGCTTAATGCAGTAAGTGTGACGTGGAATGCGTTAATTCGCTTTGAATATTTACAGTCGATGCTGTCATGAATGATTAATTTAGTTGCACTTTGTAAAAGTGTTTTCAAAATGAAGATGATGTTGAGATCAAGGACATTGGATGTTAATGTTATTGAAGCATTTTTTTCATCGTCAAAAAATAAAAGAGTAGAAATAGTTAGTAAGTAATAAACTGAATGAACCGTGAGCATGCGATTATAATGATCGTGTATTACTTTTCAAAAACACAAAAAAAAACCATCCATCAGTTGATTACCTCGAGATTTCATACATGTGATGTGGATGATGATTATGAGGGCTTATTGTGTACAGTTCATGTTGTGGAATTTCACAAAAATTCTTTAACTGAAATTGAAAGCACGCAGAGATGAGATTCCTATAGAAAAAGTGTCGAAAACAATCGAGAAAGGAATTCTTTTCAATTGCTGATGCTGACTCATGAAATTGTTAAAAGTTTGTTCCTTTTTTCTTCTCGTGTGTTTGGACAGCATAACAAAAGTGGTGTTTATCTCGTGCTGCTGGGCCGTTCTTCGCTTGCGGCGAAGGAATTTGAAAAAGGAAAGGAATTCCATCTTATTATGGCAAAAGAAAACATAATGAACCGAAAAAAAGAGCAATAATAAAAATCTGGAATTCCATTCGAAAAATAAAGAATAAAATTTGAAAAAATTCTCGCAAGAGATGATTGGCAAGTGACGTCGTTGAATAAAGAATTTTATTAATATTTATTTCTCGACATTCTTGACTTAATTCACTTAATAACATTAAGCTTCATTTTGTAAAGAAATTTCTGATAAAATTATTCAATTAATTTCTTAATTTGTCTTTCTTTGACATTGTGGAACTTTGTTAACATTTCTGTTGATTGAAGTAGATAAAAGTTAAAAATATTATTGAGACAATTGTCAATATTTTTGTGAATAAATTATTTACTGATGACATCATCTTTAAACTCTTCCCGAAAGCGATAAATTCCACAGTTCGCATATAACACACGGACACAATGTTCTCGTTTATTTCATTTCTCTTCTCATATTTTCTTTTTATTTTGGGCATTCCTCTTTTGTTTTTATTGTTTTTGTGTTCTTCCTTCACTGATTAATGTTTCAAACCATACAAAGTTTATTATCATCATCATCTCTATTATAAGCATGTAATCGCTTCTGTGGAATGCTGCCTGTCAGGAACATCATTTAGCTTCAGTTGTTTCCACAACTCCTGAAAAGCGAGAAATAAAAAGAAACAAAACTCAAATATTTGCAATGCAAATTCTTTTACTCGACAAAATGCAAGACGAATGTTGTCGACGAATAAACCAAACCATAAATATCTCGACACATGGCGAAAACTGTGCTAACAAAATTTATTCAATGATTCCGGTAAGGAAAACACAATTTTCGACAAGTCGAGTTTGGCATGAAGCGAACTTTAACAAATAAAACTCATTGAAGTTAAGTAAATTAAAAACGCCTGGAAATGAATGAGACAAAATAAAATATTTACCTTCAAAAAGGTTTTCGCTTTTTATTTTTGGTGTGCTGTTTGAGCCACAATTGAATTTGGCACATTCCAAAATTTATTAAGTTTACATTTTCAACATTAAGTTGCGCTTAAATAATCATCGGTTTACATAATTCGAATGACAAAATGCAAAACTCGATGATGATCATGCGACGACTCGCCTTTTTATTTTTCTTCTCTTCAATCTTTGGTATCTGCCGCATTATTCAATATTTCTTTTTTTTTTGATGGTCAACGTGTGACTGGCTGATTTATGCAATCTAATATTGTTGATTTAAACAGTTGATGATGAAGTTCCATCATTGTCATCATCATGATCATGATAAATATAAATGTAGATGCGTCTCGTTACGACATAAAAATAAAAATTCATAAGTAGGTAACTCACTCAATTTACTGCCACTCTAGTTGATTACTTACTTAGTTCATCCTTGTTTTGGTGTCATTAAGCAAGTGAATATTTACATAGACTATAAGTAACTGATTCGATTTACGGTAAAGATCAATAATATAAAAGTTTACTTCGCTTCTCAAGGTTAATAAAAGGAACTGCTGCTGCTGTTGCTGCTTCTGCTTCCACAACTTAAGCATTGCTCAACATGTTCGTGTTTTATTGAAGTAGCAGCGACTTGTAATAAATGTTTTATGACTACACCGCACTTTGTGGTCATTTTATGTTCGATTGATGCTTCACTTTTGGTCAATATAATCAATATTCTCATCTAGTCGTATATTTCATGACGTTGCCTGACGACGATGTTGAATTTCAGATGATTAAAGATGCAAAACATCGTTTCCTTAAACATTTTTTATTTATTCACGAAAAAATAACAGAAAAGAAATGAACAGAAAAAAGAAATAAAAAGAAAAAAAATAAACAAATTCCAATCATCAACATTGACATTGCGAGAAATTTTTACGCGCTTCATTTGTCGAAACAATTACAGTTTCATTGCTTTATGACCATTGGAGTATATAAAGTGTTTATTACGCAATTAAAGTCATTTGGTGAACGCGTAAATATAAATTTAACTCTCCATGGTATTAAATTATCTTTGTTTTCCTTCTTTATTGATTATTCACAGAGAAGCCAGTATTTACGATTGGAACGTCGGTAATCAGCGATACAGACAATTTCAGTGACATAAGCTTGGATCGTGATGGCACGTCGGAATCTACAACAACGACAGCTGAGCCGGCTGCTTTTTACAGTCCATTAGCGGAGCTTGATTCGATGGGAAATATTCAAGGCCCGCCACCGACATTGGACTTGACTGACAATCAACAACCACAGCAAGATGCTAATTTGAATCCTATTTCAGCTGCATTAGCGCAACTTCCAAATGCGGCTTCAACCGTGTTTTCAACATTCTCAAACATCATTAAAGGTTCGTCGTCGCAAGATCAACTTCAAGCCTCTGTTGAGCCGCAACCACCACAACAATCGCCAGTCACGCCTTACGGTTACATCTCCACTAATCCCGATCCAATGGCACCACCGCCTTCATTCTTCTCTCCGACTGATGATTCACTTTTCAAGAAGCAAACAGTTGAATCAACAACGAACAACACATTTCGATTGGGTGGTAATAAAAAGAAGACTTACGCTCATATTCCTGGTTTGAGTAACAACAGCATTCAACAATCATCACCACAACAGAATCAATTTAATCCTAATCCTATGATGCCACCATTACCACCTCAACCTGTTCCACCTGCTGAACCAGCAAATTATTTCGATAACACTCAAGTTCATCAAGAGATCAACAACATTTACAGTTATCAACAGCAACAACAACCAGCAGCACCACCAATGCAACAGCAACAAAAAGAAGTTGAGAAGAGTAGCAAATTTTCATTGACTTCATTTCTACCATCGCAATTACTTGAGAAGATTCCGTCAACTAAAAATATTTTCGGATTAAATGAAAATAATAATTTTGATCAACAATCTGTTGGTAGCCAAGAATTTAGTGTGACAACAACAGCAAATTTTGACCAACAACCACAATCCACAGCTGATTTCTTCTCAACGCAAACTTCAAGTTCGCCATCGCCTTATTCAAACATTGTTGATGCTAGAAGTCAACAACAAACACCGCCGGCGAATTTCTTTAATCCGAATCAATTTAACACAAATCCGTTTGCACAACAACAAAGCACTTCAATTCCACCACAAGCTGGTTTGACTCAAACGCCAGTGACATCGTTTAATAATCCAACTCCATCACCACAACCATCAAACAATCCACCACCAACCATTGATGCAATTTCAGCAGATTCTAATTGCACACCGCCAACATTCTTCAATCCCATGCAAGCTTCAGAATTATTTAAAACATCACAAGTTGATGATGGAAAACCGAAGAATCCTTACAGCAGTAACAGATTATCACGTGGCGTTGGATTGTATAAAACACGATCGAATGTACCGACAGAGATGGCAGGAAATCAAAATGTTGCAATGCAACCAATGCCGAATGTCGTTCCACAGAATACAAGTCAATGGTTCCAACCATCAGTAGCGTCAACACCACCACCAATTGCGGAACAATTTGATCAACTTCCGTCACAACCAACAATCCCCACAATGCCACCACAAATGAATGTTTTTCAACCTCAAGTTGTTGATTTACCACCACCACCTGCACAAATGCTGACAGCTTCTGTTGACGATTTTTCAAGATCGAGTGAGAATTCTAATTCTCGGCCTGGTTCAAGTCAATTGAATTTCAATTCATCATCCCCAGAACAGCAGAAAATTCCATCCAGACCGTCGTCAATACCACCAGCAACAGCTGCTTTGAATTTCGGTTTATCTCAAGAAAATGCCGTCAAAGAATCTTTGGCAACAAATCCTGGAATGTTCTTTGAAACGACATCAAATTTCAACAATTTTCCTGAATTAAATTTAGTCCAACCTGGTCTTAAGAAATCGGATCTCAACGTACCGGAAACAACATCAACAACTGAGATTGACAGTGCTATGAACTTCTTTGAAGATCCAGTTGTTGCAACACAAAAGTCAAGTGCAACTACGATGAGTTTCTTTCAGCCAACACCGACAGCTCCGCCACTTGAAAGGAAATCATCAAACACTTCATCTTTGAACAATTATTTTAATGAATCAGCGGGACAACAAGTGAAAGATGCATTTGAAAGTGTTAGTCAAGTAAGCAATCAAGTCGTTCACAATGATACATCAAATGAAATTTCTGAAGACATTGACAGCATGTCAGCGAACATTGGAAGCACTCTCAGTTTATTTGCAACATCGGAACTTGACTCGACATTGACACAAAGGATTTCATCGGCTCAAGTTGATTCTTTAATTCCAAAATATCTCGAAACACAACCAACTGTAATTCCACGAACGTCATCACCACTTGTTCCACCGACACGAACTTATCGACCAGTTTATCGTCATTGGTTTTATCAGAATCTTTATTGGCATCCATTTGCAATGTCAGATTCACTTGCTTTAGATGAAGCTTTGATGAGTGGCAAGGAAGTTGCCATAACTGATGGTGGAAGGTTTGAAGTGAACTTAAAGGAACGAAAACGTTCTGGAATTTATTGGTTGAGTGGTGCAAATGCTATTCGAAGATGTTCTTGGTTTTATAAGAATCCCAATGGATCTGAAGCAAACTTATTGCCATTTGATGAAACAACTTCCGACTTCATGGAAACTGAGTATGAGAAAGCGATTGTGAATAATTCTTGGAATCACAAGCTTTTCATTCCCAACTCGAATGACTTTATATTGATTAAAGATCAGGCGACTATTGAATATCATCAGTTGGGAGAAGTTTTGTTAGTTAAGAGAGGTGTTGATGAGTTTGTAATCGATGATGGCGAAGAAGCAGCAGTTGATCATCTCATCATATCTGTCAGTAGCTTTGGTGATAAAGTCGAAGAAAGTGGTAAGAAAATAAAATTAAAAATCATTTAAATTATTTAATCAAATTTACTTCTACAGCAGCTGACGAACTTCGAATGAAATGCATGGAAACAATTCAACATTACTACAGCGAAGCTTTCGATTGTGGACAGGTTGGTCGTGTTGAAGTGCTGCCAATCTCATTGAATTCCATTGATGTTCTTAAAATGATGGAATCAAAGAATGTCATTGAATCAGCACCAGGTGGAAATTCCGAACTTATAAAGTCATCAACATATCAAGACATCATGTTGAAGACAGCATTTTATTGTAATCAAGAGTTTTATCAGGTAACTCAATCATTTATTTCAACAATTTAATTAATTAACTTTGATTTAATTGCCATCAGAATATTATGAATCACTTGGCGTTTAGTTTGAATGAAATTGTTACAAAGTTTCTTCATCAAAATCCGGAATTCAAAGGAGAAATCTCTTTGATTGCCACATCATTCGAGGCTTTGTTTCTCTTTGATCTTCTTTTTAATCAAGAAACATCTCCTGAATTTTGGAAGTTAAAATTCAATACGTCAAACTTTTATGCTTTTGGAATGCCAACGAATCTGCTTACAGTAAGAAATGGAGAAAGATTAAGAACAAATTTCACGCTAAAAAATTGTAAGAAATTCCTGAATATTGTTCATCGTTTGGATCCGATTGCGCAACGAATTGAGCCACTGGTCAAACCAGAATTTGCGACCCAACCTCCAGAATCGATTGAGAATGAAAACGCTGACAGAATCGATTTCACAATTGCCGATGGATCATCATTGGAATCATTTAGTTTAAAGCATTATTTTACATCTGAGTTGATAATTTTAAGATTAACTAATGAAATTTACGGTGCTTTAAAAATGGACTCGGGAAGCTTATGAAATATTCATTGAAATAAGAAAAGCTGCTCCTAAATATTTAAATTTTATTATTTCTTCTTTTGTTCTTTTAATAAATTCTTCGTTACAAAATATATTCGCTTTCTTTCATTTATTTAAAATATTTCAATTCATTGATAGACTAAATAAACATGTTTGAATGTAATGCTCGATATTTTACTGATCTAAATACTAAATTTTTATTTTTCAGTGCACTATGACTGACATTATAATCGAAAAATAAAAAGATTAACTTAATTATTTGGTGTTGAGTTATAATTCTAAAAGAAACAAGTTAAATAATAAAATATTTAACATGAGAGCTTAGCTCAACATCACATTTTCCTACAAACTAATGGCTGATAAGAACTTATGGAAGGGAAATTGAGTTTCAAATATTTCTGGTTAAATCTTAACTTGCAGAATATTGAATTGTAAAACATTAACAAAAAGTTATTTCAAGAAATCCTTTCTTGTTATGATTCCTGTCACATGATTGTCAGCGTCAACAATCACAAGATGACGCAATCCAAGAGCACGAAACAGCATAAAAGCTCGTGGAACTGAAGTCAACTCATTAACGTCGTAAGGAGATTTATTCATAAACAATTCAAAATTTATTGTCAAATTCTTCAATCCTTTGTCTCTGCAAATTGCAATGTCTCGAATTGATGGATAACGCGGATATTCATTACGAAAAGCTTCGATTGACACGTTTTGTTCCCAGTAACTTCTCGTTTCTTCAAAGAATGAACGTTTGAGAATGACAATGAGTTGCGATCGTAAAATAATTCCTCGAAGTCTTCCATTCTGCCGATTCACTTCATCAACTTCATCAACGACAGGAAATCCATTAAAATGAGTTTGTTGGAGAATCTTCACGATGTACTCGACACTTTCACGCATTTTCACACAGACAACTTTCTCGCTCATAATCTTCTTGACTTTCATGTTGAGACATTTGCTTGGTGCGTGCCAATGAAGTATCGGAACTTTGCTATATTTAATTTGAGTATCATAAATTCCATCATTGAAGTAATCGCCCATCCATTTCGATGACGTAAGCGTCACAATGATTGGCAAAGCGAACCAAATATTTCCAGTCGTTTCAATGAGAATCACAGCCAAGCTTATTGTCATCCGAACGGTTCCACCGAGTTGTGCTGCTGCACCGACTAAAGCATATTTTCCAGGATTAATGAATTTAATTCCAGGGAAGGCGAGTGCAAGAAACGAAGCAACTAATCGTCCCCAAGCAGCACCAACAAGTAAACATGGAATGAAAATTCCAAGCGACACATTCAAACCGTAAGTTATGTTTGAAAGAAAGAAATAAATTGGAACAAACATCAAGAGTGTCGCTACGCGATGACTTCCAGGTGGATCATGAAACAAAGATTTAACAGACGCTTCAGGTGTTTGAAACCAAAGTGCTGCAGCTGCATTGTACTCATTATCTTCGCAAAACAATTGAACGGGGGTGGTTGTTGGATCATTTCCTAATGGACGACAATCACTAATTAAATACATCATAAAACTTGCAAACGTTGCACTGATCGCAGTCACGAGAATTGCTTCAACAACTTTCAACCATTTTTTCTTTATAAAACTCTCACGAAACATGTTGAGTTTGTAATTCAGTGAAATCCAAAGTGCTCCTGATAGTCCACCGAAAATTCCCATGAGAATGTATATGGGAAGTTCATAATACTCAAATGGAAGTGCTTCAAATTCACCCAAATTAAATAAACCGTGATAAGTAAAGTTTTCCAGTCCATGATATGCAGACAACACTAAATTGAGTGTAAAAGAACTGACAACTGATGCAAAGAGTGTTCGCCAAATGAGTGATTGATTCCAGAAACTTGCAGCTTCTTCAAGAGAGAATAATAATCCACCAATTGGTGCCTATTAAAATGATAAACGTTAAAATATTGGAAATTCTGAAATAAAATTTAATTTACATTGAAAGCAGCAGCAACACCAGCTGAGGCGCCTCCAACAACAAAGTCTCGTTTCTCGTGATCATCTCTGAAATATCTGAATATTCCAATATCTTTATTAAGAGATGAAGATTTTCCTTGAGAAATTCCTGCAGCAATGACAGCTCCACAATGAACCATTGGACCTTCCTTTCCACCAGCAAGTCCACCAATCACACTTGTAATGACTCCAATTGCTTTAACAACTAAAGTTTTGAGTCTTACGACTTTTGGAATTTTGATTCCATTTAAGTAACATTTAACGAGCGGAATTCCTAGAATTACAAAAAAACAAGATAAGAAAATTTTATAGCATGAAGATTGCTTCTTCTTACCAGATCCAGCAGCAACAGGTTCGACATAAGTCACGAGAACTGAACCAATTATCACAGGTAGAATGTTCAGAATAACATGAAAGATGTAAGGCATCACCAGATCACCATGCGCAATGTTTTCTTTGACAGCTGAATTAACAGAAAAGTTTTTAATTATCAAATAATTTAAGGCGGGAATAATTTTATACCTTTTTGTAAGAAACTATATTTATAAAACGAAACCACATCGATTGTGATTGCAATGATGCATCCAATTCCAGCTGTTAATATCCCAACCCAAAATGAGACAATCCATCGAGCGAAATCCTTACGAACTGTGAATCGTGGTTTACGACTGATTTGTTCCTGCTCCCAAAGTTCGTTCTCACAAACATCGTAATCGAGACTCTATTGCATGATGGAATTAAGTAGAATTCTTATGAAATATTCAGAATAAAGGAAATTTTTCTATTCATTTACCTCATATTTTGATTTAGGTCGTGTTGTTCTCGAACGAAATGTAGGAAGAGGACTATCTGGATCAAATGGATCCTAAAATTAAATAAACATAGTATGTAATTTTAAATTTAATTAAATTAACTAAACATAAACAAAATTAAATGCACTGCAATGCTTTAAAAAGTTTTTATGAAAATTTATACAAATTATTGTTAATATTATTAAATGACAAAATTCTGAAGAATAAGAAGAAATTATTCTTTGTTTACAAAAAAATTGCAATTACATTTTCACTATCTGAATTTATGAGTGCAACTTCATCCATTTCCTCCAACTACTTTCTTTTATCTTTTTTAATACACAATATATCACGCTTGTATGTTTATATTTATGAATCACTGTTTTGTTTGAGATTAAAGTTGAATTATTTCTCCTACGATGTTGTTACTTTGAAAAAATATTTGCAAATGAATATCCGAATGTTTACACAAATTATCCGAAAGCTGCCGTACTTGCATACTCCGTGATAATGCACACTCTCCACCTGAAACTGTCTGGAGAAGGCAGTTTCGGGTGAAGACTGTATAAGTCGAACGATTATCGACACACCCTTAGTCATAACATTTTAAATTAATCATTCCAATATGAAATATCTCATTTTAAGTTGTATTTTGTTTAGTGTTTTGCTTTTTAAAAGCTGCAATGGGCAACGAACGCCATCCATTAGTTACATATCACAAGAACAAATCAAAGACATTGGTGGAACTGTTGAATTAGACTGCAGTGTTCAATATGCCAGGGAGTACACCGTTGTGTGGATTAAAACTGGAAGAAGTCATTCAGATTATGTCTTCTTATCAACTGGATCATCATTAGTGATCAAGGATTCGCGCTTTGCACTCCGTTTTGATGGAGCATCTTCGACTTACACACTTCAAATTAAAGACATCCAGGAGACGGATGCTGGAGTTTATCAATGCGAAGTTGTCTTATCTGTTAATAACAAGATCACTGCAGAGGTTGAATTATCTGTTCGCCGTCCGCCAATTATCTCAGATAACTCTACCCAATCACTTGTAGCTTCAGAAGGTCAATCAGTTGTTATGGAATGTTATGCATCGGGATATCCAACGCCTACAATTATTTGGAGACGTGAAAATAATGCTTTATTACCAACAGGTGAGATGAAAATAATTCTTATGAGTCATCATGTGAATGTTCTAGAAGATTCAGCAGAATTCCCTCTAATTAACACACATCATCAAACATTGTTTACATTGTGATCTGAATCAAGACCGAGAGAAGTAATAACAAAGAAAAGATTTCTTTAAAGTGGTTTATAATCTTTTCGTCGTTTTCTGCTAAATTAAACATTCAGACGTTGATAAAATTTGTTTTGAATTTTTTTAATAAATTTTTTTTTCTTTCTTCTAGGTGGAAGCACATACAATGGAAACGTCATGAAGATCACGTCAGTACGTAAAGAAGATCGTGGAACATATTATTGCGTAGCTGATAATGGAGTAAGCAGAGGTGATCGAAGAAATATCAATTTGGAAGTTGAATTTTCGCCTGTCATCACAGCCCCACGTCCACGACTTGGTCAAGCTCTCCAATATGACATGGATTTGGAATGTCATATTGAAGCTTACCCGCCACCAGCAATCATCTGGGTTAAAGACGACATAATTCTGTCAAACAACCAACATTACAGCATTTCCCATTTCGCAACTGCTGACGAGTTCACTGATTCCACACTTCGTGTCATTACAATTGAAAAACGTCAGTATGGAGATTATAAATGCAAAGCTGTTAATAAGCTTGGGCAAGACGAAGCAAAGATTCATCTCTTCGAGACGGTTATTCCAGTTTGTCCCCCAGCTTGTGGTCAAGCTCATTACAGCTCAGGAAAATCATTAAATGGATCATCAATCACAGCATCATCTCTTGCAATTTTAATTGCGCTCGTCTATGCATTCTTTAAAAAGTAATTTCTACTTTGACAATTTTTTCTAAGAAAACTTTTCCGTCCCTTTTTGTCTGAAACATTCCGATAATTATAATTATAGATCTGTCTTATCTAAGTAATCTCGAAAGTGTCTTACACAGAAATTTTAATTGTTCAAACCGCCTTAATTATAAGCCTTAAATTAGACGTAATTTTTCTCTGTGAAATGATTGAAATTATATTATCAAATATTTTGACAAATGTAACGAAATATGACAAAATAAATTTTTTAAACACAAATTCATGACTTCTATTATGGTGCAACTCGACGTCAATACCTAGTTGATCTATTTTTAATGAAGTTTCATGGACTCATTAATTACTAAAATTTTCAAATTTTCTGACCTGCAGCGGTTTTGACGATGCAATTCTAAGAGTAATTGGAATTGGTTTATCAATGATTTAAAATGTGTCAATTTTATCAATTCATATTTTGCATGGCAATATTTTCAAAATGTTCTTCAAAGAGTCCAAAGATCTAATTTTACAAACTAAATCACGACGTCAAAAACAACGCAATGCGTAAACAGAAGATACAAGAAAAGCGTTTTGTCAATTAAAATATTTGGGGGAATTTTCAGACGATGTTTATACTTTTTTTCGTATGCTGATTCATTACAACAACAGAGAACTAAACATTTCTTTTATAAAGTAAAATTAGATGAATCTCAGTTTAAATGATTTAATTTTTAACGTCTGTTTTATAGGTAATATATTGAAGAACTTTTTAAGTGGCTTTATCAGACCAATAAATTGTCTGATAAAGCTGATTCATTGGTCTGATAAAGCCACTTAAAAAGTTCTCAGTTTAAAGTTAGACTTCGGACACGACTCAATCTTATTGGAATATTTTCATTTCTAACGAATTCAATGGCAGATTTTTTCAAAGGTGTAATGTTTGTGGCGACTACTCCATTTCGAGTTGTAAAGGAAGTGGCAACACATACAGTAGCTGGAGCTGCCACTGGGCTTATCCTTGTGGGGGGGGGAATAGCAAAACTGATCGACGACGATGGTGATATAGATGTGGAAGAAATTTGGAACGCAACAAAAAAAGTAACCGAAAAAGTTGTTGATATTTCCGTAGATGTTGCAGTTGTCACAACTGGAGTTGCTGCAATAGTTAGTACTGGTATGTTTCTTCAACAGTCTTAGTTTTGAAAGAAACTTAAATTATTGAAAAAATTAGGGGGACTTGCAGCGGCAGCAGTACCTGCAGGTATTGCTGGAATGTGTAAATCAGGATCTTCACTTAACTCTTCCTTTGAAAAGGCTATTGATTACCCAGAAGAAGATATGGACCATCTTTTAATTGCTGTTAACACTATTGGCCTCATTGGAGGTTCGGCGGGACTTCTCTCCAAAGCAGCGAAAGCTTCTTCAACTACAAAAATCGTTCTTGAAGCTGTTAGTGATGGCACGAAACTTGGAACGTTGCCATTCAAAAATCCAGTCCTTAAGTTCACACCAGAATATGTCAAAAAAGTTAAGCAAATGGACGATGCTGAATTAGCTGAAGAAGCAGCTAAATTTGGCTTGACTGTCGCAAATTTCTTGCTTCAAATGGAAAAGGCAATTTCAATCTTAGACTCTTTTTAAAGAAAAAAAGTTACTTTTGATCACTTAAAATTTACAGTTTGTTATGTTTGTATGTATCTAACATCGATTTTTCATGCCATTATGAACCAAAAATTAAACCAAACTTATGAGATCATCAATTGTACCTTCACACCAATTTGAACAATAAAATGATTGCTCAAATATGTCGTGAAATCTTTTTACCGATGATGAAAAGTACTGAAAAATTATTTTTATAAATGAATAATTTAAATGATTTTTTTTGTGATAAAAAATCTAAAACAGGAATGGGAAAAATAAACACTAGGAAAAAATCATTTGGAACTGATTAAAACAAGCTCAAATACTTCGATGCATGATTTTTTATTTCTTTCAAGCGTCAACTTATCCTGGTTGATAACTACGAAATTAGTAAAAACTTTCTGCTAATAAAATATTTATTAGGAAGTTTAAAGTGTTAATGGCCAATAAATTTGTCAAGTGTTTAAGGAATGTTTTGCTTTTTTCTTTTAATTATGCTGTGATTTTGTGAATCAACACTGTAGAGAACTAAATTTAGAAATAATGTTGAGTAAAATCGTCAATTATTTATCACTCAAACTGAGTAAATTCATTCTGAAAAATATTTGTTAAATTTCAAGCTATCATCTCGTATCTCGATAAATTCTTTTATCAAATATTTTTTGGGTTTCTGCCAATTTTCTTATTGTTTTGTTTCAATATTTTTTCTTGTTCGTTCTCTTTATCAGAATTTCTGCGAGAGAGTTGAACGAAACATTTAATCAAACTTATTGATGTCGATGTGTGAAATTACTTCCGGTATTTATATATTTACGTGATTTTAAATTACAATTCGGTTTTATATTGCAGACAATGATTCGCAAAGTGTTGATTTAAATTTGGGTTTGTTCCTTTTTTTTTTTTATTAAAACCTTAAAATGATAGACAATGAGTCCGTAAATGAAAGTTTTTCATTTTTATTCAATTGATGTCATATTTTATTCCATATGAATAAATAAATTTGATAAAGACTGTTTTTAAATGAATTTCATTTATTAAGTAAAAGAAGATGAAGAAAATTAGTCGTCGAAAGATATTTCATTAAAATTATTTCATAGATATGTTGAAACTTGTAAAAAAATGAGTTAAATGACCAAATCAAAGTCACGTTTCATTTATCTCTTCTTGTATCTTTATTTCTTAAGGTCATTCAAGTAGTTGTAATAATGTTGTATGAATTTCTAAACAGTGAACAAAATTGACCTTTATTCTTAAGCTTTGCAATTTAATTAAATTTTTACTGCAATGATTGAGTAGTTACGAAAATGTGAGGTCGTCAATACAATTTGGCTTTATTTCTAAAGAAATTTTCAAAGGTTTATCGATAGATGGATTACCGCCAACTGTTATATATCCAATGAACTTTGTGTAAAATTTAATAAACAAAGAAAGCTTACATGAATACGTGCATTTGATGACGTTTGTTTACTTACAACGTACACGTATCAAGGAGAAAAAAACATCTGAAAAACCGAATAAATGTTTCACGTTTATAAAAAGAAAAACAATTGTTAAAATTGAGTTTAACTTTGTTTAAAAACCACACGCGAGAACAAAATCAATTATATATACAGTCATCAGCTGTTGCAACTAACAACTCAACTGCGCATGTAAGAGAGACAATTGTTTCGAAATAATTTATTTGAGAGATAACACAGAACATTTAGTCGAGCGGAGCGTTTATATCCGTTCAGTTCTGCACGTTATTCGCGCTGTAGTTGAAAAATAATTTTGAATAGTATTAAGTTGCCTAAACAAAACTTATGACATTATTTAACAATTTTTGAAAGCAGTGCCACTAATAGAGTTTAAAAACCAAATTTAAGCTTTCCATTTGCAGCGAAATATTGCGGTAAAGTGAATAAGAAAATTTTTATTGATTTCAACTTTCATAGTGAAAAAGTACGCAAGCTCTTGAGCTTCTTTCTTGTTCAATTAATATTCTTTCACTATATTTCACAAAGTTCCTTTAATTTTAATTTTTAAATGTTAAGAAGTTGCAATGACGAGACGAAGGTTTTAAGTTAGTGACGAAGTGTAAATGATTTGAGTAAATTTATCACTCGATTTATATGCTTTATTTTCATGGTTATTTTGTTCAGAATTACAACATCTTGTCTGCAAATGCCGACTTAATTTTATTCAAATTCAATTTAAAGATATGAACTCATTTCAGGCATCAATAAATATCTACTAATAGCAAATTAATATAAGAAACTGAATACGATGAAAGAAATTCAAAGAACATTGAAGTTGCACAATTTTTTCTCATTACAAAACTTGTAAAAAAAATTCTGAAAATTATTGAAAGCTTTCAAATCGTTTAACAAAGTTTTTTGCAAACTAATTGATTGAAGATATTGAGAATGAGTGAAAGAAAGAAGAATAAGTTATTGAATCGCCACGTGTTCAGCGATGAAGAACTTGAGATTCCTGTAAGTATTTATTTAAAAATATATTTTAATGTATTCAATAAATATGTACAAAGTTACAAACATATTTTTGTACATAAAAGCATATTCAATAGCATTAAAGGGGAAAGAAAAGCTTTTTTCATTGTGTATGCAAACATAAATTTTAACGCTTGAAAATGGATATTTCTTGTTATGGTTATGTTAATATTTGAATAAAAAGTTACTTTAAGCAGAAAAGCAAACAATTATCCTTTTCACACATAAAATATCTCCCAATGCTTCAAAGTATATGAAAATCGATGGACTGATGTTCAGTACAAATTTCATTTACATTCGTCACACCTTAATAAATAACCCAAGAGGGTCGGATCAGTTAGAATTTGGTGTATATAAACATAAATTTATGATTTATAAATACCTACATTGCCATTAACTTTGTGAATCAAAAATATATCAACGATTCTCCGTAATTCTGTTATGATTGAATAACATCCTAATTAATAAACGTTCAGATCGTCGTCAGGAAAATATTTGTCTGCCGGCGAGCTATTTGAAAGCATTTTAATAGAAAATCGATATGATGCTTCAGATCTGGGGATTTTTTACGCAACGATGATTGAGATTTGCGTAAATTTCTCAAATTCCATCCTTAGCTTTTTCTTTTGAAAGTCGTCTAAATATTATTGCTTTTATCAGCAGACGTTTTTTTATTTTACTTCTCTTCGAAGGTTTACTTTATGGAGTTTTTGCGCGTAAATACTTAAAATGTAAGGGACAAAGCTTTCTTCGTTCAAATATATGTTGACTCCAATTCTGATTTTCTTAAATCAGATTCACTTACGGCTACTATTAAAGCTTGGTAATAAATTGAAGTCGTTGTATCGAATGCTTCTGCATATTCTAGAGAATGTTCAAGACTGTCAATATCTGAAAGGAATTCCTAGGATGAATAAATAATTTAAAGGAAAACTATTCAAGCTTACTATTCTCTTGCTGAAACTCGTGATTATGATTGAAATCTGTTTCAATCGAGACAATTGAGTCTTGTCTTGAAGGTATCTCTGCGTAGATGTGACAACCGCTAATTGAATTGCTGAACTCGTCAATACTTTCATATAAATGTAGACTAGGATTGTAAGTATGTGAATAACAACATTCGGAGTGGCTTATCATGTCTGAATCACATTCAGTGTCACGGCTATTGATTGAATCGTGAAACTTTGAAGAACTCAAAATATTTCTCCTGGGAAAATATGCGGGTGTGTAAGCATTTCGATTTGAACGAGAGGAAGATGATTGATTGACGGCACTTTCAAGATTCTTTTGGATAAGTTCCGCTTTGAGTTTCCTTATTCGACGAAAATGATAGGAAATCAATGCTAGAAGAAGGAAAAATAGGAGAATCATGAGAGATGTCTTCCAACTGACAATAACTTTGACAACGATTCCACTCAAAAATAATTCCAGTTCATCGATTTTATTTGTTTGATGAATTGTGATCATCGATTCTGTCGTGGAATCTAAAGAAGTAAAGTTAAAAGGTCGCTTAATGATGACAACTTTTGAAATTTTCCCTTTTGTTGGGTGTGACTGGGAGAGTGATGTGAATGACCTACTAGGAACGTCGGTTGACATTTCAGGGGTGATAAATTCATTCAATTCATTTCTTGGGAATGAATCTTCTGTTGGCAATTTCATTGTTATGTTATGATTGTACTTTTCTGTAAATATTTGTGACTCTTCCGTTTCGGGTAAGAAAGTTGTCACATCAATTACAACTTTAGGAAGTTCCGTTCCCATAGGCTGTGGTTGAGAAGAATCAACAATTTGAATCGTTGATGTTTCAAGTTGTATCAAGGGAATGTTTACATCTGTTGCTGTTGTTGTTGAGATGTGTTCTGTTGACAATAAATCTGTTTCGGTCACGTCTAACATTTCATTAATTTCCAAACTACTTCTTGTGTCCGAGAAAGTTGTGCCATCGATTATTTCAAAATCTTCTTCATTTTCTTTCTCGTTAGTTTCATGAGAAGTCATTTCTGAAGCGTCTGAAAACTTTACTTGATATTCCGTGCCACCAAGCGAGTTTCTTACTTGAAGCGTGTAATTTAAAAGCGTGTCTGCATGAGTCAAATTGGATATTTGTAGAACTGCTCTCCAGTTATTGTTGCCTAAGGAAGTTATTTCTATCGATTGACATTTGTTAGCTTTTGTTCCGTAGTAGATTTTCCTGTTATCAACAATCCATTTCAGCGTCGAAGGTTTTGGATTCGAACGAAAGTTTATTGTGACGTCAAAAGACTTTCCAACTTCATAACCATTAATAAAGATTATTGGAAGTTTTAATGGTTTGTAAACGACGCTAAGTTTCAAAGAATCTTCAAAAGACTCGACTTTATGTCCCGAATGAAAAGATTGACACATCAATTTCTTTCCATCATCATCAGCTGTGATGTTTAGTTGAATGAAAGAATATAATGTCGATTCGTTGCCAAAAACATTGACATCTTCGAACTCAAGTGCACTTTCAATCATCTCATCATCTAAAAACCATAAATTTTGTGCTGGCGATGAACTATGTTTTGACATACAAACTGCATTCAATTCCATGCCAGCTTCCAAGACATATTCGTTGAGAATCTTAATTTCAGGCGGTTGTGCAAATATTCTCGGTTCGTTGTACTCAACGTAATCAATTTCAGAACTTACATTATCGAATTCGTTCTTCACGATTTCGTGAGCAGTCGTCAAAAATGAAGTCACTTAAAACAGAAGACGAAAAAAAATTTAAATATTCAAAACGAAATGTTAAATAGTCTTCAAGGCCGCACCAGTTAACAGAAACACTGATATAAAGCTTTGTTTGCCTCTAAAGATTTGCCACTCTCTGAATCTCTTTGTTACTTGCATTTCTGTGGTCTTAACATGTTGCTTTAAGCAGTAAAGTTCTTATTAGCTTTCGATTAATTAAAGTTAAGAAAAAAATAAAAACTCAGAAATTTTCTGCTCACTCACTCCGAAGATACTTTTTATACTAATCAAGTTTTTATTTTGGGAATATATTTGACAAAAGTTATAGCGCGTTAGAAAACAAAAACAACTGTTATGATTGCTATAGTTCAAGGTAACTGTCTAAAAAGTGGAAACACGTCTTCTTCGTATATCTTTTTATAAAATGTTATCGTGTGTTGTAAACGTGAGAATTTTATATTAACACTGTGTGGTGATTGTTCACGTGATTTTACTTTCCATGATTGTTGTGAGAAGGAATGAAAGTTGCAATGAATTTATTTAAAATAGTCTTAAATAAGTAGTGTAATGGGTCGTTCAACATTAATGGTATGTTAATAATGTATTGAATTCATGACACACAATTAAATGTCATGTTAACAAGAAGCGTGGTTTTGTGGGTTCTCCATGACACATTAAAATAAGAAGTAAATAAGTAGAAAAGGAAATTATCATCAAAGCCAATAAAGGGTTGAAGTATTCCTATAAACCATGGGGTTTAATATGTTTGTCAACCTTTAACGTTCTTATTTTACGTCGAGACAGTTGAAAAACACTTGGGAGTCATGACAAACAACTCTTAATTTGTCTCAACCCTCTTTTGATAAATCGATACGTTAAGTCTGCAAGGGTTGAATATAACTTACTTTCATTATGAAATTAATATCTTTGACAATCAGAAGCATCAAAGTGTATTGAAAATTAGGATGCTTTTGTCAAAGTTGAAACATCTGAAAATTAATCAAATTTTTTTTCGCTCAGATTTCACAGCGGGAATATTTGAAAATAACATTTAATTAAAATTTTGCCAAAGGCTTTCAAAGCACTAATTAAAAACTTCGAAAATGAAAATTTAATAATTAAATTAAAGGGGAGCTATGAAAGCAAAAAACTTGATTGTATGAATGTGAACAAGATGATGTTTGATGATGAAAGAGGTTAACATGAAGACAATATAAAAACGTTCGTTTACTGCGTTTATCAATGCTTTGAATAAGAAAATTAATTATGAGATTGATATCAAGCTTTAACCCCAATAAACATTTTTTGTTCAAAAAGAAGTGATGTAACTTAAATAGTTATGGAAATCATCTTGAGTGGCTTCACTCATGTCAGTCTCTCTTAAGCGTTTGTTTAAACAAGATCAATTTTGGATACGAGAAAATGTTGAAGTTTGTAAGTCTGCAAGTTTACTTTACATATAATTATATCAAATTAAAGTTTAATTACTTTTTAAGATGATTATAATTTCTTTAATTACATCAATGGTAATTTGCGCCTCATTGGGAGATAATCCAGAGATTGTTCGATATGAATACGAAAATTTGCCTGATAACGGTTATCGATATTTGTATGAAACAAGTGACGGTCAATACAAGGAAGAAAATGGTTCATTAAAAACTGTCGGAGATCAACAAATTTTGGTAGTTACTGGTCGTTATTCTTATACTGGTGATGACAATGAATTGTATGAAGTAACATACACAGCTGACGAAAATGGTTTTCAACCATCAGGGAGTCATTTACCAGGAGCAGAAGCAGAAGGTCTCGACTTTAAAGTTGATACTAATTTACTTAAAAGTTTATTAGGATAAGTTATGTAATCAAATAGGTAGAAATAAAAGAAATGAGAAAGACCCTTAACTAAGCTATTTATCTTCTTAGGTGTATTCATTTGGAAATTATTTGCATGACATGAAAAAAGCTTTTCTGAAATTAATTGATGAATAAATTAATAATTGTGAAATCATTTAAAACTCAATGCTGCTTAAAATAAAATCACTCAATTTAACTTGAAGATTCTTTTGAATTTCATTTCAGCCTCAGGCACAAGTACTTGAACGTGTAAAATCTGATCGCATGATTGCATCAGCAAGCATTGATGAAGATAGACGAAGACGAACAATAATTGTTGAGAAAAAGAACGGAAGTTACGGATTTACGCTTCAAAGTTATGGAATCCATTATAAAAAGGAGCATGAAGTGGAAATGTTGACATATGTTGATTCTGTCGAATACGATGGTGCAGCTTACAAAGCAGGGATGAGAGAAGGCGATGTGATATTATCAATAAATGGAACCGATATGGAGAATACAGATCATAAGACTTTAGTCAATTTTATTAAGAGTTGTGATAGCAGGTGAGAGTTTGTTCGTCCATTTCTTATCCCTAATTCATTCAACTTCTTAAATAATCTTTCAGAATGAGAATGGTCGTTCTTTTTGAAAATTGCGTACGTAAAGTTGAGCTTCACATTCGTTACATTCAACTTCAAGAAATTCTCCAAAATAAGATGAATGAACTTGAGAGAATTTGTATAAAAGAGAAAGAGTTATTAGAGGGTAAATGGAAGACTCACAGTTTACCAGCAAGGAAAAAAGTATCGACTGAAGCATCTGTGGAGTCACAAACGTCGCCTTCTGAATTAGAAGGAACTGCTTTACCATTCAACAGACCGCTTTCAACAGAAGATGTTGCAAAGCTTTCGAAACAAACAAATCCCATTATTCCACCACCAGCTCAATTCATTTTAGCTTATCAGGTAAATTTATTAAATTATCATTTGACAATAAATTCAATTTTATCCTTTCAAACAGTACATGGATCCACATCAAAAATATATCATCCGGTCATCAACATTAAACAGCAGCGGGGAATATTTAGTGTCAGATGTATCGACGTCATCATTACCACCTCATTCTCATAACAGTAATTCTTCAGTATCGAAAACTGATAATAATTCCCATTCGAGTTTAACGATGCAACAGAGTCCATCACAGCGTGTGCAAGTCGTGCATCATCATCACCATCATGCGCCTGAAGGGTCATCAAACGATGTTGTCACGTCTCATCAGCATTTAAATGAACAACAGAGTCAAAAGATATCAAAAACACGTCGACATTATCATGGACGATCATGTAATCCTTGTGTTGGAAATTTGATTTCAAAACATGATAAAAATGTTGATAAAGACAACACAAGTCTTGATGCCTACGATTTAGCAAGTCCGTGTTGTGATCCACATTGTGTGCCAGTTAAAAGACGTTCAAGACATCACAAAGATCATCATCATAAACATAAACATCGTGAAAAAGACAAGGAACGTCCACCTAGACCAAGATCTCAATCTCATGCAACACCACAAATGCAAACAGCTCACATTCATTATGCTGATGGCAGTTTAAATCAAGTAAAAATTATTCTTTATTTATATTTATAGAAGAGATTTCATTAAATCATGCCGAATATTGCTTTTAGGATTATCATGCCAATAATCATTTTGACCTTAGTAAACAGCTTGCAAACTATTGTGGTTTACGCTCATGTAATTCTAATAATTATTGCCAACAAACATCACATGTCTCGACAGCATCTTATCCATCGTCATCTTCTTTCAGTACTGATACATTATGGGATCCAAAGAGTGAACCAAATACTTGTCAGAACTATAAACAACAAATGGGAACTTCACCATTTTATCAGCCAACTGGTTCAACTAATCATCACTATGTTCAGCATTATATTCATCCAAGTCAAGTGCAGCCTATGCAAAACTCTATTGCAACAACTCAGGCTTATATTAAACCACATTATAATTCAAAGCCTAAATCGTGGGATAATTTAGCGCCTGGTAAAGATTGCAGTAATTATGTGTTTGGTCGTAATGCGGTTGATAATAATCCTTCAAATATTCGTTATGTTGCATCTGATAAGAATATTTCCAAAGGCTGTGCACCACCATTGCCTAGGAAAGCTGGTCATGCACCTTATGGAAGATATTCAGCATTTGCCAATGTCGAAAATTATGTGCCAGCACCACAGCAATATGTGCAAGAAGCAACAATTACAAAGACAACAATCATCACTACAAGATCTACTGAAAATCTCATGAACAACGCACAGCACAATATATCTGATGAATGTATCCCTCAACAACCATCAACGAAACAACCTAAATCGGCTGGTCATACAAACTGCATGGTTTGCAACTTTTCTAATCATAGTTCTAATGCTTACGAAGGATATTATTCTAATCTTACCAGAAATAATAGTCATGGCATGATTCCTACGAAAACTGAAGTCACGCGTTTGTGAGTCTACACAGACTTCCTTTAAATCATGATAAGTGAATATGAGCGACAGTAAAAATTATCATATTTGATTAGTAATGATTATCAGTCAGTTCTCATGTTTTTAGATATAATCTGATTAAGTGTATTAAGCTTTAAAACTGCTGCCAAAAAATTTCAATTTTAATTGATTTAACATAACATTCATTCATTTAAAGTTGATTCTTTATTAAGTTGCTTCCAATGTTTCAAATTGATGACATTATGGGGACAATACAATAGATAATTTTTGAGGGAAAGGCTAATGGATTAAATATATCTGAAATTTGATGTAAAACTAAACTATCTACTTAAACATTTACTTATTTTATTTAGATAAAAAAATGATAAAAATTTGTGATGATGTTTTCTTTCTCTAGATTCAAAGTGAAATTGAATGAAATGATTTATGTTTTGTAGATAATACTGGCCGCTATTAAAAGAGCGTTTTATCGAGAAACTCATTCGATACTTAAATATAAACAATTGCTTGTATTTCTTCTACATTGTAGACGAATACCTGTTAAAGGTGATTTGTAATCAATCATTAGAAATGCTTTCATATTTCTATGAATGTAATTTGATGCGGTTTACAAATCGAATATTTGATAGATAAATAGTCATCGAATAATAAAATACTTAGAATAAATTCATACGAAATAATTTACTTTGGATTTCTAATTATATAAGTTAATAACAGGAAGGAATATGTTGTTGTTGACAATGACGCACAAGATATACATTTCGATAAAATGTTGTCTCGCATTGTCCACATTTAAATGGAGGAAGAAATGAGATTCTTCTGTGATTTGTCTTCTGATGAAATAATAGTTCAGCATTACATGAAAATTTCACTTGACAAAAGTTACATTGGAAGCGTTCAGCTGTAAGAAAAAGTGGACGAAAATCTGAAGTTTTTAATGCTGACTTCCAGTTGCTTCCAATTGAATTGTCAAATTCATCACATTGGTTGTCACTGTCATCGAGACAAGTTATCGGTGTGCTTGTGATCATTTGATTTGCTGATCTGTTTGATAATTTACAAGCCTTTGTTCGTAATTTCTTCTTAATTTTGCTATTGATTGGCGAAGGGCTATTTTTTGATGTACAGAACAGCCAGGATTTCTTCTTTTTAGGTGGAGTTTCTAAAACAAAATTAGACTCTTTCTTGCTACTCTCTTGACTATTTTGTGGTGAAGCTTTAAGAGGAGGCAAATCAAATCGCAATTTTCTCCGTGCTGATGATGAACGCTTTAAAGAGTTGATTGTTCGATGAAGGGCTGCAGACTGAGGAGATGAAATCACAATTTTTCCCGAATATGGTGTTCGCTTTAAGATGCTTCTTGGTTGTGACACTGGAGTTGAATTAACACTACCCAAATCACGTTTGAACTTTTTAATGCTATCACAAGTATCTAAATTATCAAATAAAATACTTAGACATGGAGAGCAGTCTAGGAATTTTACACTTGGTTCGTTCTGATTTTCCTTGTCTTTTTTATATTTCTCAAAATTATTTGCCGAGTTGAGCCAAGCATCTAATAAATCCTTGCCATGTGAAAAATGAATGTGCTTCGGAATTAGATTAGAATAATAGAACATTGCCCGACAGTATGGGCAGTGGAATTGCTCAACGGGCCATGAATCAAGTTGTTCAATCTCCGAGCCATGTCTTCGTTCTAAATGTTCTCTCATAGTGAAATCGAACAAATATTCCTCAGAACAGAAAGGACAAGTAAGAAGATCTTTTGCAAATTTTTTGATGAAATCATTATTTTCCTTTTCTTTTTTGACGTCCTTATTCTCTAAAGATAACTTAACGCTTTCCTTTTGTTGATTTTCCATTACTAAAGTTTCATTTATATTTTCCTGAAAAAGAGATTTGAAAAGAATAATGTATGCCATAAAATGAAACAAAAGTACGATTTAACTACCTTTATTGAAGAATAATTACTATTTAATTATTACTTATTTTCCCTTTACACATCATACAAACGATTAGAAATAAATATTAGAATATTCTTAAAAATTCTTTATACATTGACCGTTTACTGTTTAACTGAAATAAATACCAGCGGCGTCGCTGAAAATTTGAATTCGAAGAAGGCGTTAAAAATTCATTTACCAATTTAGTCACAATCGATTGAAACGCTGAAAGCAAAAGACTTGATGATAATGGAAAACCGTTTTTAATATCTTTTTAATGAGAACAAAATCAATGTATTATGGCCATTGAACAAAACATTCTCTTTATAATAAATAAAAATTTAAAATAAATTTTTAAAATTATAATCACATAAAATGGCATTGATCTAATAAAATGTTGACATTCCATTCTTTCCTTCTCGTAAGTTGTCCATTATTTTGTTCCGAATCTGCTAACTCCGTTTTTAAAATGTATATCAAATTCATGAAATCATCACTTCAAGGGGTTCATAATATTGTTGTAGTTAAATTTATCTTCAGATATCTAAGGAAAAAAACAATTAATATATTTAACTTTCTTTATGTTGGTTCTTCTTGAGGATCGTGAGAGATATTTTCGCAGCTGTTTGTACTTTAAACATACTCCCAGTACTTTGGTTCTATAAGGCTCTAATCTAATGCTTACAGCAGTACATAATCTTAAACCTAAGAGATACAATAATTACAAATAACATAAGATAGGAGACGACCCACTACATCCATGAGATTCGCAGTTGGCCACTTATGACTAAGCTTTGGCTAATGTCGTCGAGTGATGAAATCTGTTCTAACATCAAGCGATTCATTTGAGATAAATAATTCACAAAAAATCGCTACACAGCCTCTTCAGCATGTGTTTGCCGCACAAACAGCAAGGTGACATTTCTGAGTCATCATCTTAATATTTCTTTATAAAAATGCTGAAATAATATAGAATAGAAAGAAAAGGAATGAGAAAAGAAAGGAAAAAGAAAGTTTGAATTAGGTATATAAAAACTAATTTTATTAAGAATTTATTAATTAGGAATAACATAGGATAAGAGACGACCTACTATATCCATGAGGTCTTCTATCTGATCACTCATGGCCAAGCCTTGGTAAATATCGTCAAGGGATGAAATCTGGTTCAGCATCAGGCGATTCATTTGAGTTAAGTAACTCAACACATTACACAAGCTGTTTCACCGCTTCTTCAGCCTGGTCAGTTGTAGCAAAAGTTTGCAGTGGTAGGTCATCCAAATCATCCAGAATAATGGAATCAGACTCGGATAGTTCCAATTCTTAAAAAAGGTCCAATAAAGATGTAGATGGGGACCACTGTGGGAAGACCTCTTCCACTTCTATCTGGTTGATTGCCTCCAAGGCTAAATCAGCTCCATAGACGTCATGCTCAGGAGAAAGAATGGGAACAACTCCTTCAAGCCCATCAACAGAAAAAGTCTCTTCGTCGGTCGCCATTTAAAATAATAACTAACATAAATCAATAAGCATAATTACCTTTATATAGGCCTTAAAGTTACACATCAGCATAAATGTGCACTGATAACGTCAAACGTTTAAAGATCAAGGTACAATCCATTAAAGTAGTCACTAATCAAAAAGTGTCAGATGTAAATTAAGACTCTCACATACCTGTATGGAATAATACGTAAATTAAAAACATCTCGTATATCCGCTGGGAGTATGTTTGAAAAAATAAACAATGTCATTATATGAAGTAGCAAATGCAGTGAAAAGTGTTAGGTTCGTGCTACAAAAACATGGCAATAAAACTTGGTTGGGCATGTCGCATCAGGAATTGCAGTTTGGCCGCTAAATCAAATTGGAAACAGAAAAAGATATTAAAGAAACTATTGTGAAGTGGCCTGGGAAAGTCAAATGTGTAAATGGCGCCAAGGTCAAGACATTTGTGAAAGAGTTTTTACTTTACTATCAGTATATATTCAAGAGGAAACTAAACCAGCCGGTTTCGCTAACCTAGGAGAATATATAAGTGACATCATTCTAGAAATGGGAATGATGTGGACCGAGGTTCGGCAGACTAAATTCGCGTGCAATTTACGAAAAATAGAACACCTAGAAAATTTCAATCTCGACAGTTGGACTTGCACGGTGTGTGAAAAAGAAAATGATATGCTTTATGACAATAGCAAAGATTTTTTCAACTGGTCCATTCTTGTTATATGCAAGACAGCGGTCAGCAGCTCATCCCCATTATGCTGGTTAAATGAGCATAAGGATACATGGACAAGGAAACCTGTTTATATAATCAAGGCACTCCACCTCAAATGTGTGGGGACGGTTGCAGATGGATTTGAAAAGCCAAATTGTTTCTACTGTGGGTGGTGGAAGGTGCAAAGGGAGTTAAGAGAGGTCGAAGCGATGATTTCTTTTATTCATAGATTCGCAAATGCTTAAATTTTTGATTTTTATATTATGTAATCAGAGTCTTATAAAGTTTAAAGTTTTTGGAGGCATCGTAATGACTTCTTGTTGTCATAGGTTTGCCAATTTTAAGTCTTTTTCCCCATCCCAAACTCTTTACCTTACAAAAAAACTTGTATTCATATATTCATATATTCATATATTCATATATGTTCTTTCAACACTTTTTGCTAGCGAAAATTTCCCATATAGTCAAGTTAAATATTTAGAATAAGGATCTTAAAAAGAATAAGAATTTTAAAATTGATTTTTTTTATCATTTCTGAATATCATTTTATTAGTTGAATCGTTCGCCGGGGTGAGAATTTTGGAAACGATTATTAGGTCATAAATTATGAAATAAATATTAAGCAAATAAATATTAAGCAAAATTGTTGAACGATCACATTCAATTGTAAATACAATCCGCTAAAATTCTGTTCATTAATGGATTAAAAAAAAACTATAAGAGCTTAAAAAAGTGAAAAGTGCTTCAAAAAGTCAAACGAATGTGCACAGAAAATCTCATGTTACGGTGAGATAAGCTGACATTCCGTTTAAATTTGAATCGGCAAGACAGTGAAAATGTTATAAAAAAATTCTTTATGAACAATTTGAAACGATTTTTCCGATGTCTGAAAGTGAATTGGATACTTAAATAAGTAACCTATATATTTAAGTGTACATAATTTCAAGACGGTGGGTAAGGAAGAGAAACAAATGACGGTTGATGACCATAAAGGTTACTTTAGTTGGCCTACGGATTGTGCTTTGTGTGATAATCCGGTCAAACGATCAACAAATTAAAATTATCTAATCATATTCTATTTTCTTGTTGTTTCTTAGCTTGTCTCTCGTTATCGTGGACCATGGAAATGACACCGTTGTAATCGGGGGTACACGTCTTTTCAAAAACTATCAATATGCCATTTTTTGTATCCAAACCATTAAACATTTCTTATGACAACGAAGTTTTACAAACTGCCTTAGCAATATTAGGAGAAACATGTGACGAAATCCAACCTGAAGACGAGCTTAAACAATACTGTCAAGAGGAATTATCCAACATTGAAGAGGTAACTAAGAGTAGGATGTTGGCAATCATCAATCAGTAACGTAGATTCAACACGTGATTAATTTTGCATAATTGATAAGTTTATTTTGTGGCATTAACAATAAGTATGAAAAATGTATCAAATGCCAGAAAAATTATTAATAATGCATGAAAAGTGTGTCAATTATTAATTCAAATGTAAATTTCATAACTTACATAAGCATTTATTCAGAATTTTGTATTCAATTTGATTAGAACAGTCAAACATGATCAAAGTAAAATCTTTACATTTCAATTGTTTTTCATAACGCAAATTCAATATCAAATTATTAAGTTTAAAACAGATAAAATCAAAAGAAATTGGTTTCATTTTATTAAATTCTCATTATAGTTTAAAATTTTTTTAAAAAAACCACCAAGTTGTCAAAGGGGAGAATTTCCTTCAGGAGTTCTGTAAATCAGGCATTAAATTAAGAAAAAAATATTACCTAAATTACAGTGAAAATATAAATTGCAAAAATGGAATTGAACGCTATTGTGCTGCTAACTGATTTATATAAAAGTCTAGAAAAAAGTTTTGAAAATTTTATTGTTAATTTTCTAGCTTATACAGACAGTGAAATTGCATTGGAATGGATCAGAAATGGAAAAATGTGACAAGCATTCCACTTAAAATCAAAGTTACACATGTAAGGGCTATGACATACCAATTAATGTCACTTGATCTGAATTGGATAAGATCTGTGAGTTGTCTTACTATTTGAAATTCTTTTTCATCATTTTCTTCTGGCAGCAAAAATGAGTTTTCAGTGAATTTCTCCACTTGTATCGGAAGTTGTTCAATTGGTAAAGGTATATGATAATTATGCCCATGACCTTCTTGAATCATATGAGCGTTAGTTTGTAAGATTCTTCTTGGAGACTCTATCAGACAATCATCGGTTGAAATACTTCCAACAGGGAAGGCTAACGTAAACGTTCCATTGTCACATATGTTAACTTTAAATTCTCTTAATTGTTCCATTATTTCATCAGTGAAATGTAATATGTTTTTGTTTAACCAGAAACACGATAAGGAGATTTTTTACAGATTGGATTTTCTGTAGAAATTTATTATCTCAACTTGCCATTACAAAGATTCAAGACAGTCCTTGCTGCTGAAAATACCATCCAACATTATGCGTAAATGAACCAATAAAATCGGATTAAAATCCACTTTTATGAAATAAATTAAACCATCCTGGGGGGAGAATTTCGGAAGTTTAAGATAGTGATTTATTATGCATACGAAAATATTTCAATATAGGTATGTTGAAAATGTTCATTGTTCAAGGATAAAAAAGCGGAAGAAAGTGTTAGCAGTGGAAAGATTAATGAGCTTATTACCTTATTGATTAGTTACGACTAATTAGGTATTTAATGATTATCTAGTTGAATTTGTTTCTTTTATTTATTTATTTCCTCTCATTCAATCTCGCAAGAGAAAGGGCGGGAGGAAGAGAAAGAGTTATTTACAGAGGTAACGTTAATACTTGCTGTTGTCAGCTTTATCAGGCATTCAATGAAATAAATCAATTTGTCTATTTGTGAATAGTCACTTCTTTCCATAATTTAATTTTAATTTGATAAATTCATCACAAATTGTTTGCTTGCAATAATTTTGTTCACTCCATAGAATAATTTTAGTTCGATTTTTATAATATTTTTAATGTGCTTGCTCGCAAAGATTTTTTTTTACTTCACAAATTATTTCACTTTTAATTTTATTAACTCCTTAGAAAGGGAAATTCTTTGCCTGCGAAGCGAAATTGTTTTGTCTTGTCGTTTTTTAAACGCTGAACTTAGGAATGTGAAATACGATCAATTATTTTTTTTGTTGATAAAATGTTTCTTACTTTGTGCTTTTTTTCTGCTGTCCAACCGACAGCAGCATAAATAAAATGAACTAGGTATTTGAAAGTTTAATTACACTTTCACTGCTACATTTTACATTATTGAAGGATAATGTTAAAGCTTTAATGGAAATAAACAATTTTTTTACTAGAATTCTTATAAATGGTCTGAAATTTCAATTAGGTACCTAGTTTTATTTGATGTTAAAAAGCGACTTCACAATTGGACAATTTAATCTGAACTAAAATTTTTATTTATTTTTAACTTCAGCACTATTCGGAAGGCTTTTCTGATCAAACTATTAAACGAATTTTAAGTTGTGCAAAGTTTTCATATTTCTTATGATTTTCAAGAAGAACCAACAAAAAGAAAGCTAAAAATAATTATTTGTTTTCCTTACCCATTCATAGGTATTTCCAAAGTCCTTTGTTTTAACTTCAGGAGCAAACTTTTGAATTTTAAACTCTTTTGATAAATTGTATTAGAGTGGGTATAGAATTAAAAATATCACAACTTAGGTAGGTAGTTAAGTTGGCAGGATAACGATTGAACAACAACTAGTGCGATTTATATTCATGCACTTCTTTAAATATATTAATAAAAATAATAACTAACACTAACGTTTGAACTAAACGTTTTCTTAGCTATCATTTTATGTCATAGATTGCAATTTGCGAAGTAAACTGTTTCTTATAACATTTGAGACGCTTGTAATATGAATTGTGAAAATGATTGAAACGAGATTTATGCAGAAAGGAAATTAAAAAAACAAAAGCAACAACGAAAAGTGACGCGACAAAACAAAAATGCTTAAAGTTCTATTTACTAAATAGTATTTAGCATGAGAGTAAAGGAAAAAAAGACTGCGATTTCATGAATAATTTTTATACATTTTTTATTCAGATGTTGTAAGTAAGATTATCCAAAATAGAATTCTGTTGAAACTTTTTAGTCATGACTTGGATTTTTTCCTGTTTCACAAGAAATTGATTGGATTTTACTTGTTTGCGATGACAATCGATAATCACTTTTGATTGGAAGCAAGGGATCGGGCATCAGATAATCATTTGGTGATTCGTCAATCAAACTTTTTGAAGTGTTACTTTCTGGTTGATTATCTTTAGCCATCAATGGATCAAACTCTTCTAAATAACTTTTACTCATTGTCATAGAAGAATTTTCACCTTCTTTCGTCACTTCTTTTGCTATACTCGAATATTTTCTAATCTCAGCAATTTCTTCTGCTAAAGAATTCTCGGGACTATCGCTAAAATCAATATCATAATTAATGTTACGAATGCCTCGTATTAAATCTTCTTCAGCTGTTGACACAAGTGATTCTTCAAATGAAAGTGCTTCGTAAGGTTGCCCAAAAATCGGTGATATCGACAAGAAATCAGTAGAATTACTTGTACTGAGCGTTCCACTTGGTTTCATTTCCATTTTTTCAGAAATATTTTTAACTAAGGTTTCAAAATTCGACTCATCCAACGCTAATAAATCTTTTTTATTTTCTTCTACAATTTTTTGTTGTGTTGAAAGATTTTGCGAATGACGATTTGCTGATGATTCCGATGGAGTTGAACATCGTCTAATGTGATAATTTGATGCTCCTGACAAACGTGTGCTGACTATCGTTGGAGTTTTAATTGGTTTCTTTATAAGTGGAGCTGATTCAATAGTTGAAGCAATTTTTTTGAATATTTCATCTTTGAATTCTCTCATTTCAGCTCCGAGCAACGAAATATCATCTTCGACTCTTTGATTTCTCTCCCTCAAGTCTTTCATTATCTTCATATTAGATGAAATTAAGTTCATACTTTCACAAGCAAGTAAAGCACTTTCCCATGCTGAATGAATTTGATTTTCACCTGACATCAACTCATCAAACTCTTCTTTGGTTAATTGCACTGACTCATATGTCAAGTTCTCGATGAAGCTTATCGCGCAACATAAATTCGTAAAATAATATCCAGTTTCTCCACTCATGATCCGATTAGCATTACTGAAGCGATTAATATAATTAATATTGCTATGAAGACGAACAGGATTAGCTTTTAGAACGACAAAAATCAAAGCTGGTAGGAATTCATCAGCACTTGCTGGACCATCACATGTTTTCTTTAAAAGTGTAAAGATTATACGACATGAACTCACGATACACTCAAGTTTCTCTTGTGGCGTTGCAAACGAATCCATCGCAGCAAGTTCTGTTATTGCTGAATAAACTAAATCTCTAACTTCTTCATTCCTTTCATCGATACTACATACAAGATGTTTGGCATTTATCCAGTTCAATTGTTTCATTCGTTTCTGAATGATTTGATCTTTCTCTTCATCATCAGTCGTTTGAGGAGAAAATAAATGTTTGTAGTGATGAGTCATGATACATTTCTCGAAGAAATCAAGAGTTTGTAATTTCACTTCCGGTGGGGTATCGGAGAATGAAAGTTCTTTTGTTTCCGTAAAGTCTGCAAATCTTGTGTAACCATTTTGAATAAGTTCAGATATCCGATCAATTGGAGAACCATTGGCATAAGAACGATTAATGGATTTATCGAGAGTTTTTATCATTATTTTGAAATCTCGTTTTGCTTGATCAGATATTTTAAGAGACTAAAAAAAATATTATTATTAGCTTACTCGATAATCAACATTTTAATCTCACCTTCAACATTTCGATATGAGCCATTGAAACATGTTCCACGACACGACTTTCATTTCGATGCTGTTTCATTGAATCTTTTAAATTTTCTATCGATGTAAGATTTGTTGTCTTTTTAAAAACTTCAAGAATATTTCTCTTTTTAAATTTTTTATCCTCATTTGGTGTCGTTCCACTAGGAGCCTTGGAATGATGTTCTCCAGAGTGTTTTGATGACGTCTGGTGTTTTTTTGGTCCATGAACAATTTTCGCACGACTTTCTGGAATTTCAATGATAAATTTGCATGTAAAACATCTGTTACTTATCTTTATATTTCACATTACCTTGAGCTAATCGTTCTCTTAACAATTTGTCACGATAACATTTGCTGCAATAATACTCCCATTGTGCATTTCCATAAAATTCGCAGTTTTGTTGCTTACATTTGAGAGTACTTTGATCTATTCTTGGTTTTGGAATCGAATACATCATTTTAAGAGTCTTTTTGTGACCGTCACAAGTGACCACTGATGGTATGATGAAATTTTATTTTATTTGCAATTGTTTTGATTTTGAGTGATACAATGACGTTGAACTCGGACAATGTTTTTGGCTGAGTTTGTCCGGGATACATATTTTAAATTCGAAATGGCCGTTAATTGCGTTGTAATATTTATTTCTAAATACCTAATTCAATTTATTCAATTTATTCACAATTTCAATTAAATTACTTAACATTACTAATAATCAACGAGTCTAATGAACTAGTTGTGGTTACAATTCCACTGAGGTAGGATTGAGAACTATCCTGGAGACATTCTTATCTGACTAATCAAATGATTTTGTTTTAATTGGTACCTACTACAAAAATATATTTAGGGAAACAGAAAAGATTGGCGAGAATAGCTAAGTAAAAACATTGCTTGACACATTTGGAGAAGACTTAACTCTAATGAAGGAAAATTCTGATCATGGTTCTTGTCGATAACTTCGCAACAATCGTGATATCGTTTCAATGATTGACCTCCTTTTAAATTAACGATTTCTTCTTCTGTTTTCTTTCCAAACTTAACAATTTTAATGTCTTTAATTGGTAAAATTGGTGGGGCTGGATAATTTTTATCACATGCTTCACAATCACAAGTGAAATTGAACTCTTTAAGTAATGTCATTTGCCGAGAAGATTTTGGTTGCTTATTGAAGTTAGCTCTGTCAAAATGATTTAATTTCATTAATTAGAGAAAGCTTGATATTTGAATTTAATAATATTTAACTTACTTATAGCAGTCAAATAATTGTGAACCTTCTGCAATAGGACGACAAACAACAAGAACAACTTTTCCCTCAACGGAAACTCTTGTCACATTTGGAGCACAAGAATGATTGATTAATGAACAAAAAGGAAACCAACCACTTCCAATTGATTTTTGATGAGTCGAGAAAAAATCTAAATTTTCATTGCCAGTTTTTGTCAAACTTCCGCCAAAGATCCCGTGAAAATATTGATCATTTATCTGACATTGCTTTTGGATGAAATTTCTTATGAACTCTTGGTTTTCATTCCACATGTTTTTCAATTGTGGGTGGGTTGAAAGAATATCATCATGTGCTTGAATACAAAACTTCCGTTGACTTCGAGTTAATGAAGTCAAACATTTCAAGTAGTTTTTCGTATTTGAAACGAAACTGTCTTGCGAGAAATTATAATCAAAAACTGTTGAGTTTGTATTTTCAGTTTCAAGCATGAAATTTTGTAAATTCTCAATTGATCCGTCACAGGCAGAAAGTGCGATGAAAAATATTTGTAATGCTATGTTAACACTTCCTGATTTAAGGAGTAAATTCATGACGGGACATTCATATTTATGAAATCTCTCATTTGCTTCTTGATGACATTTATCACTGCAAAACATTACTGAAAGAATTGAAAAAAAGAAATCAAAGAAATTGATTTAAATGTTTTAATTTCCAACTTACCTTCGCAACACCCTGAGCATGGAATTAAATCTAATTGATTATCTTTCAGACAATTTCTACATCGTTGAAATTTGTTTTCTTTATCAACTTTTAGAAACTTTGATTCGGATAACAAAACGCTACAAAAAGGTTTCTCGATTGCAATGATATCGCCAACATGAAGTGGTTTAGTTGTAATAATGTGTTTGCCATATTTTTCATTTATTCTCACTTGAAGACAGTCTGCAACTCCATGGAGCTTCTTATGAGATTTATAAGTGAGTTTAAAAAAATTCCATGGATTAATTATCGCTAATTTTTGATGTTTCATTTCATTGCACTTTTCTTCACGATGATTTAAGACATTGAGTTTTTCACAAGGATAATTATGATCGATGGCTAATTTGATATTTTTGAGACATTTTTCATAGAGTCTCAACTCAAAATATATTGCTGACCTATTCGCATAAGCTAGGCCGAGATTCACGCTCGTTAAAGGTGTGTGGCACAAACTTTCATTGTATTTCAGCATAGCATGGTAAAAGCGTTTTTCACCGTATAATTTATTGCCTTCATTTCGAAGTGCTTCTGATATTTTATCTGATTTCCTTATTTGCATATTCAAGATAACTGAAAGAAGATAAAGTTCAGATGTATAAGAATGAAAATAATTTTAGTTCATAAATTATGAAAATACTCTCGCGAGTATTTATTTATAGTAACAGTCACGAGATGCTGCATCTTTTACGAGCAGCTAAAAATATTTTTAAATCTATTGACGTCTCTAATTTTATCGATGAGATTTTCATTCATAAATACCTTGATAACAATTTGGAAATTTCAATAAATAATTTAATGAGAATAAAAAAGAAATATGATAGCAAGAGTCACGACTGATTGCTCTGAACTGTACAATCAAACTGAAGCAGTTTCGTTTAACTTTTTCATTCAGTCTAAAAATAAAATTATTTTTCAATAAATGTGGCAATATTTAATAAAAAAAATTTAAACATGTGTGAAAGTCGTTGTTCTGAATAATGTTCAGACATAGAAATTTTTGAAAGCTTTTACAACAGTAAGATGTCAACAAGGAATGTAGACAATTTTAATTACCTCAAGTATCTAAGTAAATCTTTTTACAATTGCTGACATTTATAAATCTTTTAATAGTTGAAAATTTATGTTGCAAATTAGGATTAAAAATCTTTGATCAAAAATGGCTTCGAGCCATCAAAAGAAAAACTTTCACTGCTTGATGAATGCTATTGAGATTATTCATGTTTTTCAGTTTAAATCGCAATGAAATATTGATATATGATGAATTGCTAGGTGCTTGATGAAATCATTTAGAACCGATTGATGTGAATTTACTTATTTGAAAGAAAATTTTCGTTGCATTGAATTTATTGTGTAATCAAATGTCATGTCGTTGAAAGTTTCAAATGTACCTTCACTCCATTTAGATAATTTTAAAACAGATTTCTGGAGAACCATACTAAAAATAAATGAGCTATGGAAACTGATTAAACTACATATTAATTAACGATGTGATTGATAATTAAGATTTAATATTAAGCTGTTAATGATTATTAATTTTATAATTGCATACAAATTATTAATTTGGTTGAGTGATAACTAAATACATGTAAATTTCATATTTATGATTAAGATCCAAATTTAATAATTCAGTGATATTTGGCTTGTAAAAAAGCTTTAAATACAACGTCTGATAGCCGTTTAAGTTCATTTTTCTAACAAAAATGAGAAATACAATTTTGTTGGCGATTTTTCTGTTTGTAATTTTCAATGCAGAAGTACCTAGATAAAAGAACTGAAATTTGTGAAGAAATATTTAATAATGATTTTGAATTTTAGTCTGCGTACTATGATGTAATCTTTGAAAGAATAGAAACTGTGCCTGGTGATGACGGACAGTCTGCTTTAGATGCAAGAACAGTGAGAGTTAAAAAATTCAATAGAACAACGTATGACTCGAATGTTATCAATTCTTAACGAATCCAGGTAAAATTTTATTTATTCTATTTCGTAGATATGTCATAAACGGAGGATGGATCGTAAGAAAACCTCTTGGAAAAAACACTACCACAAATATGTCAGGATTCTACTTTGATGGGGGTGAATATAAAATATTTTTCAGCAAGGTTTTCGATTTCTGCGAATTTAGGACCTTTCCCGGACATAAAGAAATTCTTGAAGACTTTGAAGCACACACAACAAATCCAGTACCTCCAGAAGTTTGTCCTCATCCAGCAATGGACAAAGAAGTAGTTAACTATGCTTTGAAAGAAGAACATTTGAATTTTATCCCACCAGGTTTACCAGGGGAACAGTGGCGAATGAATGTTAAATTAGGGGAAGATGGCGTCGATTGGGGTGGGGTTAATATTTACATAGTATTAAAAAAATATAAAATTTTTCCTAAAAAAGGTGATACTTAATTAGATATGTGAATGTAAAATACAATCAATAAATGGAAATAATTTCATTCAGCAAACAAATATTTATTATTCTTTCCATGACCATATGTACTTTCATTGATACTATTTAGCATTAATTTCAGACTTTAGATATTTAGAACTGCTGATGTGAATTTTTTTTAAAGAAAATTTTCGTTGCATTGAATTATTGTGTACTCAAATGTCATGTCGTTGAAAGTTTTAAATATACCTTCACTCCATTTAGATAATCTATTACAGATTTCTGAAGGAACAAATTAAAAATAAATGAGCTGTGGAAACTGATTAAATTTCATTAATGATATGTGACTGCTAATTAAGATTTAATTTTAAGTCGTTAATTATTATTATTTTTATTAAATGATAACTAAATGCATGTAAATTTCAGATTAATGATTAGGATCAAAATTTATTTTTCCAATTTTAAGTTTGGTTTGAGAAAAAAGCTTTAAATGCATCGCCTGATAGACGTTTGAGTTCATTTTTCTGATAAAAATGAGAAATACAATTTTGTTGGCGATTTTTCTGTTTGTAATTTTCAATGCAGAAGTAGATTAGAAAACAATTGAAATTTTCGAAGAAATATTAAATAAAGATTTTGAATTTTAGTCTGCGTACTATGATGTAATCTTTGAAAGAATAGAAACTGTGCCTGGTGATGACGGACAATCTGTTTTAGATGCAAGAACAGTGAGAGTTAAAAAATTCAACAGAACAACGTATGATTCAAATGTTGTCAATTCTAAACTATGGTAAACTATTATTAATTCTATATTGTAGATATGTCATAAATGGAGGATGGATCGCAAGAAGACCTCTTGGAAAAAGTACAAGCACAAATATGTCTGGATTCTACTTTGATGGTGGTGAATATAAAATATTTTTCAGCAAGGTTTTCGGTTTCTGCGATTTTAAGATCTTACCCGGACATAAAGAAATTTTTGAAGACTTTGAAGCACACACCACAATTCCAGTACCTCCAGAAGCTTGTCCCTATCCAGCAATGGACAAAGAAGTAGTTAACTATGCTTTGAAAAAAGAACATTATAATTTCATCCCACCAGGTTTACCAGGGGAACAATGGAGAATAAATATTAACTTTGGGGAAGATGGTGTTGATTGGGGTGGGATTAATATTTACGTATTATTAAAAAAATATAAAGTTTTTTCTAATAAAGATAGTTAATTAGATAGTTAATTATGTGAATGTAAAATATAATCAATAATTGACAATTATTTTATTCAACAAACAAATATTTATTATTCTTTTCAAGAACACACTATCATTGATATTAGCAAGGGGTTATTCACGGACGAAAATTGTCGACTCAAGCAACTTAAGCAACTTTACACAAATCGAAAGCAACCCCGTTGACAACCAAAAAAAAAAAAAACGCCGAAAACATGGAAAAACTAGTAGCAACAGTTAGCTACATCTCTAGCAACTGTTAACAACTATTAGCAACTGTTGGCAATTTTCAGCAACAGTTGACATTTTTAAATTTTAACAGCAAAAGCAACTCTAGCAACTTTTCAGCAAATTTCAGCAATTTCATGGTCGACTCAAGCAACCGTCCGTGAATAACCCCTTGGATATTAGCATTAACTACAGATTTGGATTATGTTAGAAAAATTTGAATTGTTACTAAATATCATTCCACGTAAACTCAAAGCTAACATAAAAAATATTCTCACAGATTGATGCTTAGAATGAATCAAATGCATATATTTATGTCCTTACTTATCAGTTATATAAGAAAACACTGATGTATTATCCCAAATAGCACGACAGGGCGATGGGGCATCCAAACCGATAATAGGAATGTCACTTCCATCTAGCTGGCATAACCCTCAGTCATATGAATGACTTCCTTAATAATTATATCTTTTTCAATTATTTTATAATTTTTAATCTATAAATAAATATCTATGTGAGCTGATAAATTATTAGTAAAATTCATAAACGAAAAGTATCCGTTGTCCTGATAAGTTTAATTAGTGTATGATTTCGTCACCGAATCGTCTGATAGTGTTTCAATTTATTAGCATTACTTTAAACCAGCAATCTGTGTTTATTTAAATTAAAAATAATTTAAATGATCTTTCAGTAGTCGAAAAATATGTTCTATTAAATTATTGTGTGATGGTGACGATCTCTAGAAGATAGTAAATAAACAAACATAAACAATGAATTTAATTGAATCGCATGTTAAATCCTACTAAATGATAACTAATTGAATGTACTTTGTAGATTTATGATTGAGATTTGATACTTTTAATTTATAATTATTACAAATTAAATGTGTGAAAAAGCTTTAAATACAACGTCTGATAGATGCTTAAGTTTAGTTTGATGAACATTTCCAGGATCTTCCATTTACTTTAAAAAACATGAAAATTAAAATTTTGCTATCGATTTTTCTGTTCATTATTTTAAATGCAGAAGTAAAAAAAAATATTAAAATTTTAGAAAACGTGTTAAACATTCATTTCTAATTTTAGTGTGCATTATATGATATATCATTTGATAGAATAGAATCTATCCCTGGTGAAGGCGGAGTTATTGTTTTTGATGCTAGAACAGTGAGAGTTAAAAAATTCAACAGAACAACGTATGATTGACTGATTTTCTTCAAAATGTATCTAAAAATTTCACTTCTTTCTAATTTCTTCAGATATGTCATGAACGGAAATGGAAGCTTATATAGACCACTTGATCGGGATACTATTATAAATTTGACTGTTTTCTTCTTTGAAGCCGGTGAATACAAGATTTTTCTCAGTAAGACTTTTGGTTTCTGCGAGTTTAAAAACTTACCCGGACATAAAGAAATTCTCGAAGACTTTGAAGCACACACCAACAATCCAGTGCCTTCAGATGCTTGTCCTTATCCAGCAATGGACAAACAAATAACTAACTATGCTTTGAAGGAAGAACGTTTTAATTTTATCCCACCAGGTTTACCAGGAGAAAAGTGGCGAATCAATTTCTTATTTAATGAAAATGGAGTTGATTTGGGTGGCTTCAATGTTTATGTAATTTTGAAAACTCATAACATATTTGCTAAAAAAGAATCTTGATGATTGTATTCTAATTATTTTAAAACAATTTAATCAATGAATAAATATGTATACAAACAGAATGTAAAAATGTCTTTTTGAGCATTAATAATGTAATTTTATTTAACATAATGTAGAATGTAAAAAATTAAATATAATAAAATAATTAAACTGAATTTTCCTGGTATTGCCTCTTTTTATCATGAGTTTTGATCATAGGATAACGAAACGATCTGATTTCTTTCTTACTTTAAATGATAAAATTATTTCTTTGATCGAAATCACATACATGAGAACTGATAAATTTATTAGTAAAATCGATAAACAAAGTTACCGTTGTTGTTCTGATTAATTTATAATTTGTCACCGATAGTGTATCAATTTATAAGCATCATTTTAAAAACCAGTAATCTGTCGAAAAAACATCATCTATATTAAATTATTGTATGATGTTGACGATCTCTACGAGATATTAAATAATTAATCATAAACAATGAATTTAATTCAATCGCATGTTAAATTCTACTAAATGATAACTAAATGAATGTACTTTGCAAATCAGTGATCATCATTTGAAACATAATACGGAGGTATTAATTTATAATTATTTCAAATTACCTAGATGTGTGAAAAAGGTTTAAATACAACAACTCATAGACGCTGAAGTTCAGTCACAACAATATTTTCTGGTTTTTTGTTTTACTAAACATGGAAATTAAAATTTTATTGTCGATTTTTCTGTTCATCATTTTCAGTGCAGAAGTATTAAATTTATTAAAGAGAATTGAAAAAGAAATAATTTTTTTTTTAAATTTTAGTCTGCCTATTATGAAATAATTTTTGAAAGAATAGAATCAGTCCCTGATAAATCTGGAAATAATGTTATCGACATGGGATCCATAAGAGTTAAGAAATTTAACAGAACAACGTATGACTTCATTTTGCAAAATTGTTTTTTAAATTGAATTGCCATTTCTATTTCTCAGATATGTCATGAACGGAAAGGGATCCTTGAAAAAACCTCTCGGATTGGATTCTTTTATAAATATGACTGTGTTTGCCCTTGAAAGTGGCGAGTATCAGACTACTTTCAGTAAGATGTTTGGTTTCTGTGAGTTTAAGTCGTTGTCCGGACATAAAGAAATTATGGAAGACTTTGAGGCACATACTACAGAGCCAATTCCTTGGGATGCTTGTCCTTATCCAGCGATGGATAAAGAAGTAGTTAACTACGCTTTGAAGGAAGAACATTTCGATTTTATCCCACCAGGTTTACCAGGGGAACAATGGCGTATCAATTTCTTGTTCAACGAGAAAGGAGTTAATTTGGGTGGCTTTAATGTTTACTTGACTTTGAGAAAATATAAAGTATTTTAGAGAAAATTAAGTTTGTCGAACGCAAAGCAAAGAACAATCCAAATAAATATGATTGAAATCAACTGAAATATTATTCTTTTTATTCGCATAGTGTATAAATAATTAGACAATATTGAAGTCTCCTTATGTATGTTCACTAATCTTCGTGTTTAAATATTTTTTTCTTCTGGTAGTCTATCGTATCACTAGAAATTCGATGAACTGGTTTTACTCCTATTTCATTTGTTATAAACTTTGGTGGATTGCTTTTCTATTAGGCAAGAAGGTAGTCATAAAACTGTCTTTAAATGCCCATTTTTGGGTTGATGAGATGAATTATCTTTATTTAAAAATAAAGTTAGAACTTTCTGGCTATGTCAATCTTGTTGAAGATTAAAGCATAGAGATTTTAAGTCTGTAACTAGAAAAATTGGAAATTGATTATTTTATTTGTTCATTACAGATTTTGATATTGAATAACATTGAGACATTATCGATTCCCGCCGGAAACACAAAATGATAGATACATATTTATCAATTTTCTTCTATCAGATTTTCATTTATAATTGACACATGAAACGTATCAGTTATCAGTGTCGATTATTGAATTTAGATGAAATCTTTCTTGTATTGATAGAACACACGGTGATATTTCCAGGTAGATATTGAATATAAAGAATAAATTTTATTGAATCGCATGTTAAATTCTACTAAATGATAATTAATTGAATGTACTTTGCAGATCTATGATTAGGATTTAAGATAC